CTTGTCTCGGACCGATTCTCGCGCAGATTAGAGACGGTGGAAAGTCGAGGTCGCCCTTGACGTAAGCGCCTACCACGTGTAGATACACAAATACACTGCCGCGTTTTCACATCGTATTCTAAGAAATACGAAACGTCGTCGGATATTGCGACAGGACGTAAAGACGAGAGAAGCGGGCTCTCGAGTATCAATTACAATCGAAAGTTCATCAAATCTCAGCCACGTTGTTCTCGCGCGCTGTTGGCTCAATAGATTTTCAAATTCCGTTCTTACACGTGTGTGTGTGTGTGTGTGTGCGTACGTACGTACGTACGTACGTACGTACGTACGTACGTACGTAAGAACGGCGTCAATCGAAGCGATCGCGATCGTTGATTCAAAGGCACGACGCCGCCGCATGCAAAGTCTCCTCGCGATAAACAGGCAGTAACAAGTGGGTGTTACACACTGTGGTTGGAATATTTTTATTCTTCCCGAGGCTAAAGTAGATGTACTCGCGCTATCCGTGCTGCATTTATTCGGCCGATATCTGGATAACTTTTAACGAACTGACGGAACGAGCGCGAGCGCGTATCGATCGCGCGAGCCGTTCCGTAATTAAATATCAGCGTCTCCGTGCAATCGGATGCACCGTTGTGCAGCAGGCAGGAAGCGCCGCGCCGACGGCACGTGCCCGAAGATGCGCATCATCGACGACGACGACGACGACGACGACGACGACGACGACGACGAGTAAGACGCCGCCGATATGTTCGTTCTAAGTACTCGTGCGCGAAATGCCCCCCGACGCGCATAATAACGTGTATTTGGGTCGCGAATCCTTTTTCCCCCCCGATATCGGAACAGCGATGCGTCAATTTGGTTGCAATATAAGCCTCTACATGTAGAGCGGCCTTGACACGGGCCGCCGCAGCTACGCGCAGTTGCAACGACGAAATGCATCGTCGATATTTGCTAGCAATTGCTACGACAAAGAGTAGCCAGGAACGTAAATTTAACACGACATGAATCTCTCCTTAACGTCACTACGTTCTCGAGTCTTAGTACCATTGATTTGTTGAATCTCGCATAATCGTTAACATTGATGTGTTAATAAATGAGATAAGGTTTCGTCTCGTGGCGCCGCGGGCGGTGGCGATGAAGAAAGATATGTCGCGCGTGCGATCGACTCTACATATTTCACGCGACGCGCTCTCGCTCGATGACGAATGGCTTGGCGCCTGTATCCGCAGAAATGGTTTTCGATGCTACTTTCGCGAATGACGACGCATCGACGCGAAAGCGGTCTTTATAGATGCCATCGGCCTTGTCCTTGACATCGACCGCGCGGCGTCCCGACGCTACGCAGTCGACCGACCTGTACATTACATCGGGATGTTCGATACGCGGAACAGAGCCGAGAAATAAGTCCGTCGAAAGTGGAGAGGAGAAGAGAGAGAGAGAGGGATGGGGGGAGAGAGGGAGAGAGAGAGAGAGAGAGAGAGAGAGAGAGAGAGAGAGAGAGAGAGAGGGAGAGAAGTGACGAGGTGAAGCGAAACGAGGAGAGGCGAAGCGAGGTGAGGTGAGGTGAGGCGGGGTGAGATGAGGTGAGGTGAGGTGAGGTGAGGTTTACGTCGGGGTCGGAGCTTTGGAGGGTATAGGGAGGGCGGACCACATCGTGTTGGGTGAATGGAGGGGCGGATTTACACATTGCCCGTGATACGCGAGACATTTCGTAAGATTACGTCAAGTTCGAAAGCCTATTTTCCGACAAATACGCAATGACGTTAGTTCGCAAATCCAAGTGACGTCTTTCTGCCGATTGTTTTGCACGGTGTGTGTGAGATTTGCAACCACACACACGGACATTTGTATCGTTTATTTTATTACGAATCGTGCAGCCCGGATTATTCTTACGTGATATTATGCACAAAACAGAATTGCCCGAAATAAAACAAGGACAGCTTCGACTAATCTCGTACAACGCGAATAAGATCGTATTCCACGACTATTTATTAGCACAGCGTATTCTACCACGTTCGAACATCGTGTTGGACGTCTGCGTGTAAACAATATCTAGGTGTAGATTTTGCGATCTATTTCTTTACGAATAATTCACGCGTCTTCTGCGTGAAAATGTTTATCGTGCAACATTTCTCCGAGAATTCAATAGGAAAAAGAAAATGTGCGAAATATTGACGGATAGGAAAATTGACGGTAGAATTTAGCAGATAGAATGGAAGCCGGATTAAAAATTCAAAGTAGCATTGATAACGTTATGTATTAATATGTATATACATCACAAGCAAACGATGCGAAGCAAACATCACACTGTGCGAATGTGCGTAGTTAAAATAATTGTAAAAATTATCTTTATCATGTAGAGGATGGAAATTATTTGGCTCTCTTTCTCTTCATAGTTTTGGATCTCGCTCTAGGAGCGAGATTTCCACCTCGACGTTTCTTTCCGCGGCCTCTAGTCTTTTCTTTCGCTTTCGCCGCGCGTATGTCCTTCTTCATTCGCGGATCGACCACTTTGTATCGACCTTTCACACCGGCAGGCCGAACGGTGCGCTTCTGCGCCAAGTGTTTCTTCGCAACGACATATGTGACTTCCTTTTTCGGTTCCTTGGAGGCTTTCTTATACAACCTAAATTCAACGAGATACCAAATTAGAGGCAAGAACGCGGGGACGCACGATATATTACGATTAGATTGGACATTCCGAAAACTGGCACTTACGCTGCAACTTGTCTGGCCTTCTCTCTGTCGCTAATATCCGTGTTGTCCATCAACGCCTCCACCTTCTTCTTAGCCTTCTCAAGTTTGCGTATCGCTCGCTTCTTTTTCCTCGCTTTAGCTTCCATCACTTTCTTAATTGGTCTGACGTTCAAGTCCTCGACTCGTTTCTTATAATCGTTTACTAATTCTATAGGTACAGGTGCCTCTTTCTTCATATGCCTCTCCTCGTCCTTCACGAACCAGTCGGGTAATTTTTCGTCGTTGAATGCGTATTTGTTCCAAGCCGAATCGATCAAATCCCTTCGAGATTTTTTACTCTGAATCAGCAACGAGCCGAGTGCTAAATCTTCCGCGGTCAATTTCCTCTTCTTCTTCGACCTTTTATCTAACCAATCAAAAACGTCTTTAGAAGATGACATAGTTATTAATCGTCAATAGTTATCAGTGTGTCAGTCGATAAAATTCCTGGTCAAACGGGAGCTTACTTACCCTCCCCTTCTTCTCGGGGTACTATCTCAAAGCCGTCCTGCCCACCGATCTTCTTTGCTTTCTTGTTAGAATCCATCGTTTCTTCGATTTCGTAGTCGGAATTTGATTCATCCTCGGAATTTTTGCTGTCTTTATGTTTTCGTTTCTTCTTCTCCTCGTGGTTTACTACTTTGTTCTCATCTCCGACGATATGTCCACCTTTCTTTTTGTACAGTTCGATCATTCTATCCAACTCGTAATCTTCGTCGTCCTCGTTATCTAAATCTTTAAACGCATCCTTCTCGAACCAAAGTTCTGCCTTACGAATTTTTTTCGCTTTCTTGTCCCGGAAATCTAGGTCAGTCAGTAATGGATTATTATCAGATTCGTTAGATTCTCGTTTCTTTTTCGGTTGTGGTTTCTTCGGTTTCTTCTTACTTTCATCCTCCGAATCCTCTAAACCTATTTAACAAAAGTAATTTTATAATTTCTCTCTTTGTATTTTCTCTTGTAAATTTAGGAAATACGTGCCTGTAGGAAATGCTTGTAATAAAAATAAATATAGAGAGAAATATTTCGGAGAGAAATAGCTGAAAGTGAATATTATTGAAATAATTAATATTTGAATAGTAATACCTAGCCCAGATTTTTCACTATCTGCATCGTCATCATCTGATGTAGCGTCAGTATCACTGTTCTCACTGTCTTCCGATTTGTAATATAAACCTTTACTATCCAAGTGACCTGCATCTTTCTCGTAACGAACCGTTTTTGGCCTAACTTCTTCGTCGTCCGACTCCTCCTCGCTCTCCGCTACGACATCGGGTGTTTGATCCGTAACTTGTTCCAATTGTTGATAAGTTTGTATCTGGTTCAAATGGAACATATCGTCTCCTTCCAATTTAGGTCCCTCGTCACCTTTATGAACCATTTTCAAATTGAGCCGTTCATTCAACTTTTGTCTTTCTTTGTGAACCTTCTTTTTCTTGCGTTTCAATTCTCTCGCTTCCGTGTCTTTAATTTCAGCAATTTGTTTCTCGATTTCAGCGTCTTCCAAATCTTCCTGTTCCTCGACACTAATCGCCGCAGGCGCGGCTGCCGTTTCATCTTCGAGTGCAGTTCCATTTTCTTCTTTTTTCTTGTCAGATTCGTGTGCCTCTTTTAATGTTTTCCACCATTTCAGTAGCATCTTCAAATCTTTTCGGCCGAGTACTTTAATATCTTTGCAAGCTTCTCTAATTTCTTTTGTCGTTTTCTCATGTTTATCGACGGCTTCGTCATCTATGACTATTTCGGAAGCAGTCTGCAGAGCCTCCACTGCATCTTCGCAAGCGATAAACTCCTTTGCTGATAATTTATGATACAGCGTATAATCATTCTCAGGATACCCTTCGACTTTAGGCTTCTTCTGCCTTTCTGGATGGAAAATATTTATCTTGTTTGCACTTTTGACTTCGAGCTCAGAAAATACGTACTTTGGGTCGAAAAACTTGGAATCCAATTTGTCAGGAGCTATGTAATATTGACAAACCACAAAAATTTCTGCAGACTCGTTACGCGAGGCTTGAGGTTTAGTAGCGTGTACCTGTAATTGAAATTGTAGTAACAAGTCACACACAGATAATGGTTAGGTTATGTTATACTAGCAATAACTATCAATCATTCCACAAGTAATTGCTCATTTGTAATTCCAAGTTTAAGTGGAAAATGGGGAAATACTTAAATTTAATACAAAAGTATGTTCATCATTTGAATTGAACCACTATCTGGTCAGCTTACAGATCATTTTTCTATCTCATTTTTGCAAAACTTTGCAGATCTCATTCAGAATTTTACTTATGTGCAATTACTCATCATGGGATAAACAATAGATGTGTGTCTGAAGTAACATCAGTACCTTCTTGAATAATTGTTTTAACACCCAGATAAGTGGATGATAATCTTTAGATCGAAATATTTTTGTAACGAACCAACCACCTGCTCTTAGAAATTGAGCGGCTAGTTTAATAGCAGCTAATGTTAAAACAGCTTGTTGATAAGCATCATGAAGCCAATTTTTTCCCACGTTTGGGGCTCCGTCGTTTAAAACAACATCGGCTTTCCATGTTTTCAGTTCTCGTGTGATAGCTATCCGACATTTATCTGTTGTGATATCCTCTGTAAGATTGATACATCCTGGAATAGGTTTTATAGGAAACAAATCCACTCCTACAACTATAGATGACACTGGCATATTTTGCCTAGCAACTTGCATCCAGCCACCAGGTGCTGCACACAGATCAATGCATACTCTAGACTTTTGAAGAAATTCATATTTTCGATTTAACTGAATTAACTTGAATGCAGCACGTGACCTATAACCTAAACAAAAATGAACCTTTTTTTATATCTTGATTAACTATTCTAATACATTGCCAACACGCAGTGTTGAATTTAAATTTTGCACATCAAACTAACAGATTCTTCAATATACTAATTTGATGATCACTGGGTGATCAGCAGGTTTGACAACAATCAACATTATTTACCTGTTTCCTTGGCTAATTGATAATACTTGTCTTTTCTCTGCTTCCCAATCTTTGTTTTCTTCCCCATCTTAATTAAGAGATAACGTCAGCTTTTCAAATAAATAAGCGTACGCGTTGCACCACGTACATTCTCAAGCGAACCACGTGCGATTCGATAACAATCATGAAATAACTGCATCATGTAGTTCATAAATCTTTGAGCTTGTACAAAGTTACATGTCAGAAGCCTAAAGATGTCGCGCTCATCTGCATTAGCGTTCAATTGAAAAAGGACTTGTGAACGGCGATATAACGGTGGGCTGTGTTCCAATATTCACTGCCAGCACTGAAAATCTATAATATACGTGACACAAACCATGTATTTTCGGTGTACTGGCAGTGAATTTGGGACCGTCTAAGGTCCGTAAATAGAGGGACGGAACAAATGAGTTACGTCCTCTCACGAATTCATAAGGCCAGAGCACAGACTTGCGCATAACGCATAATATACAACGCATAAGAGAATCAACCAATCAGAGTTCTTTATTTTTGTCCTGAGGAGGGAAATGAAGAAAACTAATTGGTTTATTCTCTTATGCGTTATGTATTATGTGTTATGCAAAAGCCTGTGCTCTTGCCCATACAGGTCGCGTTCCGAAATTCACTGCCAGTACTGAAAATACATAGTTTGTGTCACGTATACTATAGAATTTCAGTGCTGGCAGTGAATATTGGAACGCAGCCGCAGTATACAGTACTTTTATCTAGTGCCATCAGCTCTTAACGTGGGTACGCACAGGTGAGTGCGTACATTCGGTGCAGGTTGTCAAATTACGTCTCAATAGTTATCCAACGATAACATTCGTAAGATCAACATTATCTTCCCAACATACACGTAACAAAAAGGGAAGAAAATGTGGAAATTCGTAACTCGTGGCATCCGAGAGACGTTCGAGCGACGTGCCTGTCGCACAAACGTTTACTCGCAACCGTCGCAAGACAATACAAAGAATGAAGTCAAAACAAATTTGACATGCCAACAAAAATTCCTCGTGCCAATTTACCTCAATTGGAATAAAAGTTTTTGCGGATCCGCTAAGAGCGCCGGTACTGGAGACCAAGAGCGTGATCACAAATGGAATACCAAACACACTTGGCCAGAAGCTATCGGCTGGGTAAATACATTGTTAAAGCATAAATGCTATAACTTTAATCGTAACATTTATGACTTTCGAAATGTTGCAATGTTGTGCATCCCAGCAAGTACTGAAAACTTCTTATCAAGGTGCTAATAGAACTTATTTCCCATTAGTCCAGTGTATTGGCAGCTGGATGGATATACCAGTCACTTTGCCTTCAGAAAGGAATCCTTGATCAAAATGAAAGGAAGAAAAAATTACTTCATTATACCGGAGTAAACCAGATACTCACTCAAATAAAAAATTGGCAACTAAAGTTAAAAGCTGCAAATGTCCTACCAGTCATCAACTGTATAGGTAGTAGTAATAATAATAATCTACAAGATTCAGACTCACAATGGCATGCAGGAAAACTATTTGGTCCTGTTACCATGGAAGAGGTGAGAATGTTATTTTGCAGAGATTACACTATATGAGAATAGGTTGGAAACAGACAAAATTTAAATGGGAATAAAAACATGTCACATTTGTCTCACAATAAACTTATCTTATTCTTTTGCTACATCCGTGTAAAGATAGATAATTAATATATTGTCAGGTACTGCTTTATTTCCTGTATTCGATAATTTAGTAAAAAAAAAAGGAAATAGGAAATACAGAGAGAGAGAGAGAGAGAGAGAGAGGGAGAGAGACAGCTACTTTGTTGGGAATGTTTTTATTTATAATAGAAATACTCATGATTGTATCTTCAACGGAATAAACTATGCATAAATATACATTTAACAACTTCCATGCCAAAGTTGGTGTATTTTATCAGGGAATTAAAATTTATGATGTATCCAATCAAATTCACTGTAAGAACATTCGTAAAGGAAAAACAATGCAGATTAAACAAAAACTAATGCGTTAATCTTTTCTGCAAATTTCTTCTTACAACAATTTGTTCTCTCCTCTATACATCAAAATAGTTAAAAAGCCCTAAAGAAAGATATCCTATAGATATTCTATATTCTCAGGCAAAGTTCAAAGAGGCAGCTGATGAATTTAAAAATACCCATAAACTAGTCGTAGGAGATTTTGAACTTCGTTATGGTCTAAAAGCTTTGGAAGAGAAGCGTTATAAAGACGCTTGGACGCATTTTTCACAAGGCGCCAAACTATCATCTCCCAGCAGTATGTTCAATTTAGCTCTGTGTTACGAATTAGGCATTGGAACATTAGCAGATCCAACGAAGGTACGCTCTATACTTTACGCTAGAGCCGACGTAAGAACCGACTGTAAATTATCTGATTTAAAAATATGAGAAATATCCTATAATATATACATAAATAAATAAATTGAGAGGAAAGACGAGAGATGAAAAAGAAAGAATGGGAAAAAACAGATGGGATATTATACACTCATTGAATTACGAAAGAATTACAAAAATGTGAAATATGCGTGTCCTCTTGAGACATTTTGTTAAACTATAATTTTTCTCCAGGCTGCAAAATATTACAAAGATGCCGCGGCTTACGATCATGCCGACGCATTGTATAATTTGGGAATTTACCACGCTCAAGGAAAGGGCGGTTTACCGATTGATATCAATACCGCGCGTACCTGTTTCATCAAGGCAGCAAAATTGGGTCAAGTACAAGCGCAACATGCACTGGACCTAGAAAAGGCTAGTGTTCAATCGAAGGAAAATAATAGCACCTCCGCTATATCGAAAACTTGCCTGAAAAGTACTAATTTAGAGACGAATAAGACGAGCGGTACGCACGAAAAATTAATCGATACAATAACGAATTTTATTTTGAAATCCTCGCGCGACGCGTCGGGATATAACGAAGAGATGGTCCGTGACTCCACTCATGTACTTGTAGATCTCCTCAGTTTAAAAGAAAGTCGGCCCAGTCGGCCAGACATTATGACAGCTACTGACAATTGTGTGCCGTGTTAAGTGTATCAACCTTTTTTCCCTTTATTGTTAAAGATACATTTATTTTAAGTAACAATATATAATTACACACACACACACACACACATATATACATATACATGTATAATTTTTGCGATACAAAGTCGTATCGCGTGGCCATGTAGAGACCCAGACAGCACAATGTCCAAAACTGGGACATAAGACGTCTTTAAGACGTCTTTAAGACGACTTAAAGATATCTTATTTTCAGGCATCTCAAAGACGACTTAAAGATGTCTTAAAGACGTCTTATGTCCCAGTTTTGGACATATGTGCTGTCTGGGGAGTGTGTCTAATTTTTATGTAATATTCTTTTGCATAGTTACCATGAAAATGTATCACACTGTGTGTGTGTGTGTGCAAAAGTATAAGATTTCATAAGAATTTTTATGCGATGTGTTTGCTAACGATATCGAAGCAAATAAATTTGCTCAATTTACGACATTCGCGTCATAAATTAAAATTCCGTTTTAAATGGAAATTTTACACTTTCTGTAACATTATTTCCGCTGTACTTATCTCATTAACGTTTGATAAATCTTTATTCATATTTCATAATGAGCATATATATTTAATTTTTTCATTATACATTATTCTATAGATCGATATCAAAATACGTGATTTAGACAACTGAGTTGCAATTTGTTTTTACACATAATGCCGCTCAACTAGAAGTTGTGTCAAAACTTTGACTGTGATGCGCGATTTCAATGTTACTTTATTTGAGAAACACTTACGAGCATTGAATGTATGTTTTGTCGATTCTTGCATCGAGAACTAATGTTGTTGACTGAAGATCTTGTCAATACGTGCGTACAGCTTACTTGTAATGTATATTTTCAATGTATGTATGATACATAGTACAAAAAATATAAAATTTTTATATTTCAAAATCTTTCACCGACAAGATATCTTTCCTCCTTCGAAGGCATTTTGCCATAAAAGTTATCGTAATAATCGTTTCTAAATATCGTTTGGAGGATTAACGAATACAAGCTTCCTGTTTCACATTTCATTCTTCACTTTTATATAATCCCGGAAGAATCGCTGAGATGTAAATCTCAGTCGAGACTCGTACGAAGGTTGCATGTCTCTGGAAAATTTTGTGTGAGAATATTGTTGAAAATATTCAACGGAGAGAAAAATTGCAGATCAAACTTTCACCAGTGTGCGTCTCGTCGCGACACGGTCTTTCTGATAAATTCGCCATGATTCGCGTATAAATTAATTTGACAGTTCGTATCAATCCATCTGACATTACGCGCGTCGTCTCCAGCTTTCAACGCGAGCTTTCCGACGACGCTACTGTCGTCGTCGTGGAAATTAACAGCCACCGTTTCCATCCAAGCGTTATCTGTGTTTCGCGGGTCGTCCACGTATCCTTTGTAAATTTCGTCGCCTTTTGCGAAAAAGTGTGCTATAGAATCGCGCAGAGTCTTCTTCTCGGCGTCGTCTTTTTGCAGAAAGTTCAGCGCTTCCTCCATGAATTCCCTCATCAATGTGGCGGAAACTGCCTCGCCTGGGTCGACCATACCTCCCGGAATAGCCCATTCGCCGGAATCCCGTCTTTGTATCGCGACGAACTGCAATACAGGTTTCTTTGTGTGCCTGTCTAGCTGCACGGCTCCCGCATTATCGCGTTTCCATCGTGTGACAATCGGGTCGGCAGCGTGATTCGGCCCCCAACGACCTAGAAGCCCGCGTCCGACAATACCTGTCCGTCCTACAGGATTCAATGGGTAGCCACTAGCGTTAATTGCGTAGTCACCTGTGAAACTCCTGCGATTCACATTACCTGTCGACAAACGAATAACGTTCGAACGTGGCGCGCGATAATACTTTCCTTTACCTTGACATGCGTCAAATGTTGCACTCTGTGTTGCCAACAATTTTCGTTAACCTCGACGTATGCGTCCGCAAACGCTTTTGCGCACGCATCCAGCTTCTGACTCGCGATTAATGTAATAAATTTTACAATTGGAAGATTGGCGAGACACGAAAAGCAGAGATATAATTACCGTCCACCGTATTCCATTTCGGTTTAAATGCGGCCTCTTGAATGTCTGGATCGGCCCAAGGTTTATCGCGAAGAACGTCAGCGTTATACGCGACCGGCTTGTACTCGGGGTACTCGACCGTCCACGGAATTTTCTCCTCGGTTACCTCGAATCTTTTAACGCCACTGAACGGATACAGACTTTGTCTACACTTGTGATGAAGCATTCTCGCGTGTCTAGCGCTCATTTAACGATACACCTCTTGGGGGAGCATATCGCCGACGATAGCGACACTTGTTTCCACTTCCAGCGGCGTACCTAACGATTCCACAAGCCCCGTGTCACACGCCCCGTGTCGCGTCTCCTTTCATCAGAGTGGAAAATAGGACAAAATTCACGTTTATACGTTTCCAAAATATTTACGATACACGGTAGGAGGTAGTAGATGTAGATCGATGCACGTCTGGGGGATTCAGCGCAAACAAAAAGGCAGGAATGCAGGGCTAGAGTCCATTTGTTTTCCCATATAGTAATTTACATCTATATTTTATCTTACTTTCTATCTTTTTGGACGTGTGCGTATATTCCAGATTTTTGTTAAAAATCATGTATAATTACATATTAAAAACATGTATAATTTGTTAAAATTCTCGAGCTACAGAGCATCGTAAATAATAATAATTTTATATCGCATGCACATTTCGCGACAGGGGATCTTTTAAACGTTTGTACACGTATGATAAAGTAGGGCCACTGTTCCAATAATGCGAAACATTGTTCAATCCATGCAAGACAAGGCGCATATATTTATTTAAATATATATCTTATCGAGATAGTACATCAGAGAGAATATCTCGGTCTTTTCAACATTTACTGTGTGAAATAAGTCAGCGCTCATTTCAGGAGATATGCTTCAGTGAACTTTATAAAATTCTAAAAAGTCTTACAATCCATTTAATCCTTGGCATTTGTATGGCATGGTATCAAAGTGTGAATTACACGTATCGTAATAACGATAAGATTATATGCTATATTTACAAAACGTTGGCTCTCTTCTTCCGCTATACTTGAACGCATAAAGATTTTTGCAAAACTTCATTTCATTACAATCCGTTCGATCGTGTATAATTTTTGACAAATCTTGCATACATTTACGTTGGAAGACTAGATTAGAAGTATCTATAAAATTTAACAAACCTTAATAACGCCTATCTATACTTATAGATCGGTAGAGGTCCGTCCATAATTGATTTGGATATTAATGAATAATACTTGCGTATGATGTACTATATTAATGCCCACTCTTTCGAATAGTGTGTACAGTTCAAAATTCGCGAAGCGACGTTAGGGGAGACTGTCTTGGTTTTCTGGATTTATGCCCTGGACGTATAACATACCTCTCTTAAATAAAATTTAAACATTTCCTCGCAGTTTCTCCCAGTTGGCCATTCCCCACTATCTTTCTTTAATTGATTTTCCTCTTTTTTTTCCAAAAATATACCTTCCTTACGATTCTCAATACTTATAAAACATGTGTAATTTTCAATGGAAATAGAAAAATTAAGTTAAACGAAATAATCTAATAATATTAAAGAAACATTCGTCAAACGCCAAACGTTAGTTTAACTTGCACGTAAATATCGAGATACTACATGATTTCGTGTATATACTTCTTTTTTCTCCTTTCCTTGTCAGAATTCGTCGTATTTTTATTAAGTATATATAGATAAGAAGAAACACTTTCTGTGAAATTGATCTTGTTGTGATGATTTTGAAGATAGATATTTAATGTCGCGGAATGAATCACCTCGCGATTCATTTCTGTTTTAGACAGCTTTGTCGCATGTGATATTCTCGAGAAGATGATTTCATGTTGAAACGTCGACCGGGAATATCAATCAGACGAGACAATTTTAATTTTCATGAACGTTCAAGTGAACAAATGAAAATGAAATAAAGCTCGATAATTACGAATTTTAATATAACTGAATTTTCTAATCCGTAACATTCGATACGCGAATCTAAAGCCTACAACATTTGATACGTACTAAAGTATTTATTTCGATTCTTCGTATATAAATAGCTGACGTTTTATATTACTAATCTGTACTCAACTGCGCTGTTCGTTATAGCAGCCTGAATCTCACATCTTCCTTATTTCTACTTTGTTTTTCGATACATTTAATGTACACTTGATTTCAATGCCGTTTAAACACTTTTTCCTCGATGTAGTTTGGAAGGTAGCTGGTGGTCTAATAATGAGAAAACCTGCTTTAGATTAATTCCCAAAAGTTAAGTACCGATTACCATACAAGCACGTGCGAGCGATGGCTCGCAATCGAGCGCAATTTGATGCACTCCTAACTTGATCGGAAGAAAACGTGTGCAAACTGTTGTGCAAACAAGTGTATTCGTATCTCTCATAAGGATCGATACCATACATGGACAATGCTTTTTTAATATCGGGCGACAAACGTTGCCCGATATGCAAAAGTTTTCCATTACGTAGACGCGTAGAACCTATTGAAAGATCTGTTGTCGATTAGCAAAAAAAATGTGTAATCTTTGCTAGTCTAATCTGAGCTGTACCCGACAATGCATTGTTCCGAGAGAGAGAGAGAGAGAGAGAGAGAGAGAGAGAGAGAAAGAGAGAGAAACGCACTACAACCGCAAAGAGTTAAAATTCGTAAAAATAATCGCCATTTCCAATCTGTAAGTCAGATGCTTCGCTTTATCTTGTTTTCCCGTCGAAAATTGCAGTCATTCTCTCGGCATAGTTGTTTACATGATATCTTGCAAAATTTCCAAGACTGAAAAAATCGCTTATATTCTCATCTTTTGTTGGATCCCGGCACAACGCGACATACGTTTGTCGTTGTTTCACTTCACGTCGAGGTTCTCTGTCAAATGCCGTGATCGAATTCGTGATATCCTTCCGCTCCGGTGAACACAACGTCGACCCAAACGCGCATAGCTTCCGGGCTGGGTGCCATGAGATGATAGAGTCTGGTGGAAGTTTTGACGATGAAAGTGAGGGAAGGTTGCGGCGATTTTACGGTATTCATGTGGTCCACGTAGACTTCCTCGATCGACTGCATTGCGTAAGTGTCGATTAGTAGATATCAGCGTTGAAACTTTTAAGTCATTGCCGAGCTTTCGAAACTTACCTGAAAGTAGATTACGCCGCGAGTTTTTCTCGACGTGTTGTCGCTGTAATAAGACAGCATTTTGCGCTTGCGATCAAACACGAACCACCGTTTGTTCCAATGGTGAAACCTTTTGCTCATCTTCGACAAGTAGCCACTGCAGCTCGTAGTGTCGATCGTGACATCGTAGATTAAGGGTAACTGGTGTCCGGCGGTTTCTATGTGATGCCTCAGGTCCAAGGACTCTGACTTGATAGGCAGGTATCTCGTGAGTGGCCTCTGTAAGATTCGTTGCTCATTGAACGCTTATTCGTGCACGTTAACGCGACACAAGTCTGATTACCTTTCATATTATTTCTTTATACAGCCTTTGTTAAATCTGAAATTTCGATTAAATTAAAATTTCAGATTTCTGGAAATTCGTCCAATTTTTTTTTTTTTTTTCCATTTGGATTCTAATACAACAGGAGGAGAACTTTATCACAGATTACAGATATCGTCTTTTTGCCCATTCGATTATTCCTCGTTGTTTAGTCGCGTACGTTACGTCGTTTTCTTATCTTTCGCGACTTTTACTTTATACTTTATTTTATTTTATACTTAATTTTTCGCGTAGTTACCTGTAGTTTTGCCTTTTCGCGATGTTTGATGGGCTGCAGCGGCCCAAGCGTATCCATCTCGCTAGATGTTTGAGAAAGCGGACGACTTCCGTTTCCATCGATGATGCCGCCTCCACCGCCACCGCCGCCGCCGCCGCCACTGCCACTGCCGCCGCCTCCGCCACCACCGACTCCTCCACCACCGATTCCTCCACTACCGCCGCCGTCGCCGCCGCCGCCGCCGCCGCCGCCGCCGCCGCCGCTGCTATTGTTGCTAAGCCTCTCACCTTCCATCGATGTCCTTCTGTCGTCTCTCATCTGAAAATAGCAAAGTTCAAGTTTAAGCATTAATTTATTTTAACGATACCAAAGATCTACGCCCAAACGATCAATGTCGAAAAATCAACGTATTCTTTAACCCTGATCGATTTCATCGAGAAAAAAAGAAAAAAGAAAACGAGTTTGCATTGTCGCGAAGAACCGTGCAGTTTGACCGAAGAGGATGAAATAATCTTGCAAATCCTTTCGCGTAACAACAACATTGGGAATCGAATTTTTATCCAATTTTACAGATCGATATCGTGCCAAGTTCGCCATTCGATAATCTCGCAGCAACGGTACGCACACCTACGCGTCTCCTCCTGACATATCGTTTCTTCGTTCTGCCCCTCACGTAGCTCATCCACATAAGCGACATTGCAATGCGATCGAAAAGTTAGTTTTAACCAGCAGCACTGGTCGTTCGCAGAGATCCGTACAGATCCGAACAGGTGACGGACGAGAACTGATGTCGGGCGGCACGGTCCTCGGCGAATATAATTCTCGCTGTAAAACGCAACTCGGCACTCTCCCACTTGTCCGACGGATGTTTTACGCGCGGCGATTTCGCCCCCGTCCCCGCCCCCGCCCCCGCCGCCGCGCAACGAGTTATGACTATTCCTCATTCATCGAACATTTCGTCGCGCGAAATGTATCGAGTGACATCACAGCGGATCGCTCTAAAATTCACCATCGTACATGTGGATGTGTGACGTATACGTCAGATTTAGGTCGTATGCACGAGCGTAAATGTGTAACTCATAAATGTGTTAGATTTGCGCGCGCGCGCGCGCGATATGGGACGCGCATTAACGCGCAACAGGCAGGTAAAAAGGTGCGAGCAGCTCTGGCTTTGGCGCGCGGTTTTCTGAAACGCGGCTGTTATCGCAGCCGCGTGCAGGAGCAGGAGTGGCGCCGAGTGGACCGAGAACGAGATGAGAAATATTCCGCGACAGCTCGGCAAACAACGTCGTGTGTGACTCATCGCAAATACTAATTTACCGCGGACATTTCACTTCTCGGCTCGACTCAACTAACCGGCCGAGTAAAGCGGCGAGGAATGTTGAGAGAATATTTCTCTCGGGGACATGAAGGCTCGCGCTCGCGCTCGCGCTCGCGCTCGCGCGTTATCAAGCGCATAATCCGTGCGCGTGTCTCGCGCACGATCGTCCCCAGGGTCGTCTCCGGCGCTCTGGGAAACGCACTCGCGAACGGTCTCTCATTCGAGCAAACTCTTGAAAAATAATGCGGTAAGACTATTTCGCGCATGTATAAATATCTGACGAGAAATAGGTCAGTTGCAAAAGAGACCCCACGATAAATCAGAGACGTCGGGTGCCCTCTCAGAGAGAGGGCGGTGGTTATAAATTATCATCGTAGGCTTAATGAAGATTTTACAAAAGCTCATTTATCGGCAAGTACAGGCCACTCTCCGAATAACCGTCCCAACGGGCGCGCAGATGTACGCTGCACCGGGGGAAACACGTGTGCACAATGACGAAAACCCTTGCTCCAGAATGCAAACTGACACAACTTGCGAAAACGCGTGTTGAAAGCGCTGCTGAAAACGTCCGCGACTTCTTCTCGCAGGCCAAGGCGAGGCGCGAACTTCCGGCCGTGAACAAATGCGTTGTCTCATCGGTATGGTGCACTCTAACCAGACGTATACTTTGAGACACGACCTCTTTCAAGCGCCAAAATAGTTGTTTCATTGACGAAGAAACAAATACGATGCGAGAGAGAGAGAGAGAGAGAAATTTTCTCACGTGTATGTCGTGTTTGCCCCAGAGAGCAGAGACAACGAGCGATAAATTTTCTCCTAAATAGAATATTTATGTGACGTTTCGCTAAATTTGTTAAACCCTGACCAACTGCTTCAGATACTTTGGATATCGTTTCGTTCGATTTAGAATTCCCGCGAATTCTACTCAGTAAATGCTTACTCACAAGTGCCCGAGGATGTGGCGCAGCTATTCCTCGCCTCTGACCAATTGGCGGAGATGAGTAGTTCTTCCGGGATTACATCGGAATAAATAGATGCGATGATATTTTTTCGAAAGACAAAAAGCACGCGACATCGTCGATCTTGAGATGCCAGTAAAGAACGCCAGAGATAATCGGAGGACAGATAAGAGAAGAAAAGCAGAGACACGGGAGAGAGGATGGACTGCTCGTTTACTATTTCGCGTCTTGTTGTCTTATAATCTTTGAAAAACATACCATACAATATCCCAATATCCGGTAAATTCCGCGCAAACCGCTTATGAATGTCACATTTTCGGCGAATTCGGCACCCGAGGAAGAAACCCCGTCCGCTTGTAATCGATAACGTTGTATCGCGTAATATTCGCGCGATATATAAAAGTGCGTTCGGTAGGGAAGGGAAACACACCGTTTGCGCGAGAGCTGAAACATTTCAGAGACAACACGGTGGTCGACGGAGAGAAAAAAAAACGTTTCTTTGAACAGGTGTGCGATAAAATCTACACGGGCAGAAATAGACTGGAAAGTAATAATAATAATAATAATAATAATAATAATAATAATCATAGAATCGCGTTTGCCGCGCTCGCAAATCGTGTAAAGCCTATCGCTGCGTATGCACACACGCGACTACCATTCGCGGTAATATTTGCATAAACGCGATAAATATGTCCTCTGGAAATCAAAATTCGGCACACGTAAAATTTGTGAATTTGTGAGACTTCCGAAAACAGATCGCGCGCTGTGTGATCTCCTCCCTACAAATAGTATTCCATAGTATTTTACAGAGTATCGGAGAGAACATTAATTTAAATATGTATGTATGAGACGTTGATGCGTATAATGTTACACTTACGTTATCATTTTGAAGCAAACTGTAAGAGTTATTCGACGGTCCGGGACTGGGCGAAGTAAGTTCCGAAAGCTTGCTGGGAGACAATTTTTCGCTATTTCCGCCTTCCGCACCGTCGCTGCTTCCGCTAGCGCTGAAAATTGTTTGAGTGCGAATTATATATATGTATAATATAAGTATGTTATATATTAACAAACTGTCATTACATCGTACGTAGACCCGATCGATCGATCGATCGATCGATCGATCGATCGATCGATCGATCGAGTGAGTGAGCAATAACACTTCTCCTGGCAGAATTGATCAACGAAACTCGCAATTAAATTGTCCGACCGATTTGTGCGAGTTATGAAAGAAGAAGTCCAAGTCAGCCGAAGCCGATGCGTCTCGCCAGCAGTCGTCCTTACGACTTACGTAATTGCTGCAACGCCGCTCGTACCATTACCGAAAAATTAACCTGCGCGATGCATCACCCGCAATCGTGTGTGTAGCGGCGAGGCGCGGGTGTGCGCGATTGTGAGCTGTTGAAAGAATCGTTATTAAGCAAAGCGCGAACGCGGAATCTGGCGAATTCCACTCGGCGTCTTCGGCATCCTCGGTGGATGTGACTCGCGGCGGTGTGCACACGGTCCTAGCTTCTGACCATCGCGCGCGACTGAGGAGAGGACGACGAGACGGGGCCTATGGTCGACTGTAGCGAAAGGCAGGTATTATTAAAACCTAACAAGTACAAAGTGACTCGGTAGGTAGACCGGTTCGGCGATACCACCGGCATAGCATTTAATTCTTCTACAATGTTAAATGCGCCGCGAACGATACCCGAACATTCCGATCTCTCGTTGCCATGCCAACCTCGACCTTGCTGTTAGAAACGCTCCCTCGTTTCCGATATAATCGAGCTGTGATAGCACGCCGCCGGAATATTTATCTTTGCACACCTTCTCAGTCAGTGGCGGCTCTATAGCCAACGAAGCCTTACCTTGCGCGCTCACATTCGTCGTTCGCCTTACTCGTCACCCCCGGAGGATGTGTTTTCAAGTTTGTCCTTTTAGTTTGATTGTCGTCGTATATTTTACTTTGAAATTATGCAGTTGGTCGTTATCGAGGCACGATTCTATATATATATATATATATATATTTAAGATTTCTCCTTTTGATGATCATAGTCGTTTTAGTGAAAATTTAAGGAACATGGTTGGTTCGCTAAATTATCAAATACCAAGAGTTAAAAGGAGTGTCAATTAATTATACCGAGTACCGATAATAGATACAATTGGGGAAATTTCATTTTTATTTTTTTTTGTCTTAATAGTAACGCTTGGCATATGGTCAGTTTGCTGAATTATCGAACGCTAAAAATTGAAAGAAGCTACTGATTAATTAAGCACCGATGAGATATATATATATATGTATATATATATACCGACATATACATACGATGATATATATATATATATTTACACATGGTGCAAAAATCACTCGCATCTAGAAATTGAAAGATTCCAGATGAGCGGTGTTACAATGTTGTATGATTTTGCGTCAACACCGCGTCTGGAACCGCTTCAGTTTCCAGATACGAGTGATTTTTGCCCACCATGTGTAAAGCGTGCTCGTCGAGTGCGCAGCTGTATCCGTGCATCGTAAACTTACGCCGCGAGCGTGCAAACGTATTATGACGTGTGTATTACGAAGAGAGATCGAAGTTGAACGTCGCTCTACTTTTTGCAATGCACTTTTTGCAATGCACTTTTTGCAAAATCGTATTGTTGCATTTATCTTGTCACGATTCCAACGAGCAACACACGCACACGTGCGTTATTGTCCCGATTATTAAAGCGACGTTCCATTATGTTTCATCTCTTAATCGCTCTTTTTAAAATAATTGTTGTCTTATCGATATTTTATTTCATTGTCTGCGAAGAATAAGGAAAGCGTCAAGATCGACTTAAAGTTTTTCTCATGCGTACTCTCTCTCTCTCTCTCCCTCTCTCTCTCTCTCTCTCTCTCTCTCTCTCTCTCGTGTATCAGTCGTTTTTCGTTCTCTTCGTAAACCTCCCTCGAGACAACAACAACGTTCCCGGCGATTTTTCGAAAAAATCGAAACGAAGACAATACACACTCACAAGTAACGTCGACAAAGCTGGCGCGTGTGACTCTCCAGAGGACGACAACAATTGTCGCAGATCCAGTCTTTAGCGCAGAGGTAACAGCGGTTACTGGTGAGCAGGGTGATTAGATTGCACCCCCTGACTCTGGCTTCATTCAGCACCATCTCGCCCACTTCTCTGGGCTCCATTCTCGGCAATTCGCGTTCATCACCGAATACACATTTTAATCCCCCTTTTGTTCGTCATCGACACAACGTCACTGTGCTCCTCTCCGTGCTCCGTTCTTCTCGCACTTATCGCGCTTTACGCTCTTATCTACACCGAATGTTTCCGCATTTCCCCTCGATTTTCCGCGCGAGTCAACGAGCCCACGTGAATACGACGCAGGACGCGTTAACGCGGCGAGTAAAGCCGCGGGAATCGGGTAGCACAGAGCTACGGGCAGATATCGTATCACGCGATAACGCCCCGCCTACCTTACGGTAAAGAGTGAGCAAAGACCGGAGCGGAGCGTGTCAATCCAATCGACGTGATACGCGACCCTTAGATGCGCGCAATCGCTGTGATCGTTATTAGCAGAGTGTTAACGGTAACACACGCGGACAATCGATACATCTATATCAACGTCCGAAAATTTGCGAGTTAAATCGTCCCGCTTCGCGTCTAAATCCGTTCTTGTCTCTTCGGTACGCTACGACAAGACAAATTTGTCAAAGCTCAACTCATGCTTGAGTTGGGGAGGCATGTTTAATGCCTCGCCGAGTATTCTGGGAAGTAGTTGCTCGCTCCATTGAAAATTGCGCCAATTGAGAGCTTGATTATCAAGCTCTCTTGCTGCTTTTCTACGTCGGATATGTAGGGTGCGCTCGGAGCGTCATATACGCCAGTGCATACGTCGTTCGAGGCGCGCCGATGAGGAAGGTTTCGTAATAAGCTTCAATCAACGATGGAAAGGCCGTCGCGATTAATCGCGGGATATCGCGCGATAACGCACGCAACGCTTATTCCACATACTTGGTGGCGCGAACGTCCGTGTTTTTTGCGCGACGTAGGTAATGACGCTTCGCTCTCGTTCTCTGCTGAGAGAACGTCTGCGTGCGCAAAATATACAAGACACACACACACACACACGCACGTCCGCGTCGCGCACAACGTCTCTCCAGACATTGTTACCGCGACTAGATTGCAGACCGACATTCTCTTCAAGCCGCGCGTGTGCGCGCGCTGACGTTATTCTCCAGATTTGAGTCTCTCACTCAACATTCACGCGCGATGATAAGACGAGATCAAACAGACCCCAAAGCAGACTCACCTTTCCGTCGGTCCGGTCGAGTAACTGGACGACTCCTCGCCAGATTCGACGCTGTTGAAAGACGCGCAGTTCATCTTTCTCTCCTCCCACTGCGAACGAACTTCGTCCTGCACGCGCCTCTTCAACTCCTCCACTCTGCGCCTTTCCTCCGAGATTACTTGGCTCCCTAGAAGAAAAAAGGCCAGACGTTTTTGTTTCCACTTGTTTGTCGTTTGAGTCTTCTCGAGCGTACACGCGCGTATCGTATCGTATCGTATCGTATCGTGAGACTCGTTCATCCAGGAAACGAGACGCACCTTGCTTAGCTAAGTGAAGCTGCCGGTTCCTCTCGATTTCCTTCAGCGACTCGATCGTCTTCCTGCCCAAACTGCCCTGATTGTTCACGATCGGCGAGTCGTTGGTCACCCTGGAGATTCTGTCAAAGTCTTCCCTGCTCGGGGATCGTTTCTCCTCAGAATGCTCAGCGGAGTTTTGAGCCAGATAGTCGAGCTCCTCATTTATCTCCCGCACTCGATTCCGGGCCTGTATCGTAAAGTCGATTGCATAATAATGAGAAGAAAGGACGCAACGCGTCACGGCGTGAATTCACTAGAATTTAATGGGCAAGGAGATGAGTGTTGACGCTAGAATTTTTTATGTCGCAGGAAAATGTCGCAGGGGCTCGTCATGTGTGCGGAGGAGAGCTGCGCGTTACTTATCTTATCGTGAAATTGACATTAGACACTTCACAGTGAATTAAAACAGCTCTTACAGCTCGATGTCGTTTTACCGACCTCCTCCAGTCTCTTCAGATGTCCCAGTTTCTGTCTCTCGAGACTCCTGGCGTCTTTGGTTGCCGCGTTCTTCGCCTCGGACCGCTGCGACTCCAAGTGGTTCAACTGCGATTTTCTCGTTTCGATCTTGCTCGTGAGCTCGCTCAAGTATCTGCGAAAAACAGCAGCGAGATGTACGTACAGTCGACGGAGGAGAGGGGTATACTGCGCATTCGCAGTACGCGCACGTGCATACGTACAAACACGTGTACGTATAGAAGTGAAAAAAGCAATTACGCGTGTACCTCTGCAGTTCTTCTCTGGTGGCCAATTTGCTCGCCTCTTCCTCGAGGTGATGAAACTCCATGTCCTCGAAAGCTTTCCTCTCGCTCTCGAGAGCATCCTGCTGCGCCGCGAGCTCGTCGGCGATATCCTGCCGTGTAATTTCATCCATACAACCGGCTAATTGTTCGTCCAGTCGGACGCAGGCTTGCTGTGTTCTCTGAACGCGCTGCTTCGCCTCGGCTTGCAAATGCGAATGAGTCGCGTTATCCTCCGCCATTTCTCTCTCTAGCTCATTAATTCGCAGTTGCACCTTGATCTTTTCTCCCTCGTCCTGCGCGAGCTTTAACGATTCCGATTCATACTCCGCGGACAGCAGCGCCTTCTCCATCTCGAACTGTCGAACAGCAAAAGTGAGTGTCGTTCATGTTCGAATTTCCAGGGTCCCCGGGGTTGCTCCGCGAGGTTGTCTCCGCGCAATTTGTTGATTTTTACTGAGATATCTCGAGCGAAGACGAAATATCAGCTGACAAACAGTAGTCTAAATATAGACAAGAGAAACGCGACTGTCGTTCGCGTCCCCCCACACCGCTTTGGATATTCGAGCATTCACGAGAACTTTACTGTCTAATAAAACGATAAATACTTACAATCGGACGTCTTTGCATTCCGTGCCCGGAAAGGGGGGGGGCAATGGAGAGCAAAAATAAACAATTGGTTTAATATGCGACATATATATGTGACAGGTATATGTGACGTGTTATATATATATATATACAACAACGCGATACGCCGATATCGCTGTATATTTGTTTTCGTTCGCAAGCTCGTTAGTTCGAGGAAAAGAGTAAACGTTTGCGAGGTTACCTCTCTGGTAATTTCCTCCTCCTGTGCCTCGATCTCAGCGACGCTCCTCTTCAGCGCGTCCATGTTGCCGAGGATGTGTAGCTTCTCGCTGCGCAAAAACTCGATGTATTTCTTCCTATCTTCCTCCTCCAGCTGCTTCCTCTCCTTATCGGCCTTTGCCTCGTTCGACTTGGCGTTATCCCTCTCGGTGTTGTTTCGCTTGGGGGTCACGCAGATCTCTTTGGATTTCGCAGAGAGCATGGACAGCTGCTCTATCGCCTCGAGCAGATCGTCGTTCGATACGGTCAGCTTATTCTCGATCATTTCGCACGAGTTCGACAACTGACCGTGCTTCTTTGGCATGGTGGAACGATTCTGGAACTGATCGTTGTTGTTTCGTGTCGTCGGGAACGCGACGTTCTCGTAGAGATTCGCGTTCGCATTTTGCATCGCTCGCTGCGGCGGCTCGATTCTCGTGCCGTTCGACCGGATCGTTCCGTACGTCGGCTCGCCGGCATCGTCATACGTCTTTGTCTTCGTCTTCGTCTTCGTCCCGTCGTACTTTTGCGTCGTTTGCTGATGATCGTTGTTGCCGCAATTCAATCCGCCGCCGCCGCCGCCGCTGCCGTGAGCTTGATTAGTGATCGAGTCGGAGAAACTGTAGTTGCTGTTGCTGCTGCTGCTGTTGCTGCTGTTGCTGCTGCTGCTGCTGCTGCCGCTGCTGCTGCTGCTGCTGCTGCTGCTGCTGCTCGCGTCGCGAACGTTTGGCCGGAACTTTGCCGGCTGATGATCGCCGTCGTTGGACGTGGTCGCCAACAGGTGCAACGGTCCCGCGGCAACGTCGGCTTCGACGAATCGATGGTCCTTACGATTGACGGGCGAATCACCGTTCTGGAAGACGAGCTGGGAATTTTGCACAAACACGTTCTCGTACGACGACGCCGTGCCGCAGCCGCCGGTTTGTTTGCAAACGTCGAAGGAGAAGTGCGGTTGATTCTTCGATGGGCTCTTCGGGCTGTTAAAGGGCGAGTGGTAGCCGAGTCTCTTGTCGCGTGGCAGAGATCCGTTTGTTATTATCCTGCAAAAACGCGATTGGATTTTACTCTATATTAATCAATGATTGTGATTGTAATTTTATATGTGATCGTAAAGTATTCTCAAATTCAATCTGTCGGATCGTCGACTCGTCGTGGCGATCGAAACGTTTCGTGTGGGGGGATCGGATGAATCTTGCGCGGAAAGAAGTGCGGAACGAATGAATGAATGAATGAAGCAGGGAAACGAAAGTTGAAAAAGAGATTACCGATTCGGCTGTCTCGGCTTTTCGACGGTGCTCTGTCTCTCGTACTCGGCGCACATTGCCAGGATCTCCTCCAGTCGCATTTTCTCCTGCCTCTCGACCTCTTGCTCCCTCAGCCTCTCTTCCTGTGCTCGTTTCCTCCTGGCCTCCGCCTCTCTGCGTTTGTTCTCCTGCGCGTCGGCCTGTCTCTCCCGCGATTCCTCGACGGAACAGCCGCTCGCACCGGGACTTTTGACCGTCGCGTGAACCCTCTTCTGCTCGCTGTACCGCGGATTTCGATTGAACGCCGGGCTCGGTGGCTGAATCGTCCGCTTGATGTTCGGATTCGAGCCGAAACCGCGAGCCGCGGTCTCGTCTCCGACGTCGCTGTTGGCGTCGCGGACGCTCGGATTCGATCCGTACTTCGATCCCAGTTGCAGGAACTCGGTGCAGGTGGTCGTCTTCGTAACGATCAGGCTTTGGCTCATGTCGTAGTCGCGGTCGTAGTGCTCGAGCTCGTTCGAGCTCTGACAGGTCATACTGCGGGACATGAGGTCGCTTCGCGCTGCGTTCCTGCTGCTGACGTTACCGCCGCTGCTGCACTCGCGGCGGTAATAAGGCTGCTTGCACGTCTTCAGATAGGTCTCCGCCGAGTACATTCTGATCTGATTGTGATTGTGACATTGTGGCGAGACGTTGCTCGCCCCCGATCGGGTGGTCGACGTGCTGCGCGGCGGATCCGGGACGACGTCGCCGCCGCCGCCGCTGCCGCCGCCGCCGCCTCCGCCTCGACGACCCGCCGCCGTCGAGTTTCGCGACGGAGAGCTGCTGTCGTTGTCGCAGCCGTTCACCGGCGATCTCGCCGGCAGGGACACCAGGCTGGACGATCTCGAGTGACCGAGGATCTGATCGGCCGGCACGTTCGTCGTGAGTGCGCCGGCCGGGAAGACCTTTGGCGAGACGCAGTCTCTGGCCCGACTCTGCTTCGACAGCATCTCGAATTTCGTCAGTTTGCCGAGGAAGCCCATCTCGTCGTCGGAGCACGAGTTCCTGGGGGACTTTCGTGGCGCGACCGGCGGTTTTCGTTCCAAATGATGTTTCTCCGGCGGCTGCGAGCCGTCGGTCAGCGAGGAGAAACTTATAGGCGCCATCGAGATCCTTGAGTGAGGCAGGATGGATCGCAGGTGTTTCGCCTCGGCCGGGTGATTGAAACGCATATAATTCGAACGACCTATCGAGAGCATGCAACCTGGAAACAGCGTGACATTACAGTAGAAGAGAGAGAGAGAGAGAGAGAGAGAGAGAGAGAGTGAGAGAGAGAGTGAGAGAGTGAGAGAGAGAGAGAGAGAGAGAGAGAGAGAGACATTTTGTTCGTGATTTAGGTGAACGAATCTGCTGCTGCTGCTGCTGCACGTTCGCGCGATTTGAACGCGCGATCGCGAAACAGGCAGTTTTTCTGGTCGGCGGCGTCGTTCTTTTTAGGACGTCCGCCTTTTTAGGACGTCCGTGCATGACCGGCGACGATCATTCGTATTTAGGCCAAGGTCCCTTACCTTGTGCGAGTCTCACTGGCGAATTTATCGGCACACCGTCGACAAACGTGTTGTTTCCATTTATGGGATGAAGAGTGACCACACTGTTATTGTTCTCGATCGCGCAATGTATCGGCTCGACGCCGGTGCCGGCCATCGAAATATCCGCATCCCGGCTCGATCCGAGCGTGATCTTGCCTACACGTCAGAGAAAAACAAGGAAAGCTGTGAAAAATCAATTTACATTCACGTGGAGGGGGGAGAGGTCGAATGAATAAATAGCCCCGATCGCCGCTGCATCGGCGAGATCGCTTCACACCTGTCGGCGATCGGAGCTCTGTCTGGCCGTTACGTTACTCCGAAATAGTTTGGTTGTTGTTCGAACGCGCGAGGCACGCGAGATATCGAGAAGAAGCGCGCGATCGCGCGTGCCTCGCGCGGTTGAATGGAAAGCAGGCGGCCGAGTGAGAGCGAGTGCGTATGCATTCCGATCGAAATTCCCGCGGCCTTAGTAACGCACTTCCCGACTCCTCGTAACCCTCGTCTGAGTTATGTTTATTTTCCCAGCGACCCCCACGTGAATCTATCGGAATATAAATATCGGCATAATCGAATTTCGCCTCGCGGCGCTCTCTCGTCCGCGCGCGGAACCGCTCGAAAGCTCCGATTTCCAAAAGGAGCTCCGATGACCCGCCCTCCCCGGCGGGTTTACAATATTAATTTAGGCCTTCCGAGAAAACGTCAACGACCCGCAACGAGGATGATGTTCTCCGGATATGTTCTCTTCCTCGTCTGATACACGGCACTTTGGAGGCGCTTTGGAATACGGAATACGGAAGAATACGGGGCTGAAGCGCTTGTTTCCAGAGATATCACTCTAAATCCGTACCTTCAACAACTAGGTATCATGTGTCAGCCGATTTTTCCGTGGCTCTTTGACGCAATTTTCTATTTTCTTCTCTCTCTCTCTTTTTCCTAACACGAATCATGGGCCGATCGTTCACGAACGAATTCCACAGCTGTGTATCGTGCTGAGATGAGAAGTGCACTTCTCAGGTCACAGAGAGTCACAGAGACCTGTGTGCAATTTTCGTCGACGAATGTTTAATTTTCAGCAGCTCGCCAGCAAATCTCCGCGATATCCGTGCGAGAAGCGAACGCGTTTTTCCACGGAAATCTGTGTACGCTCCTCGCTCCTGTGTATCCTGTGTATCCACTCCTCCGAGAGTGTACTCCTCCAAGACCTCCAAGACACTCGTACGGCCCGCACTGCTTTCCGTAAAATAATCCGGAGTCTAGGCGCGCTGCTCTCTCTCCGTTCTGAGAGCGGCGCGGCGGGTAAATCGTGCTGCATTCTACGAAGGACTGCAGTTATATTTAGTTTTAGCGCGGTCGTGCACTCTCTCTTGCATTTTCGGTATTTTTTTTTGGAAATGCGTCGGCCACGACGCGCGTTGGAAATACGTAAGTATCCCTACGATACTAGACGCATAACTTTTAAGTGACTTTGCGCTCTACCAAATTTTTCCCGTGGTCGCGCGCGCGTGCTTTCGAGGTGAGTCAGAGGGGGACGTTCGCTGCTACTGGAAGAGCATACCGCAATCTTCGATCGTCGGATCATTCGTAAGAAAAATTGCTGCTACTTGTTGTGCTGTAATCATGGGAGACGAGTCGAAATCACGCTAATGACACTATCGCGGAGCACCCGCGCGCACGCATACTCGTATTACTCACCGCAACACGAGTTGAGTCACGCGACAATCGATAGCAAGGAACGCGCGAGGTCTCGAGGATCGAGTTTTTCCATCGCGTAAGCGCATTGTCCCGCATTGTCCCGCGGGAGAAAGTTACCCGTGATTTCCGTGAAACAAACGCGATCGTAAGCTTTTCAAGGAGACACGATATTCATTCCGGCGTGTGTGCTGCGCGCGCGCGCGCGAGCGAGCGCAGGTAGACGAACAAACGGACAGGTGCGCAAAATGCGGCGGTTCTCTCTTTGAGAGAGAGAGAGAGAGAGAGAGAGAGAGAGAGAGAGGGAGGGAGGGAGGGAAGGGGCCCGTCCCGAAAGGGAAGCGTCTCGACAAATCGCTTCTCATTGAGCGAGTGATTAAACCGCGTCACTCGATCATTAATATCCCATCCCAGGATTTATCGATTTTCTTCTTTTTCTACGTACTACGCTTTTATTATTCTGTTCTCTCATAAGCCAAATTGGCATACCGTAACTTGACGCACTCTTCAGGACAACTACCATCAGATGATAATCTTTAACACTTTTAATTGAGAGATTTAGACAGAGACGATAGGATCTACTTTCCTCTAGAAAATCGCGCTACTCGCTACCCGCCCGATTGTCCAAACAGATGAAAGAACAGAGGAATCCTCGCGCGTATCCTCGTGCGCGCGTGTTACGCCGAATCGATTTACCAACTGTACCGCGCGCAACCTCTTCCGCGATTTCCGCAACTTCACGACCGCTCGTTCAGCCGCCGCCCCCCCCTACCTCCTCCCACGTCTTGGTGTTAAATTCGCGTTCGCTTAATCCGTTCGCCGTTTTATGAACCGCGAGGATATTGTTCGCTCGTTGCTCGTTCCCTGTTGGAACGGAAATGTATAGGGTCTGCGAGCTTCTTAAAACGGCCCTGCTCGCTCGGGAGAACAGCCTTTACGCCATTTATATACCCGGTACGTTTATATAGCGTGTACACGCGCGCGCGTGCAAGTCCCTTCGAATATATGGCGCGTACATAAAGGCTAAACCGAGAGACCAAAGAGTTGCGCTCGCTCACTCGCGGAGCGATTACGGTCCCCGCGTATTTTCCATCGCGTATATAGTATTTCCACCTGACCGGCGGACGTGATGTTCTGTCTCTTCTTTGTTTCGGAAAACTCGATTCCGTCGAGTTCCGAGTCCGGCACGAACCGGAGATTGACCGGAGGCGGCGGAGACACAGCGGCATAAAGTTTAAGCGGCAATCGTTTCGAACGCGTAGAAAAATATTGAAGGCACTCAATCAGGCGGCGAGCGATCAGCTGGGAATATGATACATGTTTCGTGCAATACTTGCTGAAGTTGTCGATAAAGAGTCTGGAAAATTTAGAGAGGAGGAGATAATTAATACCAGCGATATTATTAATAAGGATAAAAGGATTTGACGTAGAAAGCAAGCGGCTACCATACAATAGTGTCCCATGTGCGTGGAAAGTGCTGGAAGATCTGCCCGTTACGTTATCCCTTGTTGCATCGTCGCAGCAATTGTATCCTCCCGTTGGATACTCCGTTAATCCGACGCGTCCGTCATCCAGCGTCGGAGTTTTTGCCAGTCGGTCTGTCATTGTCACTGGTCATTTTGTAACGAACAGGTTTGGTAGTGTGAAACACGTTTAAGAAACTTTGAAATCTATCCATCTCTGGACTGACAGACAGCCTATCGGCTGTAAAATATAGACTTGAGACGACTCCAGTATCCGAATTGATATCCGAACCAACGATAACCAACTCAACTCTGCCTCAACACTAAGGTGTGTCTAAGGGTTGATAACTTGTCTCACCAAAAGATAGAGAGTAACAGTGTGTTTCATATCCCGGTTCTTTCATACGCCAAGCTATCTTTCGACCGATACGAGCAGCAATAAACTCCCGCACCGCGTTATTTTCCAAATCTCTCAATGACGCTGTGGTGCTTTATCAATTGACGCGATGCTATTCGAGCCTTGGATTAAAACACTGAATGAGTCACTGGATGGAATTACGTGGACGACGAGCTTGTGCGTTCCGCTACCGCGGCTCGATACACTTTCAGTCGATTCGAGTCGTAGAAAACGATCGGAGAAACATTAATTTTATAATTATAAATATCAATAAATATTGTATAGTAAGTAATTTCGGATTTTTCGTTGGAAAATTTCTCGACGGAATTCCATGACGAGAAATATGCTTTGTGGTAGTATGCTTTGCACGAGTCGGACAATCAGTAAAGCGCACTGAACATTTCCAAGTCCTCCGAGGGAGGGCTGAAAGGTGTTGTTGTAGGTCACTTTGCAAAGTCTAACCTTCGGGTAGAGGATGCAGAGTCACGGCCGTCGACAGTCTGCCGCTTCCCATGGAGACGAGATGCGGCGCTTCCGTTTGCACGCGCAAAGCCCGGCCCGCCTCGTGCACCTCGAGACCGGCCGCTGCTGCACTCGCCATGCCTGCGAAACAAAAGCATTCGTAATAAATACGCGCTCGCGAATTAGCGGCCGGAGCGGAGAAATCGGCGGTAAACGCAAGGTAACGATCCTGATTTCCGATCGGCACCGACGCGCCATTCCCACCGGGTCTCTCTCCCTCTCTCTCTCTCTCTCTCTCTCGTTTTATAGCGTGATCTAAATTTTCGTACGACCGACAAATGCCGGGAAAATTTCAATATCCTTCTCCTCCTTCGTTCCTTCGGAAGAAAAGAAGAAGAAGAAGAAGAAGAAGAAGAAGAAGAAGAAGAATACTCGATTAGAACATGTGGTGGGGGGACATCGCTTGATATCGAGCGCATTAAACGAGAAGAAGAGAGCAAAACATAATACAACGGAGAAGAGAGGCCTTACTACTTGTTACTACGAGAGTAGCTTACGAGAGTTACGGACAAACCTCGTAACGACCTCGTCGAAGATTACGGCTATATCGTGTTTTAGTCGAGAAATCGATCCAAATGAGTCCTTCCACCGTAGCGTAGCTTCACGTTGGCGGATAAGAATGGGAGAAGAGAGGGTTGCTGAAAAAGAAAGCGGGAACGAAAAACCGGTCTTCCCAAGTCCCGAGCAAGGGATTTTTCTATCTTTTTTCTTGTTTCTCCCCGTCGTTCGTAATCTTGCTCTACGCTGGGGGGTTCTTGACCTTCTCGCGATATACCACCTTGCGGAGACTTACGGTAATCCTGTGCATTTATTACTTTTCTTTTTTTTTCTTCTTCTTCTTGTCTTCTCACATCGGTCGTTCTTCGGTCGATCGACGTCGGTCTGATCCTTCAACTTTTATTCTTGCAATTTGTAATACATCGGTTTCACGCACATACACACGTACAGTAGGTGAAGCTGGAAAGTCTCTCTCGCTCGCTCGCTCGCTGTCGCCACGGTTGGCGTTGTACTCGCGTACGGTTTATAGGGTTGTTCATCTCATGCGAATGATCTTAACGAGTTGAAACAACTTTAATTAAGCGCATTACGCTAGGCCGTCCCGTTGAACTTTGCTAACGCGTTTGGCCACGAGGAAGTAATGTATTCCACTTGCAATTTCTACACCAACCGGCACACGCGCAGCGCGAATACGCGCGAATAGAGAAAAATGTAAGCGGAAACACCGAGATACGAGCGACAGTGGAACAATTTAACACGGCAAAATTACACGCTTCGTGTGAAGAGTGCCAAACTCGCCCGCTCGCATCGCTCGAGAATCGCCTGTTTAGTCCTAATTTAATTCGCCCTGTTTTAAATAAATTGTGAAATTGGCAGTTAGTCAAACAAATGACGGAGAAAGGAGCCGAAAGGGATTCCGGCTCGGACGATATGTTATTCCTTCTCACTTGATTGTCGTCCGGAGTGCGCAGGGAGCGCGACCCCCGTAAAGGGACAAGGGGTTACCTTGATCCGTGAAATTTTAATGCTTTTCCCCTGCGGTCAAACGATTAAACGGCCCAGGTCGTGGCGCTACACGGTCGCGCGGTGCACACGCACAATCTGCTTAAATTACACCTCCTCGGATTTCATCGGCCGGTAATTTAAAGCCGACGATTAAGATGCCGGGGTTGAATCGCTCGGTCGAAGCTGAGACCTCTGGAGACGACGACGACGACGACGACGACGACGACGACGACGACGACGACGACGACGACGACGAAGATGAAGAAGAAGAAGAAGACGAAGAAGAAGGAAAAGGAGAAGAAGAAGAAGAAGAGAAAGAAGAGGCAGCAGCAGAAACCTTATCGTAAGCCGTCGGTGTTGCTGCGTACACGCCGAGAGCACACATAATGTATTTGCATCGCGATATATATCGTCCGTCGTGCGTCTCTCGCGCTCGCGAGAGTGTACGTAAACGGAGCCTGGTCAGGTCAACGTTGCAAAATCTGGTGGATCTCATCGGCTTATTGCGCAGTTCGATCTCATCGTGCGTCCGAGTCCGAGACGCGCGAACGAGAACGTTCCTGGGAATCGCGGTCGGATCGATACTCTTCGTGCCTGGCATACCAGACCACAGAGTGTTTGATAAGATAGCTGATAATGAACAACGTGCGCATGCACGCACACACACACACACATTATTCACTTATCACGATACGTAACGCGACGCGTTAAATCGATGAGATACTCGGCGTGTTCCTCTCTTACATTCATACGCATAATCGTATCTCGACTATTCGTTACGACCGTCTTGAGCGCGCTAATGATTACATAACGAATGCTCACAGCTCGAATGTAAAGGAATACGAATGTATCGTGATTCATCCGAGCAAAGCTCCTCTTGAGCGAATCCGACACGCGCATTTCACGTGTTAATTTAGAGATTGGACAAATGCATTAGCGCTCGATTGAAAGATGGACCAAAGGAGACCGAGGGGTATCGCGCGAAAGCACCAGGTGTGTCGTCCTCGCGAACTCGCTCTCGCGTGACTCCGCTCGAGATCGCCAACCTGATAGACACCTGTTCGTGTACAGGTGTCAGGCCAACAGTGCCGTTGAATTATTTAAAAAATTAATTAAAAGAGACAAGAGTATATATTGTTCTAAGAGGAATTTGAACGTTCCACTGAATCCCATATTCCGCTATTTGTAGAAGATTTAAAAGAATCGCTAGGAGGGAGGGACGATCTTTTCACACGATCTGCGTATATTTGATGATTGAAACGCGCCGAGAGAGAGAGAGAGAGAGAGAGAGAGAGAGAGAGAGAGAGAGAGAGAGAGAGAGAGAGAGAGAGAGAGAGAGAGAGAGAGAGAGAGTATCGAATAAATTCTACGGCGTAATCTACGGTGTAGACGAGAGTAAGCTCACGTGGGAGTTCATGCCTACGTAAGGTCGTCGCAGCTTTTGACAACGTATCATCGTGCAAATACAGTTGGTAGCGACGATCGGCGGCCTTGGATTGTCGTTCGGTTCGTCTGTTTCTCGATGGAATTTCTCGATCGGGTTTTTTTTACTACTCTCTACTCGATCGAAAATATTTTCTCTTCCATGCCAGCGCAAGCGCGAAAAAATACGCGCGCGATCACGAGGAGAGGAGACGAGAGGAGAGGAGAGGAGAGGTAGACGCAAGGACGCAAGACAGCGACGACGACGACGACGACAACGCAAGCGGACGCGGAGCGCAAATGTTTGTTCGCGTGCGAGACGATAACCACGCTCGGTGATAGCGCAGTGTTTTAAATGAAAATGGCGCGTGGTCTCGCGCCGTTAAATTACAGCTTGACGCCTATCTAATGTATGACTGGACAGAGGGAGATGCAGCTCGAGATTAGCTTTGCCGAGGTGGCACGACTATCTCGCCTCGCGACTTCTCAGAGCGCGACAAGGGGATGATGTAAGTCGATCGCGCCCGTCGGGCCGACACCGCGTCAACCGCGGCACACTTCTTCACGACGGGGCTTTCCTTAATGGGTCAACGGCTCGTTCTTTATTAGCGGCAATTAACGCGCCAGTATAAACGTTTACCAATGACGTCAGTCGCCACACGCGGAGCGATTTACAACGACGCCTGGCAACGCGTACGCGCGTCGCCGCGCCGCGCCGCGCCGGCGAGACAGAAAGAGAGATGAACGTTAGGTTCTCTCTCTCTCTCTCTCTCTCTCTCAAACGCAGGACTTCTGTCTGAGTTTTCTCGACAATATTGAAAAAGGTGGCACTAAGGTCTAATGCCTTCGCATGCTATGTTTCGATGCTAATTTGCTGTCTCGATGTGAGATGTTGCTTACAACCATCCGCTCGGGAGACCGCGAGCTGTCGTGGCGCGGGGGTGGCGTATTTTCACAAGCCGAGGGATATAATAACCGTGGAAGAGTACGAGATTGAGAATGCACGATATCAGATGAATATTAGATATAGCGAGAATGAGAAATGTTCGGGGAAATAAACAATTCCAGAGGCAGAGTAGTCCCAAGCGCGCGTCTCGCCTGCTCAAGGGCACGTGAGCGCGTTTAGTAACAAATAAACACGTAGGTAGACGAGCGGTCGCGCAACACTCCTTGACGCGGACGCGATCGCATCGGGAGGCGTCGCCCGAGAGATCCCCCCGATTTTCCCGATTTAATCGGGAACCGTTGCGTTATTCGCTATTATCCCGCTATATTATCCCGCGTGTGTCTGCAGGGGCCGTCGTACCATCGTTTCGAGTAGCGGCTATACATCCTCCAAACGTAATTGCCGCATTTTATTTTTATCGATTTGAAAGAGAGAGAGAGAGAGAGAGAGAGAGAGAGAGAGAGAGAGAGAGAGAGAGAAACCATCAATCATTTTGCGCTTTCATATTTTGAGATGAGACGGCGATGAGAGTCTACTGTCGTACCAACTAATCAGGAAACGTTCTTTCTGCTTTCAGATTTGACAAAGAAACTTACAGCGGGGATACGAGTGCAGTTACGATACGAGGGTGCAGTTGGTCCAGTAGACGCTGATGCCGCCGCACCGGAGGATCCGGTTCGGGCCGAGCTGGATCGGCTCGAAGGTAAGTTTACGGATCTCTTCTTCGTTTGACCCTGTGCGCGAAGGTGCCGAGATAAAGCAATCTCCAAGTTACGATCCAAGTAAAGGACCAAAGTGGGTGGTACTTGGAAAAATATAAAACTTTAATAAGGCGTGAATAAAATGTGAACGAATTGCATTGCAGAATTATCGAGGGGCTTGGGACTATCGCGCCAAAGTTGTCGCGACAGTAATTGCTCGATTTACGCTTACCGCTCAAGTATTATTAACTCGCGTCTCTTTTTCTTTTGCACGTCAATCCTCAGACACTCGCGTCCACGCTGGCTTGTTTATTATAACTAACCCGAGAGAAATGATCTTTCTGTTTCAGAATGGTAGCGGAACGTGGCCGGTTTTGAATTGAAGCTGATTCGGTGAGTCTCACACTCAGAAAGAAAAGAGAAAATCACGGTGGTGGAAGATCCGAAAATTATTAAAGTCAATGCGATTTACGCTGCATGGTAGATATTTGCGTATTTGTTGTTTCGATGTGCGTAAACTCGAGCCATTGAGCGAATCGCCGTGTTGTAAGCACAATGTTGTTGCGAACAAGCAAGACGATTCGGAGAAAAATAATGAAAGACTTGTGAAAGTTTTGTGTCACATCAACGAACGCTGCTGGATCGCTGAATCTTTCAAACGAACGAATGATGGACGATCGATGGATTGAGTTTGTTGATAGTTTTCACAACCATTTCGCTCAATGGTTCATTCCTATTGCTGATAATTATCCGAATACCGAACCATCGAACACGAGATTCGATATCTGACGTCTGACGATAATGACGTCGATAGTGAAATCGACGTTAAGACCTCGCAAAATACATTCGCCACAAACAGTGGCGCATCAAAATTATGCGAAGCTTCGCACGCGGTGATTTTGCCCTCATGCAGGATTTCGCTACAGTCGCGTTCGTTGATTTTCTAAATCTTTTATACGCGCATTCACGCGGCAAATTTCAATTTCATTTCGCAAGCAAACAGACGAGTACTTTGTCGAATCGTATCCTATTCGCCAAAAATATCACGAAAGTAAGCTCTGTAGAATTATTGCGGAGCGCATTCAACGTGACAATTACGCGCACCTAGAGATTACTTTGCATGCGCGGACGTGTTGATTCGCGCGATTGCTGAGGCCTTTAATTCGCGATACGCATAGTGGTTCATAGAGCGTCGGAGCATCGTGATTACGTGATATGTGTGACGATTCGTTGCTTCGGCTGCTTCGGATGAAGTTGTCGGCGCCTAATAGCGTCGAATAAGGTCGACGCCAAAATTTCGCAAAATGCTTGCGAAACAGTGGCGCGTAAAAATAATAACGTGGCCGTGTAAATTTTCGCGGTAAATATTCCCCTTCGTGTTCTTCGGCTCTCTAGATTCTCTAGACGCGCGTGTCCGCGCGCCGCAATTTTGCGACGTGGTCCATTTTCGGCTTTTGCGTGTACATTCGATAATCAGCGTGGCACTGCACGCTATACCGCGCGCGCGCGCGCGCGCGAGTGTGTTCTACAAAGTATATTGCAGATACTTGTCGTACTGCGACCGATAAACGATATTTCTCAATTTCTCTTTCGCGCCTCGTCCCCCGATGCGTCCCTCGAACGAGCTCGTAAATCTCGCGTAAACGCGTCGAAAGCGTTCGATCGAAGTTGAACGTCCGTTAAACATAAACTTCTAAATGGTGAGTGAGCAACATTTTCAGATTACAAATTAGTAGTGTAGATCATATGCCGCTGATCGCTGATTGACTTTTGCGGAACGAGTGATCACAGTTGTGTGCATCAATTCGCTACAAAGTATCGAATATGAAGAAATATGTGTGTGTGTGTGTGTGTGTGTATAATTAGCAGCAGACAATGGGTTATAGCACATAATTACAAGAATCACACAAGCATAATCACAGTAGTCAACATGTGCAATTATAAGACACACACACACACACACACACACACAAAGACAAAGTTCGGGAGGGAATACCTGTTTTTTTACCGACACCGAGTTTGAGCAGGAAGGAGCACGCTTGCGTTAGGTACCGGCCGTAAGCGCTCCGCATCCGGTCCTATCCGCTCCGCTCCGTTCCATTCCGTTCTGCCGCATATAGAACATCCGTTGCAGCGACGTATGCACCGACTCGCGCGGGGTATACGAGCTTCGTGCGAAGCGTTGCCCACATTCTCGCGTGGTTTTGTCATGGTACAGAGAGCTTTTGATTCGACGAACAATTGGTCGCGACGTGAATAATTTGCGCCGCCGCCGACGACGACGACGACGACGACGACGACGACGATGTGTAGAGTCTCTCGCGCGCGCAGGTATAACGCGCGACCTTTCACCGCGAATTTCGAGATATTGTACTCGAAGCAAGAATCTCTGACGAAAATATCCGTGGCGTGTCGGGTCGGGTCGGGTCGCGTCGCGTCGCGTTGCCACGGCTAATCGCGCACACGTCTCGAAAGAACTGCAATTGCTCTCGCCGTAGCGGGCGATCCGCCCGTTAAGGATCGAACTGGAGCTCGTCGTCGACGAAGACGTGGCACGGCCGCTTGTTGGCTGCCGACCGCGCGGCATTATATCGATTTAGATTGACGGCACACGTGATTGTCTAATAAATCCGAGAGGCAATCGAGGAGGCTCTCCGATCCGGAGGATTTGACTCGGCGTTTAACGAGACCGCGACGACGTACGTAAACGATTCCGCGGAAAGCGATCTAGAGCGAGGGGATGAGATGAACGACGGCTCGGAAACATTAGAGCCAGATAAGTCGAGAGTCGAAACGTGCAGTATGAAAGGTTGTCGCGTGACGTTCGTCGCGCGCGCGAGAACGTTTCACGAATCAGCCCGAGATGTTGGTCGCACGACGCGGCGACATCTGCCCGGCAACCACATCCTTCTGCTCCGTTTGCTTCTTCGTTTTCACTTTTTACCGCTTCTCTCGTAAGCGCGAACCCTTCGGTTAGTCTCGCGTCGAGTGCATTAACGGCGAGATACGGTTTATAAACGTAGTTTGTCGCGGAGGACGCGAGACCGAGATCGTCTGATCTCGCGATGAATAATGTAACCGACTCTCTCTCTCTCTCTCTCTCTCTCGCTTTGCGATAAATGCCTCTTTTGTTATACGTCGCAATTCTTCCGCCGACTTTGCGTTGCTCTTTTCCTCCGTCGGTCGCTCCATTTTATTTCTCTTTGCCCGTCAAAATTTTTCCACTCCGTATTTGCGAGCGCCAAGATCGCGCGTAGGCTTATTTTCACTTTCCCCAACGACACCCAAACGAGTGCCCACTTATTTTTCCACTTATTAACGAGCTCACGTGGGCAGATCGAACGTAGGATCCGGTCCGCGCCGCACTGCGGCGCGGTGTTTTACAATCCACGTTGGTTTAACGATGTTAATTGCGAATTGATCACGGTCACGTCGCGTCTCTCTCTCTCTCTCTCTCTCTCTTTCTCGAAAATTGCAATGGTACGCGAATCGAATCAGTTATCGCGAGTCGCGGAGAGAAGAAAACACAGCCCCGTCACCGAGCAAGCTGCTCGCCGCTGCTTGGAGCGAAAGTCGACGTACGGCAACACAAATCGTAAACGAGCGCGAGATGCATTAAATCATATGTTGAGGAGGTTCTTTATATGCTCAAGGTCCATCCGACGGCGTTACGACGGAGCCTTTTGAGCAACCGTGAGGCATGCCTAACGATGTATAACAGGTTTTCCGAGCCGCTCTACGTTCGCACGAGACTACGTTCGCCGTCGTCCCGATCGTATTATCGATCTCTTTCTACATTGCATTCAGCAGTCGCGCGTCTTCGCAGTATTCGCCAGTGTTCGTCGCGAGTCCGCCGCCAGAGACGGCGGCTGGCGAGAAAATGTGCATGCGTCGCGAAAACGGCGGGATTCGCCGCGCGCGTAGCCGCGTCGAGAAACGACGACGACGACGACGAAGGGCGCCGACGAAGTGACGTAACGGGCCCGCATAAAGGCAATAGAAATAAATGACGTTAAATTGCCGGGTGGCTCGTTTTTAGCCCGTTCCATCGGCGACATCGGAGGAATCGGCCGAATAATTCCGAGCCGCGCGGGACCAAGACGACCAAGGCGAGCAACGAGCGCCGCGCGCGGTTTGCACGCGAGGCCTGTTCCTTCCTTCCAGCTCGACTCAAGCTGTACCCCGCGCCCCTTACTTTTCGTTCCCTTTTCCTCTCGGCTTGCGCCAGCTTGTACAGCTTGTTTCACTCGAAAGGCGAAGCGTGCAAACTTGGTCTAGTTGAAAGGGGGACATTTGCCTAGTTACTCGCGATTGAGCTGACAAGTTCTCGATGCTGGGCCAGACGTATCAGAGAGACAGAGTGTTGGAAACGTGCGCGACGGTGCGGATTTATTTTTGATACGTTTCACATACGATACACTTGGCGACTACTACGGATGTATCTCGTAGCGTAGGTTCGCGACGAAGCTTCCCGACGACGCTCACGCGCAGGGAAATGTGCGAAAACGGGATCTCGCGCGCGCGCGCGCGCGCGCGCGCGCAAGCGAGCGAGCGAGCGAGCGAGCGAGAGCGCTTCGTAATCCATTGTGTCCAAGACATTGTTCGATGTTAGGGACGAGCACGCGGATGTAGGTAGTCGGTGAGCGCGCATAGGCAGCTGCTTCATGGGACGGTCCGTAGGGTGCAACAATAGATGGTCGTCAAATCGATCAGGGTTGTGGCAGTGGAGACTGCACATAGGTGCAGGACTCTGAACGCTAGCAAACTATCTGCTTCTCGCTACGGATGCGGAAACACACGATTTTCCAATCGTAACAATCGTAAAAAGATTCCTCTCGAGACGCGAATGAAAGGACCGCGGCGCGGGGATTCTTCGTTCCGCAAAGTCGGCGGATTCGTAGACTCTACTCGTATACTAGCAGTTTTACCCGAGACTTGTCCTCAATCAATCAGCATCTATACTCGCATTTCACAATTTACAATTAAATGCGATTGTTCAATCAAAAATGGTTGAGTAACGATTGCGGATATAACGTCACACACATCATGTGTGTGATTCAACTGAAGAACGCATATATCCAAGCCTAAATTTAAACCCGAATATCTCTCACATGTGAAGCGGCAAGGCAAGTTTCGGCTAAATATTATTGAATCTTCGAAATTGCAAAGCGTCACCTTCTTTCCAATTTTCTTTCCCGTTTATCTGTTTCTGTTAGAATTTTAACACACACACACACACACACAGAGAGAGAGAGAGAGAGAGAGAACGTTGTCTACATTTTATTTGCTATTTGCGCTATCGTCCGCGCCGAAAAAAAGAAAAGATCGCTCTCACTTTTTTCATGGATACACTTGAGCTGTGACTTGTGTTGAGCTGTTGAGTTTGCAAGACTGATTCTCTACATAGTCGAAACGAGTACAGGACTATCGTCCGTATTCCGCCGTGTTCTCCATATCTCTCTCGTATCCTGCGTATCGGCAAGGTCACGACCTCCACCGAGAATCGTGACTGGATTGTACAGAGCTGTTCGGGTCGTTGCCATCATCACGCCGTCACGCCGCGCTTGCCATCCCCCGACCGCCGCGCCGAGCCGAGCCGCGCCGCGCCGCGCCGCGCCGGTCCGTTTATTTTTCATTTATTTTATGACGCTGCAACGCGTGCATCTCGAAAAGGGCGGTACGCAATTCCGGTCTCCGTCCCGATAAATTCGGAATGGATCACGAATGGATCGGCGGCGGGACGACGTGCGTCGTCGATCCATCTCAGATCAGAAATTCAATTTCGAAAGCGAATCAAAATGAAGTGAAATTCGCACGAATAAGACGAAAAGAAAAGAAGAGAAAGGCAATCAAGGTGGCGAAGACAAGGGCGAGAGGGAGCGGGAGGGGGGGGGGATGGCAATAATTTCGAAATATTCGCCGTACGACGAACGTAGCCGGTACGGTGCTTTTTAGCTTTGCACGCTCCGCTTGCCGCGCGTCTACATTTCGTTTCACGTTATGTTCGGCTCAGCGTGTCGGCGTCGGCGTCGACGACGAGAATGAGATCGGAGAACCGAAGATCCTGTGGCTTTGTCATCTTAGCTTTACAGATGACATCCGGCGAGAGGGAAATATGGAGCGAACCAAGGGGAATCAATGAATATACTTTTGCGGGGCAGGTTGAATTCCTGAAACGCGATCGCGAGCCGACGAGGTCGAGAAATACTTGGAAGAAAGTGCGTTCACAGAGAGTGGTGGCCGCGCACGAGTAGTAGTCCGTCCTTGGCCTATCCAACAAGCAGAAATTTTTTCTTCAACACACACGACGTCGTGCGCGCTCGCGCGCTCGCACGCTCGCACGCGTACGCGCTCCGCCGGCCGGGAACTTTCAATTTCCGTACTTGCACTCGGAGAGTCGACAGCCGCGTTCTCGAGCGCGCTCGAGTCCGCGCAGGAGCAGCGTAAAGTCGCGTGCTTTATTCATCCTTGCGAGGGAATTGCGGCTCGCGTTCGCGGCAGCAGCCCGTAAACCGTCCACCATTCGTGCCGAATTCGAGTTCGATTTTTAGCGGAGCCGAACGTAGCTCCGCTACCGAACGGATCGCACGCGCGCGGAACTTGTATTATTCCAATACGCAAGGAGCAAGGCAAGGATTTTACGTTGGGAAACACTTTGATACACGCAGATTGCGACGCAAGTCGCGATCTGCGTTCCCGTTTCCCAGATGCGCTCTCGCGCTCGCGCGGCAACTTCCTCTCTTTTTCTCCTCGCTATGATTTATTACGAATCGCTACGATGGCCCCTACACGATGGCGCGCGTCCACCACGGCCACAGGTCGGCGAGCAGTGTGGCAAGGAATTTATCGAGGGGACTCACCGAGACGCGACCTGGAAGGATCCAATCTCGCTAAATCGGCAAGAGCCCCTCCAGGTGGCACTCTGGATCTTTTTCAACGTGTCCAGGCACTCGCGCGTGCTAATACGAGGGACCGGCGCTCGAGGAGAACACTCATCGTCGTTACAACGTACGTACACTCGCGAGAGATCCGTTCCCTCCCCCCCGTCTGTCTTGTCTTCGTTTCTCTCACCTTGCTACGCGGACCCGAGGAGAGTCTCCTCTTTCTTCGCCTTCGGAAATCGACGGTCAATTCGACGGACACGGCGCGTCGCGTCGCGTCGCGTCGCGTCGCGTCGCGTCACGTCGCGTCACGTGCCGACTACGCTATACTGTCGTGGCAACCAGTGCATCGCCACTTTGTACCATGGCAACGTCACTGCGTGAAGACGAGATCCGTTTGGCGATTGGTTTAGGTGAACACCAAGGAGAGGGGAGAATGAAAGGGACTTTGCTTGCGGACGACGGCTTGAGCGTCGGTCGATTTGAAATTTGGCGGGATATCAGGCTTCGTGTTCGAAGCGTCGTTGGTTTATAGATAGAAACGAGAGAGAGAGAGAGAGAGAGAGAGAGAGAGTGAGAGAGAGAGAGAGTGAGAGAGAGAGAGAGTGTGAGAGAGAGAGAGTGAGAGAGAGAGAGAAACAAAATTGTAGACAAGACAAAGTATATATACCAACGAAATACAACTTTTATAGAAATAAATAATTCGTACATTGTTTAACCCCATTTGCTGAAATTACTGTTGACTAAGCCCTCGTGAGTAGCGGGCCACAAAGACGCTGGTAAATTGGCTGGCAAATCGGCCAATTGCGACGGTGCGCTCCAAACCGGATAATTGAATTCCTCGCTGTCATTCGAGTCGGTCACGTTCTCCAAATATTCCTTGATGATATCTTCCGAATTTGGCCAATTACTATTCTTGGATGACGTCGAGTCTCTGGACTTTTTCATTGCGACTGTAAAGCGATATATCATTCGTTCAGGATCGAAGCTTTTAGTTTATCGCGCGTGATATAATTATGTGATCAAATAATAATGTGAATCGGATCAAATAATTACCAAGTCGTTCCAACTCCCAAATCATTTGCGGCGTATAATGCGAAAATCGACAACCGAGACCAAAAGCGCAGTCCCTGACGGTCATGTAGCGTTTACACGGGGTCTTTTGATATTCCTCCCTCAATATTGTCTCTGGATCTGGAAAATGTCGTCGATATCGTTGGACGAAAATAATAATTTCTGAGCCGAAGCGCAAGTAAGACGCACAAATCGCGCAAATACTTGGGGTCAAAGATGACACCTTTGTCCGGATAAGCTTTGACTCCTCAGATCTCAATAGTCTGCATTTTATTGCCACGATTCGTCTCTCTTTTCACTTTGCTTCATAAATTCTTGCATCTTTTGCACTTTGCATTTTTGCGACACATATATGTATCGATCGAAGCCTGCTCAATCTCGTATTTTAATCAAGACCACAAAAGAAACGTCACCCCAGAAAGTGTAGCGTTTACGTGAACCTCAAAGAGATGGCAGCTTGATGCTCGTGAGAGCATCGTGAGAGGAGAGGTTATGTATGTGAGAGCGAATGTGCAAATATTAAACAAACCGCCGATTACGATCGAGTCGGCTCACCTTTAAAAACGCAGTAATGATCAGCTCGATTTTTCATGTGCTGCAGACTGGACAGATGTTTCCTACGGGCTTCGACGTCGTCTTTGAAGGATCTGTCACAATAGTCGCAGTAATACCTCTTGCCCATTGCTTCATACGGTTCGTAGGAAAGACTTAGATATAGGTGAAAGAAGGCTGGGAAATATGATATTGACATTAAATAAATAAACAAATAGAAAATGTCGAAATTTGTCTATCCGTAAGTAAGGATATAACCTTGAAGAGTGTGCATGCACTCTCAACTGCAATCATTCCTGAACCTTCGCGTCGTCCGATGTTTTCGTCGTCGAGTGTCATCCGTGGCTATTGAATGTGATTATCAGGCGTGACATCTGACAAAGAGGCCGCCAACTACGTAGAACTGTAGTGGCAAGTAAGAAAATGCGGTTACCTTTTTCCGATAAGTTCGGAATGTATCATCTATCAGCTATCCAATAGGGTAGAGTTTATTTTGTGAGAACGGCTGAAAATAAATTCTCCTCTCGGATGCCGAGTTGCATTCCGTGAAATTTATCAGGAAAGCCTCTACTTTTACCTCTAAACTTTAGATTTAACATGAACCATGTTAAACCTTTCGAGACACCGTCTCTCTCGTTCTCTCTCTCTCTCTCTCTCTCTCTCTCTCCCTCTCTCTCTCTCCCTCCCTCCCTCTCTCTCTCTCTCTCTCTCTCTCTCTCTCTCTCTCTCTCTCTCTCTCACGGAAAACCGACATTCTAATGCTAATAGCTCGAGCCAGATGGAAATTTTTATCAATCAAGCAATGCAACTCGGTGGCAAGTTAGACAATTTTTAAAGATTTAAAAATTTTAAAGGTTGATACGATTTAACGATAAATAAACTTTTTTGCTCTATGATATCACGATCGAATAAATTTCCGTCTCTATTTATTGACGAAATAAATAAATAAAAGTTCCTGCGAGCTAACGATGAATTATTTTACTAAAAAATGAAAATTTGGGTAGGTAGGTAGGTAGGTAGGATAAGATAGGCATCACAAGACAAAGAGACAAATAAAATGTCTGACGCTCCTGTCGGTATGGTACGGTTGTTTTATTACATCCTTACAATATATTTCACCACAATTTGTGTGTGTGCATCACTAAACTATTTATACGTGACAAAGTAACAGATATCGACAAAAATGTCTATTATTCGTCGCAACGTTCCGCTCCTATGTTAATACGACATCAACAAATATTATTCATCCACGTCAGTCGTCCCGATGACTGATGAACTATATATAACGTTACTCTCGATGATAGATCATTTTCGACGATAGCCACAAAGCTTCGTTTTAATTTTCTACAAGCGACAATCGTAGACAACCTATGAGTAGAGTGTGTAATCGTGTGTGATTTAAAACACAACGTTCGTTTATAGTGATCAAGAATTAATAACCGTAAATGTAAAGACCGTGAATGTGAATGTAATTGCGGTAAAAGGAAAAAGAGGGGGACTTGCTGTGTCCAGCAATCCTTTCCACTAGAAATCGAAAACCACAACCGTTGTGAATTGGAAATTCGGGGGAATTGTTAGAAATTGACTCGGGAATGTGAAATACTCGGGGGAACTGGGAAGCCGGGAACTCTAAAAAACAAAGTATCGGATTTGAAATTGAAATTATTGGAGGTTGAGTAATACGTTCAACTATATCCCCTATATATCTTGTTGGCTGTTACGTAACAATAGCTGCACGTACCGCAAAATCGCAATCGACGGTAAATCGCGCGGTAGATGTTACGTGCAAAATAAAACGATGGAGAAGATCGTCACCGTCACCGGCGAACATTCGTTCTCGCGTTCAGAGCAGGTTTAAGCAGCATTAAGCTACTTTTAAAGAAATTTCGTCACGATTGGTACGTACAGTTATCGTTCGCAACCGCAATGTTAAACGTGTTGTAACACAACACACACACGCACGTACATGCACACCACACACACACACACACACACACACACACTCACTCACACACACACACATTCACACATACGCGGAAAATGTCTCGCGCAAAATGCTCGCAAATGCGCGCGGATATCTTCTCCCGATTCCTATCATCGGTACATACAAATTGCGCTATTGCAAAAGACGAAAGTAATATCCGCTCGGTATCGCATCTCGGTAGAAAATCTCGGTGGACAAACGTGAAAAAGTAAAAATAATCAATTCGCAGTACCCTGCTTCGTGGACGAGTAAAGCTGGCATTGAAGAGCGTACAGTTTATAGTTGGAGTGATGATCCAGTTGCAAGATCGTATCGGTTTGCTGCCCTGCGCGTGTTACTCATTCCGAATCGCGTTCTTACCGATCGCGCTCGTTGCCGCGTTCGCACACACGAGAGAGGTGATCAATACGCGCGAGCGAAAGTACAACGAAAACGAATGCTTTAGGCCTGACAAAATAAATTTCCTCTCGAGGTTACAGGCTAGATCGCCCACTCGACACAAAGTTAACGGAGGTTAACAAATTATTGAAACGCAAAGTTGAAAAGTTGCTTAGCTAGCGATCGATTCGAAAGGGAATTCCTCCTCTCCTTCGTCGCGCGAAACAAGTAGTCGAAGGTGACTATAAGGATCGAAACGCAAAGTTTTTGCGCTTTACAACTTTGGTGTACACCAAAGCGTAAAATGTTGAGCCAGCGAGCTCGAAAAGATGGCTCGAAAAGAAGGAACGTACTCGACGTACTCTTAAATTTTCTCTCAAGCAGCCGCGCGAATCCTGCATTTTATAATACGTCACGCTTTTAGTAGGGTAACCTCTATTTAATGGTTGATTTAACCGCTCGCATTATCGAGCGAATAGGTCGCACGAATCGCACATGCTGTTTTTTTAAGCGCATTATCTTTTTAGGTGCCTTTGATATATTAACGCGTGAGAAGCATCTGCGAAAATCGTTCGAGCGATATCGAGTTAACATCGAAGAGAACATTAGTTAGTAGGGAGTTCCATAGATTGTCATCTACTTTTCTATGGATATAATAGTATAACCTCGACAATTTTTGCCTTCAAAGTTTCCAAAAAAATTTGCTATATTCGTTAAATAGAGGTTTTACGGTATTTGTAGCGCAAGTACACACAAGTAAAAGATGCCATACGTTACCCAATGTTTGGAAAAATTATCTGAAAATGTGGAATTGCTTCGTAGTCTCTCTTTTTCTATATATATATATATATATATATGTATGTATGTATACATGTATATATATTTGACAGGTATACGAAAAAGTATCGTTTTGGACTCACACACAATCTTTTTCTGAAGCGAACAGATTGAATACCGTGACGATCGAGGAATAGTCTCCAATAGTCTTGTTTTGCTCTTAAGTCTCATTGTCTTTACATTGTCAATACTTTCTTCCCGAAGACACATTTTTATATTTTCCGCATTTAAGGTGAAACAAAAAATGAAATATATATACATCAAACTTTGGAGGGAGAAATAGCGCAGAGAAAAATTATTATTGCGAGAGAGTGCAGTTGGAAAGTTGCCAAAAATGCACGGTTGGTCATCGCGCGCGTTTCGCCTCTCTCTCTCTCTCTCTCTCTCTCTCTCGTCGTCGTCGTTTGTAAGTTTTAAAATTGGAGGCGCCACAACCATACCGTTTATTTCGATTACGTATACAGGAACTTGTACGTATTCGTGCGTTTTATAATTGATACGCGTTTCTTGATGCTCTTTTTCCCTTTTCTTTTTTTTCTTTTTTCTTTTCTTCCTTTTTTTTACATCGTGCGTAAAACTTAAAAATTCTATCCTATCACTCGTGACTCTTCCGAATTTTGAAGATCAGGACGCGAGGAAAGTTTGCGTTCTCGTTACTCCTTATCTCTCTCTCTCTCTCTCTCTCTCTCTCTCTCTCTCTGGTTTTGCGAAGCACATTTCGCATCATACTGAATCATACTCGCAAAGACCGTTTCTTCTCATTTTTACATCTTTATATTTTTTTCCTATTATCGCACTTTATGCGTATGATTCATATCGCGACACTGTCGACGCGCGCGCGTGCGCACATAAAAGCCTTTTAAAAAATGCACTCGTCTGTCTCTGTCGTAACCCATGAGAAATGCAGGTAGCTGCGAAAATACGCAACGATGGCTCGATTAAAAATTAATCTGTCGATCTAAAAGAGCTCGACTCGAGAGGAACAGAGTGTGCTTCTTTTCCTCCACTTGTCACCGTATTCTCCTCTCCACGCGCGATGCAAACGTGTTTGTTCGGTGCAAAATTTTCCTTGTCCGTAAATATTGTCCGTAAATAATAGAAACATTTCGGTGTTGCCATTGAAAAGTGCATCAGCTTGTATATGCCTCGTTGAGAAGAAATCTTCGTTTCTAGCCAAAGTACATATAATAAGCTTACGGTCGCGCAAGTCTCGCTGGTCCCGGGCGAAGGCTGTGTTAATTGTCGCGATGAACGTAAAATAAACGGTATCGTTGTTTACAACGTGCGACTCGGCTCGGCTCGGCTCGGCTCGGCTCGGCTCGGTGAGCTAACGGGAAATCGGGAAATTGTCTCAAGGACTTCATTTCACGAGGAATGCCTCGTACGTTTCACGCACACGACTCATCAATTCGCGATTGCTGCATCATAATAAATGTACAAGAAAAAGAGGATAGGATTGGGGGTGGTGGTTATAGGGTGGTAATTGTGAGGAGGGGGAAGCGGGGGCTGTTAGGAATGGCACTGGCTTTTTAATAAGTTAATAATAATAATCTATCCCCCGGCATTCCTGGCGTTTGCGCGTAAGCGCGACTTATTTTTTTGACTCGTCGGCAGTACAATGCATGCTGACCTCCTGACGGACCTTGTGACCGCGGAAACTCGCTTGTATCTTAGTCGCCGCCTTATGCAAGTCCGGATCGGCCAAGTCGATCCCCTCTAATTCGTGTACGGCGTCCTGCATCTGCGGCAGAGATCCAGACGGGAAAAGAAGACGTAAAGAAGAAGAAAGAAGAAGGGAGAAGTTACGTGTATATCACTCTCGCCTGGCGATGCGAACACGACGACGTCGCGCGCTCGCATCGTCCGAAATTTTTCCGATCGCCACCGAGTTCGCATAGCGAACTCTGTGTGTGCGCGCGCTGCTCTCTTAACTGTAAATAAAACTCGGACCGTATCGACGTTAGATCGAATCCCGTTACGTTACGGCCAAGCAGGTCTGTACATAATTAATCGACACTACGAAAGTAACTCAAACTTTGTAGGTCATCTCTGGCCTCTGCTGGCCTCGAGACGTGCTTTGTAGCGCTCCGATACCCCGATGAGCATCTTCAGCTCATCGGGGAAGGCAGCTGTCGATTATACTCACCGGAGTATTCGTGGATCAACATAATGTCAAAGGGTCTAACAATAGCTCCCCCCCTCTCTCTCTCTCTCTCTCTCTCTCTCTCTCTCTCTCTCTCTCTCTCTCTCTCTCTCTCAGGAATCTCGAGCAATGATCGATTTCTCGCTGCAGCGACCTTGCGCGTCGAGAAACCGCTGCGCGTTGTCGTTGCCGCTTTTGTCGTCGATCGAATCAACATTGGTGCACATCGAGAATCGTGCAGAGAAATTGAATTTGATCGTTCGTCGCGTGGCTTACCGTTGAGCGTACACGTTTATCGCGTACTACATTTATCCATGTAGGTGAGTGACGTGCGCTGGACAAGGCGCGCGAGCCTATTGTACTACTACTACTATATAGCCCCGTAGGGATGTTGCTCGCGGAGAAAAATATAAATAACGTTGCAACACGCGCTTGACGAAAGAGAACATTGCTCCTCGTTGCACTTCTCGTTGTGCTGTGGTGACAAATGGGCGTGGCAAATGGGCTGGCTCGTCGTTAAAGACACTTGTGACGGCCATCAATTAAACGGCGACGCTTTCTCGCGACGCCTCTAATCGGCAATTAGGGTTATTGCTCTGTTGCAGAGGGACGTTTTACCCTTTCCCACACTTTGCGACAATCAGCAGTGTCGGTCTCTAATCGTTTCCAACACCAGACACATCAACGAATCGATAACGCGCGTGTGTCCGCGACAAAGTCCCCCCCTTAGGAAGTTTACTCAACGACGAATAATCTCTAAACGCGTCGGTGTCGCGTCCAGAGAGAGAGAGAGAGAGAGAGAGAGAGAGAGAGAGAGAGAGAGAGAGAGAGAGAGAGAGAGAGAGAGAGAGAGAGAGAGAGAGAGAGAGAGAGAGAGAGAGAGAGAGAGAGAGAGAGAGAGAGACAGCCCCAGAGAGAAACCAGCGAGCGTAAGCCCGAATCTAAACGTATTCGCTCTCTCGTCGTAGTCGTTCGCGTCACTCTCTCATCGTCCGGCTATCGATGATATTATTCCGCACGAGTAACGAAACAGCCGCGAGCGTACAGGAAAGAACGGCGCGAGTGGTGCGCGCGTGCTTCGCTAAGAAAGGCCAAAGATGCCAGGATAGAGCAGGTTCTCCGTCGTTTATCTTACCACTCGCGGCGGCCATCGATCGATGGTCCCTACTTGTCCCTACTTGTCGAATGATCGAACGATTCGCTCACCTTCTCCTCTATCTTAGCGGCTGCGCTGCCGACCATGTTCATCGCCGACTTGGCGGCAGCGGACGCGGCTTGCTCCTTCCTCGACATGTGGTCCCGGAAAGTCGCTTGTATTTTAGTCGCCGCGTTGAAAAGCTCTGCAGGATAGAATTTGTTTCAGTACGCGCTCCTCCTGATTCTTTTCCTCTTCTTCTTTCTTTTCTCTTTCAATCTTTCAATCAATTCGCTATTCGGTTATACACACAGCCGCTCACCCTGGTCGTCGAGAGGAAATTCCTCCTGGAGCTGCTCTTTCGTAGAAAGCTCCTCGGTCTCTTCGGTCTCCGGCTCTTCACTCGGCTCCGCTGTTTTCGACGGTTGTCTCAGACTTTTCCTGGCGCAGTGTCCACGAAAGACCGCCTGTATCTTTGTGGCCGCGGCCTCTTTCTCCTTTCCGTCCTCTGTGTCCTTCTCCTTGTCAGAAGCGTCTTCCGCTGCCTTCGAGATATCTGCGGCCGAAAGCGATCCAAAATGTGATCTCGCATTTAATTTCATCGCGAACAATCAGCGTTTAACGGATAAAAGAGGATGAGAAGAAAAGCCGGGTTTCAAACCTGGGTGGGAATAAACCGGCACGAGCACGAGCACGAGTCGGAATCGAACGAAACGTGACAAATTATAATCTCCCGCGATTCGATCTTATCGCGCGCGCGCGCGCACGAGAGAGAGAGAGAGAGAGAGAGAGAGAGAGAGAGAAAGAGGGAGGACGAGAAAAGTAGCGGAAATCGCCCGAATCGGCCGGAAAATCCGCAACCGACTCAGAGGGAAGGGCGCGGCTTGTGATACATCCTGTATATTAGAAATGGCCGCCGTGTTAGCCACAGTTCACCTACATTTATTCCGAACATTTCACCTTCCACAGAGAGAGAGAGAGAGAGAGAGAGAGAGAGACACGTTCAGAGCGACAAGTATCGATTGGCGTTTCTATTTTCGCGCTGCACGTTCGAGATTACACGGTGCCTAATATACATTTTTAATATTTCACGCTCCGCGAGAGAGAGAGAGAGAGAGAGAGAGAGAGAGATATGCGGCGAGCGCGATCGATTCGTCCGATCCGCTCCGAACAAATGGGATTTTCGCGAGCAATAATTCATCGGCGTGTCTACTATCGACGCGTGTCGACATTCCGCCGTCGTGATCCACAAAGCAGTCGTTCCGTTTTCCAGTGACGCGCCGGCTCTATTCTCCTCGTGCAGCTTGGGGAATCGCGAAAGATTGTTAAATCGTTGCCGCCGCTGTCATTAATCATCGCGTCTCGTAACGAGCTCTCGCGCAGCTCACTGCGATCCGTATTCGCGATGCTTGATTCTTTGAAAATGGGACACCATTTCTCTCTGTCTCTCTCTCTCTCTCTCTCTCTCTCCCCCATTTTTTTTCATCTTCATTGACCAGTTCATTCTTTGCGGGCGAGTACATTTTTCATTTGCTACATTTCACAAGCAAGTGTTATTAATCGCGGGCGAGATCCGTCGAGCCGAAACGAATAAAACGGGGACGAGGTGTGTTAGGTCTGTGAGGATCGAGCGTGACGATAGATCTAGGAAAGATGGATTTTTCTATGGAAAAGTAAAGAACGGCCCCAGACTATCGAGCGCTTTCGAGCGCGACACCGTTTCCCTAGGTTACCGCACGGCGGGGCGAGTGCGCGAATTCAAGAAATACACCACTTTCGCGATAAGCAATGAGCTCTTTCCGAGTTGTGCGCTTCTCGGTTGTTTTACCACGTTATGCAAAGCTGGCGAATCGACCGTACCAACTTCTCAGCAATTTTATCGACGTTTGCATTTCGCTCAAGGTATGCTTTACACGCACTTGGATGGGTGGTGGTATTGGGTGTGTACGTGTACGTGGAGAAGCTTTCACAAAGTGGGTGAAAAGCGCGGAAAAAAAAACGACGAGAGGGAGAAAGCGCATAATGCCGTTGTTGTGCGCGTGTACAAAACGCGCATTGGATTTCAATCGATCGGAAGGCGGAACAGCGCGCGCTTTATTCGGGACAATGTCGCGATTTCGTTCTCATGCCATCGTCGATTTCTTAAATATTTGGTGATCTCTTCCTTTCTCCCTCTCTCTCTCTCTCTCTCTCTCTCTCTCTCCCTCTCTCCCCTTCCCTCCTTCCCTCCCTCTCCCTCCCCCTTCTCTCTTTTCTGACATCACGCGAGGATGTTTCGCCATCGATCCACCCAGACCTTGTTACGCGAGCGAGCCATATTATTCGATAAAAGTAGATTACCCTCGAGAAAATCAAACATCCCATTAGAGGCTCCTCGTTACGTCGATTACAGGACGAAAAAATTGTCCCAACTAACGAGATCGTCGTCAAAATAGACCCCTCCGTCCGTCCTGCCGCCGCCACCATTGACGCGAGCTCTGACGAGCTTTTGCCGCAACAAGAGTAACATTTATTATATGTACTCGTCGATCTCTTTCGTCGGGAGCATTAATCGTTTGAAACACCGTGCGAGCGTAATCGTCGAGCGATAAAGCTTTAGAGGCTCGTGCATTGGTATCTCAAAAGCAAGCTCCGCATATCTCTGCGATTTCAAGATAGTATGGCAAATATTTTACGGACAAGTTATCGGTTAACTAGCTGACGCTAACTATTGAAGCTACACTAATAGAGATGCTCCAATAGAGCTGTTGCGCGAACGAGCAAAAATTCCTTAGTTAATTACGCGCGCACGGTCGAGTTGCCAAGCTTGTCGAAAGATTTCAGATGAGGAGAAACGCGTACGATCAATGATCGCGATCGCGATGGAAATCCAAGTGCGACACGAGCGAAGAAAGATGTGAATCTCGAGAATAGAATATTCCTCGTAGGTAGGTGGATAATATCCGTTCTTTTGTCGCCGATTCATCGAGCGATTTATATGCTTCTTGCACACACACACACACACACACACACACACACACTCTCTCTCTCTCTCTCTCTCTTTCATCGATTTTTATACAATAACTGTCGGGGTAGCAAACAGCTGATCTCAAATCGCTCGCTCGCTCGCTCGCTCGCCCGCCCGCCCGCCCGCCCATTCGCTCGCAACTTCCGAGTGCGCAACGACTTCCGCCGCTTATCGCTATAACGATAACGATCTGCCTTTGCCTCCTCGACCCGGCGGTCATGGAGAACCTGGTTCGATATCCTCGGTATCCCTCAGATACGGATGTACGGGCAAGGGAGGGCGCGAGGAAAGGAAAGGATATCGGGTCGCACCTCGCGTCCGCGCGTCGGCGGCGTCGATTATTATCACGTTTGGCTTTTTCCCGTCGGCCGCCCTGTCTGTCTGACAGATAGACGAGAGTGAGATCGCGAACGTGATTCGCGTGCGTCCGGACAATATCACCTCTCGACTATTGCTACTACCACACCAACACTGCGTCGCGCCGCCGCGTTTAACCCCGTTTTTCTCTCAACGACGAGACTTGCATGCACGCAAGGAATCGTAACGGCGGCGACGGCGACTTTTATTAGGTCGCATCCGCGCGACTCACCTGCTGCACACTTTGAAGCGCGTCGTCGTCGCCGCCGCTCGACGACCTCTCTCACCTGCACATCCACACGCGGCTCAGTCTGACGTGCGACTGACTGTTCCCGGGCACCGACGACCCCGTTTATAATCGCGGACGATCACGGCCCTGCCGCGCCGCTCGCAGTCGCAGTCGCAGTCTCGATTCTCTAGCCTCTAGCGACGAGTCACACGCTGCGAAACAGGGCCGTCACCGACCTCCCTGGCTGGCTGGTCGACCCAAGGGTGCTTCCCGAGCCATTCGCGCCCTTCATCCCTGCTCCTCTCTCTCTCTCTCTCTCTCTCTCTCTCTCTCTCTCTCTCTCTCTCTCTCTCCCTCCCTTCCTCCCTCTCCCTCTCGTCGTGACTCTCGCGCGATTCCACGAGTCGGCGAGTGTCGGCGAGAGAAAGGAGATAGAGAGAAAGAGCACAGAGAGAAACAAGGGATGCATGTGTCGTCGTTACGAGGACACAAAGTCGCGTAAAATCGTGGACGCGTAAATCGCGGAGAAGCCGGCGAGGGTAACAAAGCGGATTAGAGAGGAAAAGCTCGCGTACACAGTTTACATTCTCCGTCGAATCCTCTCGCCTCGATAAACGGCCAACTATATCGCATTATATCGCATTAGCTACTTATCCGCCAATTATTCGCTCTCGCTATAGAGCGGAATCGCAAGCGTACACTTGTCGTACAGCTTGTTGTCGCTGACTATCGCCGACAGCGCGGTGTCGTACCGCGCGGAATTCCTTTCGCGTTGGTCGTCGCGTGCGTATATATTCACCTCTCGACGATGAAAAAGAAGCGCGCTTGTATTCAATTGTATCGCTACGGTCAGCCTCTGCTGTCTGATGAATTCCCGCGGGGCCGGTAGCACGTCGCACCTGCGAGTAGCCGTAAATAAACGGGGCGGGGGGGGGGGGAAGGGAAGGGAAGGGAAACGCCGCGGTTGTCACTCTGAACGCGCCGCGACGATCACGCAGCGATTGCGCCGGATCGGAAACCAAATGGCGAATTACTCGCGAATTTAGTCGCGAGAAACAAGAAGGAGTCTCGCGTGAACATGAAGATTCGATTCCTGGGAGATCCGATATTTCGAATACTTTCAATATTGAGCCGCTTCCCCGAGTAAAGCGCGCGCGATACACGAGGCTCGAGGGCACTCTCCGCCCGCCGTCGCGTATATTTCATGCTTTGCTATACTTGACGTTTGAGATTTTATCTCAGGCCGCGTCTCGTCACGTACGCATCAGCTCTTTTACAACAGCGCTTCTTTACAACATATTCGATATTTTTCAATACTCGCCTTCTTTTCTCGCGACATGACGTTTCGCGTTACTTTCGCGCATTATCGACGAGAAAGAGAGGTGTGCCCCGCGCGGCAGCGTTTTTCTTGTTTTCCAAATCGATCGCGGCGCGACCACCGCACTACTAACCGCGTTGGTGGTTGGTACGATTCTCTCGTCGACCGAGAGAGCCTCGTCTCGTCACTCGACATTATCGTTTCCGTTCTCCGTCTTCGCATGCTGCGCGACCAACGCGCAGGAATACCTGTACACGCTTGTGCCTGGGTGCTCGATAAAACTCATTATTTCGCAGCAGGAAGTCATCCGAGTCATCCGAATAATTGATTCCGCTCCTGAAGCGGCCGCGGCGGCGCGCGCGCGGGCGGGCTGTTGGCTGTTGGCTGTGCCACCGCTAGTAAGGTAGGGAGTATCGGAATTCGACAACTGACTCGCACGATTATATCAGCTCCTCTGATAAGCCAAGCGCCACGGTGTCTCCTTAATTATTGACGTGACGTGCCGTCACGTGCACGCGTGCAACGCGCTGCGCTGGATCCACGAGATCCACGAGATCCACGAGAGCCAACGGACAATCCCGGGGAGAGAAGCGCACTCATACTTTGAACATCTTTCCGAACGAACACGCGACAGATCGATATTCGAACCTCGCGCGCTCTTCAATTCCCTGCTCTTCTCCTGCGCTCCTCGCGGCTTGTTTCTCGTCTTTTATTTCGATGCGTTATTCTCGCTTGGTAGGTTGTGTAGGTGCGCGAGAGAATTTCGTTAGCGCTTATCGATATCTCTCACAGACGCGCCTACACACACATGTATTGTGCACGATCCCTTCACGGTTGACGATCGAGCGATATCTGCTTTCGAACACGCCCGGTACGAATTTCCTTCACGATACGAGTTGTTCGTAAATGTAACGACCGCGAACGATCAGACCTTGACACGCATCACGCGATCAGCAGCACTCGTATTTCGTAGGTATTTCGATGCACCTCCATCCGATTCTCATTCCACAAGCGTCCTATTTTTCGCTCGCGACGCAAGATAGCGTCGCGTTTAACGCGGTAACGCGCGGTAATCGCATTACCGCGAGTCACGGGCAAATTTTCCAGCTAAATGCTGCGCCGCGGTCGTCCGGTCGTTCGAGACAATCTCGAGTCGACTGTCATTCTCGACCCTATAACCGATGTTTTTTTATTTCCTTTCCTTGATAGCGTGAGAATTCTATTAGCACATCTTTTTCTCATTAATCTCTCGAGTCCATTTCCAGCTTGTGGACGAAACAGTCGCAGACTCGCAGTCCTTACGATCAGTTGTCGGACAAATCTTTTCCCCCTCCTCCTCTTTACGCAGGTTCGAGAGATATTTAATCATCTTTCGCGTAAACATCTAGTCAAGTTTGAACGATAATTTGGCAACGTCATTGAGAAAAACTTGTCGAGCGGTTCTACTTTCAACTGCCTCGACAGGCCTTTTTAATGTCGAGTCGGCTCTGATTTTTGCCACGGAGGAATGGGGAGAACAAAAATTGAGCCGCGAGCGCCTTGAAATGCCTCTATTCGTCGCTGCATTCGCGAGGAGTGCGCGTTCGTCGTCGCGGCGGAAAACAGTCGTCGTTCGTCCTGCCGACCCTGCCGCGCGCGACTACTGATTGCATTGATATTACTGAAAAGCGTGCAGGCAATCATCTCGAGAGATCTAATCTAAGCGAACAGTGGTACGTACACATTCATCATTCGCGAAACAAAGCGGACTCTGTCATTGTCAAAGCGAGATAAACAACACCAAAGTGCCACCAAGTTGTGTCGGTTGGTCGCAATCTACAAAGAGATAGAAAAAAAAAGCGTTGCTCAACGCAACGCGAAATGGAGTGAAATAGCGGAGCGCGAGCTCCGAAGATCGAAATCGTCGGTCTCTCGGCCGCCGAGGCCGAGAAATATCAAATAAAAGATGCACGGTAACACGCGACGATATCCGCGGAAACGAGATTGCGTTTTTCACCGTGTCGCTTGTAATCTCGCTCGCTCGCTAATTTCAAAGTACAAACCGCGACGCGATTAAGAAATTAAAAGGAACGAGATCTCCCTCACCCCCGTTCTTCACGGAATCCTCCTTCGCCTCGTCCACCGCTGGCTGGAAGTTGTCCTTGCTGGTGTTGCACCCCATGTCCGTCACAGCTCAGCTTCCCTCTTCTCGTTTCTTCTCCTCCCGAAAAAGTTTTCTAGTATTAAAATAATCCGTTTTCTCTCTCTCTCTCTCTCTCTCTCTCTCTCTCTCTCCCTTCGAAACGTTCGTATCAATACAGTTTCCTCGTCAACATCGCGTCAAACCGGATATAAAAGTAGCGATTTCACTTTTCCGACCAAAGCGACCGTCTCATAGCCGGAATACGGTAATCGGTTCTAATTTTTCGACGGGCTACGAGTGTGGATTTTTCCTCGAGCCTCCCCTCTCCTTCATCCCCTTCTCACTCTCCCTTCTTACTTTTTCGTTCCTCCGCGTGTTCCACCCTTCGTTTCACCACCCTCTCGCCCTCTTCACCTCGTCTCTCGCCGCCTGAGAGTCCTGTGTAACACGTTGAACGCGATGAAATGCCTCGGCTACGCTTCGGAGTCGTCGTCACTCGTTTTAATTTTCGCCGATCAATTATTCCGCCCTCGATCACAGCATGTGATAATCCTTACGAAGCTATCGAGGTTACATTCAGTATCGTTAATTAGGCAAAATTCGACGAGTCCTGTTGAAAGTTATCCCCTCTCTCTTCCTCTCTCTCTCTCTCTCTCTCTCTCTCTCTTTTTCTCTATATCTATCTATCTATGTGTGCGCGCATATGTATGCGCGTACTATCGGCACTTGTTCTTCACCTCCTCGCGCTCCCACCCCTCCCGTTTCCACCCCGTTATTTGGAGGTTACTGACACGTCGCGTGGCGCCGGCACCCCGCGGCCAGACTATTCTTCACACTTGAAGTTTACCTGAGACTCTCGCCCTCTCTTTCTCTCTCTCTCTCTCTCTCTCTCTCTCTCTCTCTCTCTCTCTCTCTCTCTCTCTCTCTCTTACACGCACGCGTCTCGTCGTCACGCGACGGCGTGTCTCCGTCGTCGAGGACGTCCTCCTGTGGACGTGGATATTTTTTAATCGGCCGCGACCGCGACTCACCGAAAGTCAAGCATCACGAGTGTCGAAGCACGCGGGGGTTGAGAAATCCCGTCGACGTCGCGAGCGGTACTACTGGCGTCGTCGCTTACGACCCTGCCCTTGCTCGCGTGGCGACCAAACGACTGCTCCAGTCGCTATGTATATCGAGCCGATATATAACTCTTACCACGCGAAACACCCCCGTTTCTCGCGGAGGAGCGTGGAGGAATCGGCGGCGGTGGCGGCGGCGGCGGCAGCGGCGGCGGCGGCGGCGGCGGCGGCGGCGGCGGCGGCGGCGGCGGCACGCACACGGAAGAGATCGCGCGTTCTATCAGGCCACGTTTCAGCCGGCGCGGCGCGAAACGAAGCGACAGGACTAAGCGCGCAGGACTAGTCTCACTGTTACCAATGCACGGCGGGTGTCCTTCCCTAAGGACACGCGCCAGGACTCGCTGTCCTGTCGTCGTACGCGATTCAACAGCCACGCGAATTCCCCCGCACCGCCAACGCAACAAACTACATCCCGAGAGCGCGCTTCGCGATCGACTAAGTCAAATGTACCGCCATCCGGAGCGCGCGGATGGTCTCGCGCGACCTTAAAAGCGCATCGATCGATCTCACGCGGGCGATATTTCGCTCGCTATTAGCGAACGACCGTTGCCAGACCGGCGCCAACCTCTCTGCGTTACTCCGTTTTCTGGAACGAATATCGATTTCGCGGTCTTCTCTAACGCGGTGTCTACGCGTCCTCGTAGCTCTTGCGTCAGGATGCGTCTCGCAGCGAGTGCATGCGTCATGCGAGCGATCTTTTCACGCTCGGAGAGAGAGAGAGAGAGAGAGAGAGAGAGAAAGAGAGAAAGAAAGAGAGAGAGAGAGAGAGAGAGAGAGAGAGAGAGAGAGAGAGAGAGAGAGAGAGAGAGAAAGAGAGAGAGAGAGAGAGAGAGAGAGACAGTCTTTGCGTCAAGCATCAGAGCGGTGAATGAACAGCTCGAATGAACAAACGTGGAAATGAAAAAATTAAAAACTCCCTTTTTTATTAACGTTAAATACAAACGCAGCAGTACGCGTGCAAACAAATTTACATGTCAGCCGTGCTCCACTTGTAGGCTTCTTCCTGCCGCGCCACCTTCGAATTCTGCGCCTCGAACCACGTCTTCTCGTATCCGTTACTCCTGTCGACACCGTCCCACCGATGACCAGGTTTGATACCGAACCGATTTGGCGCGAATGAACCTTGATACTTTGGCGGATCTGTAATGAACATTATCTCGTATAATAGCTTTCCTGCGGTTCCTCCGGAACAAAAGTGCTTGCCCTTGGACGACTCTGTGTCACTCTGCGGATGGAGTAAATACGCACCTGCCCTTCCTTTCCCTTCCTTTGTTCGTTTCTCCTTGATATACGCCAACATTGGATCGCCCTCTCTTTCCTGTTCCCTCAATTGTTTGTCCAGATCCGCATCGTCCGCGTACCTCGCTAAAGGTTTGTTCATCTCGTGCAGGTCGCTTTTCAATTGTTCCTCGCGATCTTCCACTTGTTTCAAGCTGGAACACGCGCGCGCGTGCACACGCAAACACACACGAGACAGTGTTACGTGTATACTTTATCACGATTGTAAAAGCCGCACGAAAGATGATGACACGAGAATTTTACATTAAAAAGGCAAGGATTACGATAAGGACGATAAGGAGAGAAGAAATCGCTCACCCTTTGCCCCATTTCGTGTACTTCTCGTTCATCTCCCGTTGCTGAGCTTCCCGTTGACGCTCTTCCGCCGCTTCCGCCTCGAAATTGCGTTTCCTCCCGCTTTTGTCGCGCACAACCGCTGCTTGTCCGACTCCGCTCACCGACTTGCTCAGCTGAGACAATTTTCATCCTTATTTTTATCGCCTCCGCGAGCGAGCGAGCGAGTAGCTGCTACTCTCAAAAATATATATAATACGCTGCGTTAGAACGAATATTACTCTGCTAAATTGTTCCGCTTCCCGTCGTTTGTGAGCCTCGGTCTCCTCCCGTAACGCCTTCGCGTCTTGCAGTCCTGCGGTCTTCCCGTCCAGCGTCTTTGTCATTCTACCGTCGCGATCTTTTGAGTATTTCGCGTGACTGCGCTCTGCGGAGTCTACCTGGTCGTCCCAACGCGAGCTTCTCTTCCTTTTGCCGGTGTCGTCTGCGTGCGAAAAACGAGATTTACGATCTCGGTCTTCGTGCTCCCTCTCGTGTTTATCCTTGCTCGATCTGCTCGGGAGAAATCGGGGGGTATCGCCTTTATACGCGCGTCCATACAAACATAACAACAAACATAACAAAATAAATGCAATAATAATTCCCCGCTCGGAATTGTCGACGAAGTTATCGTCGTAGACGTTTACCTCGACACATCTTGTTTGCTGTATCTGGACGAGTGCTTGCTGGAGTAATCGTGACCTCGATCGCCGCTTCTACGCGAACTGGAATGTGGCGAATTGTCGCTACGGGGTCGGTACTCCTTGCGCCGAGATGCGCTTAAATCCGAGTCATTGTTCCTCCTGTTCCTTCTGCTCTCATATAAATCCTGGGTATCTGGCTTCTGTTTGCGCGGTCTAGGTGGACTAAAGTCCGAAGAATCACTGTCTCGATTACCTGAGATTACATGACAATTTCGTCCGCGAGTCGCAGTCGTCGATTGTTTCGTGCTTCTTCTGGATGGGCTCAAGTCTGAATGGTTGTCTTTAGGTGGTTGTCTAGGCGGACTCAGGTCGCTGTCGTTATTTCGAGATTGTCTGGACGAACTCAAGTCCGAGTCGTAATTTCTAGGTCGCCTGGTGGGTGGGCTTAAATTCGAGTCATCATCGTCTCTCTGTCTGTGTGGACTTAAATCTAAGCGCTTATTCCTAGAGTGTCTTGTCCTGGGTGGGCTCGGATCGACATCGTCGTTCTCGTCTGCTTCAGCATTTGTTTCGGTGATGCGACTTTGCTTCTCCGCGTTGATAGCACGGCTGCTGATAGTCAGGTCTCCTTCTTCGTTCTCGGTTACGATCTTCCATCTCCTTTTGTCTGAAAAATCAACTGGCCCACGCTCGTCGACTATGCCAGCGATCTGAGGAGCATCCTCGCCCACTAGAAGGATATCAAATTCATCTTCTTGGAGAGGTCTCATGTTCATCAAGTCGATGTCATCGTCTATAATTTTTACTCTGGAAAAAACATATCCAACCGCCTCCTCATAATATTTGATAAAGGCAGAAAGTTTTGGTCGTATGTAAGCGAAAACAAGATATAAGCTTAATGTTTGCAATGTCAGGATTAAAATTTGAAAGCTTTGCCCCCCCCCCCAAAGCATGATATTTGGACTCGACTTAAAATTTTGAAATTTGAACGTTGTCCGATTTCTTTCTTTTCCCTTCTCTCCTACATTATGTGTTTTCTAAAAGTTAATCCATTTTTGTTAATTAACATTTGTTAATTAACCATTTTTGTAAATTAACAAATTCAAAGAAGCTCGAGCGTTGTTAATGCATTACATATCGACTGTTTATTGTTTCGACAACGAGAATGACTAAAGATGCCGCCCCACGTGTTGCGTTCCTAAATATCACTGTGTGGTGCGACATAACCTATCTTAACTCGCCAACACAAGGTAATAATAGTCGATGGGAACTATAAAATATGCGTCGATGCTTACGTTTTCGAGCCCACTTTGTGTTTCTTCTTCTTCTTCTTCTTCATCTTCTTCTTTTTATCGCCGTCACCGTCGCCGTGAGATATGTATTTCTTCAAGTACTCCTTCTGATCAATCGTTTTGTTTTCCATCGTTTTAGAGCTCCGAGCCACAAGCACACGCAAGCTGATGTATCGTTGCTCGCGTCACATTTATACCGAGATAGATTCAACCACGCTTCCGTATATCGATGACAGAATGGACAGAAAGAACAAGATCGTCCACCACCGATCGACACACTCACAGCTCGCTCGCTCGTCACTACACACCGCTCCACTTGCGAGAGGAATCGATAACTTGCGGCTGCTGCCGCTACGGGGCGCTGATAATATCATCGGCACGGCCTCGTGCCTCTACATTTCTCATTATCATAGGCGTTGCTATCTTTGAGCAACAAGCTTTTGTATTTCAAAAATATACTTTTACAGCCCGTAACATAATTTACATACCACCACCAGTGTGTGTATTCATTCATTCATTCAGCATGAAATGTAGATAAAAACCTTTCCACCTGTAGTCATCATTCCAGTCATCGTATATCCCCATCGTACGAAAGTAAATTTGGAAAAGTTATACGGTTACTATACTCCTACGATACTCGTCGTCGTCGGAGTAAACGCGCCTTCGACGACGAGTATTCGTAAACATAGAATTCTTCGTTTTTGTTCGATAAACTTTGGCTAACCGCTACCGCGATAGCGACAACAATGTAGCGCGTGAGCGATTGAAACCATGGAATGCCAAAAACAGCAACTAGTCGACTAGACCGCTGCCATTGGCCAAGTATCGGGTAGAAAGGTAGGTAGGTAGGTAGGTAGGTGAGAGAGACCAGGTGAGGGACCGGACGATTGGAGGTGGAAGTGACGCGACCAGACAGGTAGGGAGCGAAAGTGAGCGCGCCTCCAAGAATGGGCAAGAGAGAACGCACTCCTGCGAAGCGAAGGTGACGATAGGATCCGCGCGTATCGTGCGTGTCGATGCGCGCATCTCAGCGTCCTGCCTTCGGTCCTACGTCCGACGATATATCGCGCGACAAGTGCGCGAGGTGAGAACGCACGCCGCGCGGTGATCGCGCACATTCACATCTCGACTGCGCGAAAATGTGCTGAGCTCTCGCCGCTACATCCTGGACGCGCAACGTGTATGACGTGCTGATACACCAACGATTCGCCAACGCGCAGCGGAGGCCGTGCGGAAGATAAGGAGAGAGGGAGAGAGAGAGAGAGAGAGAGAGAGAGAGAGAGAGAGAGAGAGAGACGATGCGTGCCGTGTTACGGACGACGTCCTAACGCAACACGCGAGTCCTCGCGATTCTCGGCGGTTCACGAGGTAGCGGATGGAAGAGGAAGGTTGTTACCACGGCTCGATGTGTATTCAGTGAGCGTGAAGCCGCGCACGGATCGTCGTTCGTCGTTCTTCGGCGTTACAGCGAAAATTCGTCCTCGTCCTTGTTAACGACACGGCAGGATGACGAGGAAACTGAGCAAGTTCCTGATACTCTTCGACAATACGAATCTATTGTATTTTCCCGGCCACTTCTTATCCGGTCGGGTTCTCATCGAGCTGGACGATGAGGCTTAGTAAGTAACGGATATTTACCAACAGATCGGCAAAATCGGCGAGAGAATTTGCGCTTGAGAGAGAAGAGAAAGAACAAAAAGAAACAAACACGGGAAGTAAGAATCGTCGAATTTATTTTGCACAATAGTATAGAGAGACGGAGAAAATCTCTCTCTCTCTCTCTCTCTCCTCTCTCTCTCTCTCTCTCACTCATTCACTCACTCACTCACTCACTCACTCACTCACTCACTCACTCACTCATTCACTCACTCACTCATCAAGGTGTCAAATAATATCTATACGCGGCTCGCGTCGGTCGAGTGCGTAACGCACGAATGATTATTAATATGGGATAACATGTTACCGTAGCGTCTCGGGACTGCATTTCCATGTTGTGGGCGAAGGAGTGGTTCGGATACGCAGTCAACGCGCCGAGAGGGTTTACGACAAAGAGAATTACATCGATTTTCGCATGAGGCTGCTGGGCGAACCAGGTGAGACACTCTTTGGGCTACATATCCATTTCTTTTTTTCGTTGAATTGAGAGACACGCGCGAAAAGTTAATAAAGTTATATGCTACGAGTAGAGAGCTTACGAGAAGAAAGAGCTTGTCCGTTGTTTCTCTTCCCTTTTCCTAGTTTGCGCACTAATGACGGGAGGGAGAGAAACGGGACACTTACCGATTTAATGTTGATATGAATGTTCGTCGCTAATGACGACGACGCGAATTCGCAACAGGCGAAGGACCGTCGCTGCTGTCCCCGGGAATACACAGCTTCCCGTTCAAATTGGGCTTACCATTGGGTCTACCGTCCACCTTCCTCGGAAAGCACGGATGGGTGCAGTATTACTGCAAAGCGGCTCTCCGGGAGCCGGGCGGGCTCACGCACAAAAATCAACAGGTTTTCATCGTCATGAACCCGATCGACTTGAACCTGGAACCTCCGATATTAGCGGTGAGGTTACGCCAAGCGTTACTACTCCTACTACTAACCGACGATGACACTGTGACTCGTCTGTCTGTAAATCGATCGGTGTCAGCCGTCCTACCTTAAAATGTCACGCTAATCGCGCTGATCGTCGCGACTACGTCCTCCGGGCTCCCCCTCTCTCTCTCTCTTCCAATCGTGATTGATTTTCGGCCCTGACCAAAGCCGATCAAGAAAACAGCGGCGAAATTGCGAAAGAAATCAGCGCGCGGACGGGTAAATTTCGAGGAGTTGATCCGCCGTTGAAGAAAGTGTTTCGCTTGCTCGCGCGCGCACACACACACACACATACGCGCGCGCGCGCGCGATTAAGGAGAACAACCTGCTGCACCTGATGTGTGCATTACCATAACCCAAGTTACCTAAATAGTGGTCATCGACCTAACCCGTGCGAAAGCGTTGCAAATATCTCTCGACGCGAGGCTGAGAATTTGAAATAAATCGTGCGTCGCGAAGTATCCGCCGCGATAGAGAGATTTAAACGATAAAAATAAAAAGAGAGAGAGAGAGAGAGAGAGAGAGAGAGAGAGAGAGAGAGAGAGAGAGAGAGAACGAAGCGTTCTCTGTTAGCATACGATTCATATTGTACCCAGTGACAACGTAACGTAATGATGAGCACTCGTCCGCGCACTGGGCAAATGCCGTGACAAAGGCGTGACATGTATCCGTATTGGCAACGCATTGGCATTCTTGGAAAATTCTCACGTAGGCGCAAATACACACACACACACACACACACACACACACACACACACACACCTCTGCTGTCCTCTGTTGTTCCGCGAACCTCGAAGAATAATCGTAAGCGCTCTCCGACAACTCTCGATGACACATCGTGTTTAATTTCATCTAACCTCCGCAATCCGCGAGACAGATCGCGGGATCCGCGTCTATCGATCAATATAAATCAATATAAATCGAGCCACTTTTGCCACAACAAACAGCAACCTGCGAGACAAGAGATCGAGCAACGCGTTGGTGTCTCTTGCGTCTCGGGTGGGCCGGTATTCTGCAGAGTGAGTTTGGATCGAGGTGGATATGTACCCGGGGAAACGATCGGCATTTCCGCGACCGTCAGCAATCGCAGCAAGGTACGCTATATAATTAAGCACGTTGCGCGGTGGCGCCGACACGCCTCTCCACGCGCAGAATTTTTCTCGATGACATCAGCGGTCGTTGAGACATCGAGAGACATTACGAAATATAAGCGACTCTCTCTCTCGAGTTGGCTCGAATTGACAGGTGACGATGAAGTCTACCAAAGCGTCCCTCACCGAGACGATACAATACTTGTGCCGGGGTAAAGTACTCGCGAGCGAGACGCGCGAGCTGGCTAGTGTGTCGAGGGGAAAAATTCGGCCGGGCGAGGGCGAGGAATGGCTAAACGAGCAAATGTACGTGCCTCCTCTGCCGCCGACTAATCTGCGGGGATGCCACTTGATCAACGTTCTTTACCACGTTTACGTGAGTGTTGACCAAAATCTTACGTAATGTATATACATATAGTAGATACTTTTCGTTTACTCGCCGAGCTCCTCCCTGACTCTTGAATTCGCCGCTTGGGTTCGCTTGGCAAGGTATATTCACGACTTGTCGTAGTTCGTCATAAGCCCGAAGAGTCTGGACAAAGAGATCAAGTTGCAAATACCGATCGTACTGGCCACGTACCCGCTACGACCAGAGGGTGCACCGGCAGGTACGGCGCCGTCCAAACGAGGCGCTCATTATCCGTCGACGCTACCCATCTTCCGACCATGGCTCGACGATAAAGCTTTCGAGATACAAGAGTAACGAACGCTCAAACTGATATCGAAACTGGTGCGATTCTAGATATCTCTGGGTGCTAAAGAAACATGAATGAGGTACAATGAACGTCTTGACGACGAATGCGTCGCACACACGACGTCGTGTCGCCGCACGATGTTGATTCCGCGTCAATTATCTTCCTGGACAAATATGTGTGTATGTGTATGTACAAATTGTATGATAATGTTGTGTAAAATAACGCTCACGATGACACATCTACGTTAAAAATATGCGTAAAATAAATGATGTAACAATAAGGAGAATGGATAAGATGTACCGACGCAGGAGAAAATTATGTGGATAACTTGGGGGGGGGGGATAACTTGTACAGGAAGAAGACTAATAGAGACAGAGGGAGAAACTTTATCTTTTATATTATGAAAAAAGGAAAATTCACACATTCAGTTTTGCATTTCTATCTTCAACTTCTCCAGTACTTGATCCGTCGTAATTCCCGTTACTGTAACAACCTTCTGCCGGCTTCGGGATCCCTGAAAGAGAGAGAGAGAGAGAGAGAGTGGAGTAGCGAATATAAGTCGTCGAGATAAACAAATTAATCGTGTGGAATTGTTAGTTGAATGAAAAACCAACCCGGTCCAAGGACACGTGAGATTTTCTCAGTCCAAAAATCGAAGCTAAATATTTGACCAGTTCGGCGTTCGCTTCTCCTTCCGTTGGTGGTGCAGATATCGCAACGCCTACCCCTTCGTTGGTAATATCTGCGGATATTGAGATTCAATTTTACAATTCAATGTTACAATTTTGTCCGCTCAGAGGAGCGCAATTTCATTTCGTCTTTCTTTAATGAAATCAAGGACTCGTGATCGTACAAAGACAGAAGTATAATATTTTTGTCGAGAGATATTTCCTATTACCGGTTATATTGTTACACTTTGCGCCCGGTTTAGCTTGAATTTTAATCGTTACATTTCCATCTTTATCGTAAAGCACCGGATTGCCTGTGGATTGGTTCTGCGAACAATATATTTGCAAATTAGCTATTTTAGCCCTCAACAAGCCTGGAACATTACAGCCTTTGCTATCATCATAGCATTTAATAGTATAAGATTCAGGTTTGGTGGGTCGGTTTCAAAACTGGGATTCAATCATTTGTTTTGGGCGCAATTCGGAGCGCAACGGATGCCCGATGAGAAAGATTAGTTTCCAGGAATTTTTTCCGACACAAATTCCCTCGTCGTATCCCACCCCCCACATCGGCTACATTCCAAACTGCGGCCCAAACACAGAGGTTTTCGCATCCGAATTCCGAAACTTCGAACTTGCTTTCGAAGAATATACCCAGACAGCACCGGACATCCAATGGATGTACGTCTCACGTCCAATTTATGTCCGTATGTTCGATTTACGTTCGTGGACACAAATTGGACGTAACAAGGATGTCCTTGTTTGGACATCGGACCTGTAGGACGTCCGATATACGGACGTCTTATGTCCGAAGTTGTGTGACAAACGTACGTACCATGGACATCTTTTTGTAAAAAAAAAAAAAATGGACATCCGTGTGTGCTATCTGGGTGATTGCGATACAACTATTCTTATATTTAATGAAATTATCACTTGGAAATAAAGTCATCCAATTTGCTGCTTGGAAATAAAAATAGGAGTTTGCATAACTCGTCGTTATTGAGCTACGACGCTGCGGCTTTGATTTTTTCTTTTTTTTTTTTTCTTTTTTTTTTGGTGAAAGACTGTGCAGCCGACTTGTGGCGGATTCGGTATGGAATCGTCGCATAAGAGTGAGAACAGAAAGCTTTTTTCGGTGAGTTTCGGAACACATTTAGTGACCAGTGAGAAAATTTCCTATTGGGTCGCGTTGCGAAACTCATCGTGCTCGAAACCCCCTCTATGTTTCTTTGTTCCCGACTGTACTATCGCACAACAACAATCGTTAACAAATTTTAATGACGAACAAATCTAACAATGTTGATTAAAAAGGAAAAAAGAACCGACGTAAAGTCTATAGCTGCGATTGATGAAAGAATCGAAAAGACAATCGATCCTACAACTATAAATGAGAATCGGACTTCGATTGATCGTTCGAACGTTACATCTCCGTGTGGCTAGCCAATTGTGTGACCTCCAACACAGAGTGCGAGGAATTGTCAGTCACATACGATAGAAAATGTTGTATTATTTTCGTGATAGGTGATTGAATGTTCTGTGTAGGCAGAGGGAATCGGGGTAAGTTCAATGTGCGCAAACCATCACTTACGTCAGTAGCGGTCGCCTTTCGCGTCTTCTCGTTTTTCGTGGACCGTTGTCTTGACATTTCACGCGTGGATATTAAATGCCTGCAGCTGTTTGTGAGCCTCGTAAGCATATGTTTTCCGATGCACCTTGTTGTCTCGTTTCGTCGTCTGTCGAACGGTATATGTAACACGTGCAATTTTACAGACGTTTATGGACTTTGGGATATTGCGGGTTATTTGTCGGTTCTCTCTAACCTGACCAACATCCTTCGCGTTAACCAATTATTTCGCGCATGCGTGATTAACTGGCTGGCATAACACACAGTGGCATGCACACTTACCCGCTATTTTTAAACGTACACGAGCACACGTTGTGATGCGTGTAGTACTTTAGAATTTAATGTTTCATATATACATAACACTATACGGAACGCTCTATTCACTGGTCAACTCTATTCTCAAGGTCAACATGCCGAAAAAAATTGTGGGCGAGAATAGCAAGGCGGTGGCCGCCCGTGCTAGAAAAGCAGCGGCCAAAGAAGCCGAAACTATAAAGAAAGCACTGGAAGCTGAAGACAGAGCTTGGCAAGATGACGACAAACAGCTATTAAAAAAGAAGCAAAAACAAGTATGTAGTAGGACTTCGTGTCATGTTGGTTTGGTGAGGAACAAGTGTTGGTGTTTCCAATGAAGAAGGTACAATACACGTCTATTTTCCTACGCACGCAGGAAGAACTCGAGAAAAAACGCCAACAGCAATTAGAAAAGAAGGCAGAGGCTAAAGCTATGCTTGAGGAAGAAATGGCGAATATAAAAGTCGGCGGTAAACAACCAGCGTCCAAAGTCACAAGGGCTGAGATTGTCGCCATCACTGAGAAACGAAATCTGGTAGCTATGAAGAGAAAGGATGAAGAGAAACCAATCGAAGAGAACCTGAACAGAGTAATTCTGGAGGGTGAAACGGCTCACGGTATAGACGAAGCCTTATCCGTCTTGAGGTAATTTCAGAAAACGTCAAACCACGAAGCACAGAGAGAGAGAGAGAGCGAGAGAGAGAGAGAGAGAGACAGAGAGAGAGAGAAAGAGAGAGAGAGAGAGACAGAGAGAGAGAGAGAGAGAATGAATGAATATCAAGCTCGAGATGCCATGTGTGTGCGCGGCGTTGTATAGATTTAATTTTTGTTTCCTTTTTTCTTCTAAATTTTTTCCTCGGTTTTTTTCAGTATAAAAGATCCCGAAGCCGATCGACACCCGGAAAAACGGATGAAGGCCGCATACGCCAACTTTGAGGAGAGAATGATGCCTGTGATTAAAGAACAAAATCCTACCTTGAGATTGAGTCAACTGAAGCAGATTCTTAGGAAAGAATGGATGAAGTCGGCTGAGAATCCACTCAATCAAAAGTTGAAACAGTAAATGAATGTGTAATGACAACTTTATAAACGTACTCAAATATCTATCTGGGAATTTGATATGTATTCAGATAGGAGATCGACTGATTTATTTACTTCTCGATGTTTCGGTTAAATAATAATTGTCGCAACGACGCGATGAACTGTATACACACACTTTTATTGATAAAACGAATAACTTATATTAAAAATATATTTGACATACGCGTATTATGGATGGATGATATGAGAAATGGATATATATATATACACATACATATCCACAAACGATCTTTGGTCAAATCTGTATTTTGTTTCATAGCCTCTATGCGATATTTGCGAGATCACTTTGAATAACTCTCGGCCGAAACCTGTCGTTGTGCCAGGCATGTTTTGCACAAAAACGAGATGTTTTACGAAAAAGCATCTAATTTAAATGGAAAGACAGTGTCGAAGATGCCATTCATTGGTACAATTCGTTGGCACTGTGTAGTCGGCATCGGCAATTCCAAACTACGTATACTTGTAAAAATTGATAATTAAAAACTGCAAATAGATTTAAAAATACATATAAAAGTTATTTCAAGTGATCGGAACAAATAGGACATCTTGTATTTATTCAATCTGTACATCTTGGCACATTTATGAGGCCGCGCTCTATGCGCTCTATGCACAAGTTTCTCTTATTAATTTACCTTACCGTTCTATCGAACCGAGAACCTTTCTCCGAAAGGTCTTAAAACGAATAGCTCGTCTCCTCTTCAAACTTGGATACACGAAAGTTTCATATCATACCATAATTAATTAATAATTGGTCCGTGCAATTGGTCGGTTCAGTCGGTATAATCTTTTGATATGATAGAGCTTCTTAGGCGATTATACTCCTATGTTCGAATTATCTAGTTTAAAACTATGCGATATCAGTGTTGCCACTTTTTGTTTTTCCACAAATCTATAAAACAATGTATCATATGATTCAGCTGCTGAGGACACTCTGTCATAGGGCTATGACCAGCCATTGGAATAGCTTCGAGGAAAGCCTTCATCATCGTCTGAAAAGTGTAAAACAAACGATGATTGAATCGTATATGATTTTTAAAAAGAAGCAAATAATTAATACATGCGACAAATTTCTACACCACTAAGTGTTTGTTTGTGTAATTATTTTATTTGCTTCTCTCTTCTCTCTCTCTCTCTCTCTCTCTCTCTCTCTCTCTCTCTCTCCCTCCCTCCCTCCCTCCCTCCCTCCCTCCCTCCCTCCCTCCCTCCCTCCCTCCCTCCCTCCCTCCCTCCCTCCCTCCTTCCCTCTTTCGCATACGTCGATCGAATAAGAACGCAAACTTACCCTTTCCATTTGACACTCTTGTACCAAAGACACCTTGTTGTCTCTCAGTCCATGCACCAAAAGTGTGGGCGTGCATATCCTCCTGTGAAAAACATAGTCACCCTCCGGCCATATCATACCGTCCAATACATATTTCATATGCGAAGGCCACTGTTCCATCGACTCTTGACCGCAATAAGGGTGTTGCCGTCCTCGTGCGGAATACAGAATATCTCGGTGAAGACCGCACATTAAAAGAGGCGCGAGGATCGCCCTGAGACAGCAGTGTCCAGCGCTTTCTGTACTCGGCGGGGCCAACGGGGTTGGCCCACCGCCTGAAATCAGCACGAGCTGATGGACATTGCTGTCGTACTTGTAAGCCAAGGCCGTGGCGAAGCTGCACCTGCAATGGGAATTTTAAAGATACCATTCACCGGGGGGGGGGAGAGGGGGGCGTCGATTTCGCGCGAACGGAAGACGAGTCCTTTTCGCCTTTTGACCTTTTGAATTTGTAGGAAACCTTTTTTTCACCCACCCATCCGGCGGGGGGGGTCGGATCTTCGACTCACCCGTAATTGTGCGCTACCAAGACACACTTCTCGCCAGGCTTGAAAGCGTAATGATGCAAAACAGCGTCCAGATCCTTGAGCAGCTTGCCAAAGTGATAATCTCGCGATCGACCGGGCGCCGAGCTCATACCGTGTCCGAGCATGTCGGGAGCTATGCAGGGATAACCGAGCGACGAAAAATACTGCAGCTGGTGCTCAAAGATCTCGGCCGACGAGCCGAAGCCGTGCAGGAAGACGATTGTCGGCTTCCTGTTCCTTCGAAACGTCACCGAGTCGGGCAGGTCGCGTCGTGTGCTACCTCGCGAGGAGATTCCGTCCAACTCGGACCAGCCTTTCCTGTAATCCCTGAGTTCGATCGGAGAATCGGCCGCTTCGGCAGGGATAGGCAGAGTCTCCTTCAGCTTCGCGCCGAGCTTCGACGGAGCCTCCCCACCGTTCAACGATGGCTCGTGATCGTTGTTCCGGAACTCCAGACGGAGCTTGTCGAAGTCGGTCTGCGCGTTGACTTGATTATTATCTTCCAGCTGCTCCATCGTCTCGGAACCTGCCGAATCGATTACGTGCTCGGCGGTAGTCTCCGCGGTCTCTCGGACTTTCGACCAGGTTTTCGCAGCTCCTTGGTCGGAATCGCTCGAGTGTTCCTCCGCAAGCGAAACCGCCTTCGGCAAAATTTCCTCGGTGCTGTCCTCTCCCGGATTATTCGTCGTGGGGCCTCTGCCCAGTTTCTCATCGATGATTCGTAAAAGCGACTGCTCGAAGCTGGCCTCTTGGTCCGGTTGAAGCTCGATGGTCTCCACGCTGTTGATGCCAGAATCCACGCAGTCCGTTTCGCGCTCCGGCGCGATGTTCTCCGGCGTGATGTGTGCCGGTATTCCGAGGTACAGGTCGGCTGTTTCGTGAAATAAGAAAACGGTGAAGAATCTTGACGAGGAATGACGGAGAGGGATATGGCAAAGGCTATCGCGCGATAGCGACGTCTCGGTCCCGGTTTCGCGTAGATGAGCCGTGCTTACCGTGTTTCTCCGTGGCGCGATCGAGCTCTATGGAAGCCAGTTGGTCCGTCGAGCCAACGAAAGCGGGGTTCACGTAGCCCTCGTTCACCTCGTTCACTTTGGCGAATTGCTTCTTGCCCCCCCGATTTTTGCCACCGCATCGCCACTCCTGCCTCTTGTTGTCGGCTACAGAGAGATCGACATCGACGAAAGATCCGCGTCCGTTTCTCGTGGCCGGTACTTCCTCCTTGGACTCGTCGGGTCGCGACTTGTTCGTAAGAACATCCGTTTGTTGCCAGGCCACTTTGGACTGTCGTACGCCGTTCTTCTCCACTTCGGCCACATGTTTAACCGTGTCGTCGAGTATTTCTTCCAGCAGCGTATTAATGTACCTGATGTAATTCAATTGTGTTGTCGTTAGTTCCCAGCGTCTTTCCAATGATTCGCTCATCACAATCGCACGTACAATCGCGTACGTGAAGATGAACGGGGGCGATGAGATCAAATACGGTGAGGGGGGGGGGGAGCGGCGGCGGCGGCGGCGGCGGGATTCGAATGCAATAGATACATGTTAATTAAAATCGGATTGGTATTAATCGGATTAAATTTCACGCAACGACACGTTACATCCTCTGACACTTCTAAATTACAGATCAAAGTAGATAGATGGGATAGATGGATAGATGGATAGATAGATAGATAGGTAGATAGATAGATAGATAGATAGATAGATAGATAGATAGATAGATAGAATTCGTTGCAGAGTCCGTACCGCTCTAAATCTTTGACGATCTGATGCTTCGCGCTCTGCTCGAACGACCGGTGACGATCAGTCGTCGTCGGTAACGCGTCGGACGTCTGGTAGTCCACGTGGCCGGCCAGCGGGTTGTCCCGCAGCTTTTGCAGATTCACCGAGACCCTCTGCTCCAGCTCCTCCATGTCGCGCGCGTTCTTCTCCGCCTCGCAGAGGCTCGTTCGTATCCGATTGAGTTCGGCGGATATGATGCGCTCCTCGTTGCTGACGGCCAACGCGCCGGCCGACTGGCGAAAGGAACATCTGCAGTTCCCGGACGGATGCGGTCTCCTGGACCAACGCGCGAAGAAATTGTCGTTGATCGACTCGGGTCGATCGATCGTACTCTCGTAATACCAGCCGCTTTTCAGGGTCGGTCGGAGTACGCGCAAGGTGCGTCGCGGCGCCACAATGAAGAAGTCGCAGTCGGGCAGCTCCACTCTACCGGGACTTACTCGATTACGATTCCTCCAGCACTCGAACACTTTGCCGTACCAAGGAGACGCCTCCGTCGGCGGCGGCGGCGGCGGCGACGGCGGCGGCGGCGACGGCGGCGGCGACGACGGCGAAGGGTTCTCTTCTACCTGCGTCGCCATTGTCCCTTCTTGATCCTCCAGTCGGTCGGATCATAAAGACATCACGCGAACCAAACTTGGAGCTCCAGATGCGAGGTACACGTCACGTACTGCTACTGGCGGTGTGCATTTTCCTCGAGTCTCTTATGTCTCTTACGGTTATGACTAACGCCAATGTCAACGACTATGTATAGTCATACACACACGGTGCATATCCCTGCTTTTCTCGACGGCCGCGCTGCATGCCTCCTCTGTAGGCGCGTGTTTCCTCGAACACGCGTCTCGCACGGCCGCGCCGCTGCCTCCTCTTCTCAACGAGTCGAGTTTACTTCTGAAAATGGTCGATGTAAGAAGCGTCCAACATCCCGTGCGTCAACACCGCGGATTACGAGCCGATCGGACGATAGTGTCGGCAGGCGCGATCGAGTATTGTCGAACGTCAGCGCGAAACTGTCCCGAACGCCACTCGATAAACCGCTCGCGGTTTCTTTCGCCTACTCGCCTACGGTATGTTACAGATCGAGCTGTAGGTCGACGAGTTTTTATTGCGCAAAGAGCGACTTTCTCATCACGCAACGCTTTTCCTGCGTTCCACATGCCCGAGCAGCGAGATTTCCCCGCGGAAAAAAGAAACGAAAGCGCGCGCGCGTCGCTTCCTCGCTCGAATGATTCTCGACGGTGGAGGCGCGCGCGCTCCTTCCTCATTACGATATCTATTCCAGATTAATTTTCGGCTCGGTTTTTATCGGATAATAACGAGCCCATTCACTACTCACTTAAGCCCACATGGATGTCTCTCGACGACATGGAGGAATCTGGAGGAGCAGAATACAAACGCGCGAAGATCTCGATTCGCGGCCTACGCAACGGGTTGAATCGATTGCTCGACCGTGCATTCTTTCGCAACGACGTAAGTGCAGCTTATCCAGCAGAACGATCTCTGTATTATAACCGCGGAGCGGCGGAAGAGAGCGCGTTAGGCGCTCTTTTAATTGGATAGTTTCGCCTTTTCACCGGTTACCGAAAGTAACATTCCGCTGGGGGGCTACGGCTCTTACGGCTCTTGTGGATTCGGTGTTTCGACAACTTTTCGGCATTCGTCTCGTAGCGAATGCGTAAACGCGAGTGGAGAAGGGGGGGCACTCCGATCTGACGCGACGGTACTTCGTCGATTCGCTAATCCAGCTAGCAATCGAGCAAATTGCATACATGCGTGGGGGAGGGGGGATCGAGTGAACATTCGCACGCATTCTCCTCGCTCTCGTGCATCTTCGAGAGACGATTGAATACGCAATCGCGCGTTATATTTAAATGAATTTCAGTCTCTCTCTCTCTCTCTCTCTCTCTCTCTCGGCTCGCGGATGAGACTTTTGCGGAACGACGCGCTGTGCACACTCACCTGACTTACTCGGTTGAAAGCCGTGTACGACGTACATAACGCGAGACTGTAACCGCTCACTGTACACGCACTGCTCGGTCGAACAAACAGAGTATCTCACGACGCGCACGACGATGCCGTCGTATGAGTTGAGGTATTGTCGAGATACCGTCGAGATAGCGACGGCACACCGACGACAGCACGACTTGCTCTCTCTCTCTCTCTCTCTCTCTCTCTCTCTCTCTCTCTCTTTCTCTCTGTCTTTCTCTCTCTCTCTCTCTCTCTCTCTGTCTCTCTCCCTTCGCCGCGCTCGCCGATGGAAGTCCTCGCGAAGTTCGGCAAACGCGTCGCAACCACACGTAACGTGCATCCGGGACACAATCGGTCGCGTGTATCGGCCACTATGTTTTCGCCGAGGAGACCGTCAATGACGTGCGCGCTGCTGCCGACGATGATATGATGGTGATGGTGATGATGATGATGATGATGATGGTAATGGTGATGACGATGGTGATGATGATGGTGACGATGATGATGACGACAACGACGATGACGATCCGTCAGGACGCGGGCGTCCATCGGAAGTCGCAGTCGCGCGGACTCGCGTCGAGTGACGATACCGCGGCGGAGCATCGCTCATTTTCTCTCTCTCTCTCTCTCTCTCTCTCTCTCTCTCTCTCTCTCTTTCTCGCTCTCTCGCGCTCTCTCTCTCTCTCTCTCTCTCTCTCTCTCTCTCTCTCTCTGTCTCTGTCTCTCTCTCGCTCTCTCTCTCTCTTTCCCTCTCGTTCCTTCTTTTCGCGACGTGGGCGTCTAGCCGGCAAATTAAGACGGGAAAATTGAGGACGATTGATACTTGAGACACGAAGCACGTCGGCTCAGAGCGGCCATTGTACGTCCCGAGCACACGGATGGCAACGTGCACGAGAAAGAGAGGCGAAACAGAGAGAGAGAGAGAGAGAGAGAGAAAGAGAAAGAGACAGAGACCGGTGGTCCCCCCCCTTCTCATCGGGGGGAAGTTGTTCGTATACAGGGCGTTTAGAAAGTCCGCTGCATCGACCTCGTCTGCGTCCGACTCTGTTTGCTCGGGATGTACCGCTATGAAGCGAATTGTCGTCCGAAGAATACGCGCGCGCTTTCTTCACGAGCGGTATTATTATACGTGGCTTTGACGACCGTAAAGGTGCGTCGTATTTGCATCTAATAAAGGGGTCAAGTAGGCTCAAGAGATTTCGAATCGGCCGTTACCTATTTCGGCATCACCCTTCGACGTCACACACGATCGACTTTTCGGCGTTTCAGCTTCCCCCCCTCCCCCTCACCCATAGCACTAGCGGCCGTAGTAGCGGTATTCGCCATTGAACGGACGGAAGAGAGAAGTCCTTTATAAATCGCGAACATGCGCGTGAAAAAAATGGCTAATGATCTGACCTATTGCAAACAATCGCTCGCGACGGCCGTTTTGAATGACGGACGAGCGACCGAGAGAGAGAGAGAGAGAGAAAGAGAGAGAGAGAGAGAGACCGTGCTAATCATAAAAAGCGCAAAGAGAAAAAAATGAAAAACGGAGCGGCTGAAAGGGGTCGCGTCGATACGGAGGTTCCCGCGATCGTCCGTCTTGGGAAAAAATGCAAACGTAAACTAGCATTCTAGAGAGCTGTATTCAATTTGCGCGCAACTTTATCGATAAGTATAGCGCAAATAGAGGAGGAAGTGATAGTATTTCGTCATCTATAATCCAGATTATGATAAGAGCGAGTGTCGTTGACTTGTTCGAGCGGTCTGGCGATCTCATTATTCGATCCGTGCGATACGATGATCGCATGGGTCTCTCCTTTTTTCGTTGAATGCAAAGTTCGCGTTGAATCGCGTCGTAGGTGTCGCGAGCGACAACGCTTTTCCTCAAATTATGTCATTTCGCGCGATCGTAATTGAACGTGCCTCCCCCGAGGCAGCGTCCTTCCGTCCAAATAGGGAAGAGTCACGCGGTAGTGACACATGTCGAATAAATGTATTTGCGGAACAAACGCGCATGAGATAACACTCCAAGTGCCCCGTTACGTCGCGACGAGGAAGAAAGCTGAAAGCAGCGAATGTGGCTTGCGCGCGCGCGCGCGCAGATAAATCGCGCGCAACATGTAGTATTCTTTTATTTCGTCTCGTTGATCTCGTACATCTTGCATCTTGCAACTTTTCATAACAGAAAGTGCCCGACAGAAAGAAAAACTTGCTCGTCAGGCGTTAAGGCGCGAGATCGCATATCGCGAATGCTCTTTCTTTTTTTCTTTTTCTTTTTCTTTTTCTTCCCTCGTCGAAGAGGTCAAAGGGCGGCGAGCGGACGAGATTGACATCGAGGGTAATTACGAGAGAGAGAGAGAGAGAGAGAGAGAGAGAGAGAGAGCCACACGCGTTGGCACACGCGCCTTACCTTACGCGCCGCATCCTCCGTCCTACGCATCCTTCGTGATACGCCATTACACGGCGTTACACGGCGTTACACGGCGTTACACACACCGCGCCGCTTAACTGTGCGCGCATGCACGACCGACCGCGCGGGAGGAGGCTCGGAGGGGCGGGGAGGGACAATTCCGCGGGGCGCCTGTACGCGCGATAAGTAGTGCAAATTTGACGTTGCACTCTCCGTCGCCGTCGAGGGAGAGATAACAATTTACGCGTTAATATATTAGCCGAGCGCGACGTATCTTTACGAGAACGCCCCGGCGCAAACACTCTTGTAACTGAGACGTTTGACAACGCAAACGTCGGGGGTCGTTCACCCGGCCGGTAAGCGGCTTATAGGGTATAAAGGGTTCGGCTGCTCATCCCGCCCGGTTATTTCGTTGAAAATCGCGCGCTATGGAGCTGACGTACTCGCTCGTGCAACTGCTCGCCATCCTGAGTGCGGCGCACGCGTCGGTGGTGCGTCTGAAGGAGACCGAGGCCGCTGGGGGGGTCAGCACCGAGACGGTCAGCGAGGAGCAGCGAAAGATACACCAGGAGTGTCGGAATCCGGACTACAAGAAATATATAATGTGTCTAATGAGGCCGAAGCGACATTATAACCATGCGGATATACTGACGGATAATGGTAGACTATGAGTATATAGTTATTTATAGAGCAATCGAGACAGAGAGAGAGAGAGAGAGAGAGAGAGAGAGAGAGAGAGAGAGAGAGAGTGAGAGAGAGAGAGAGACGTCAGCGCAACTCGTAGCTCGTCGCGAGGGGGGCTTTCGCAAAGCGCGACGGTACCGTTCGCGAAATCCTCCGGTTCGCCGAACGCATTATGCAAGCGCCGCCGACTGTTGCGCGGTCACTCGGTAGTCGGAGACTGTCGCGTTGAATTAAAACCGGGCAATCTTTTATAGCGCGACCAACAGAGCCGCGCACAGTTGCGCAACACGCGCTTCATCATTAGCCGGACCGTTGCAGTTGCGCAACTGCAAGTACGACGAATGGTGTTCGCAACACGGTGCGGCATTTACCGCGGCGCGCGATTAATGATCTCCGATTAAAGATTCGTTGCATGTATCGAATAGAAAGAAGGGGAAACAGAGAGTCCGCGTAGGAAAGAAGAGGAGAAGCTGCGCGTGCGCGCGCTCGCGATTGTAATGTATTATCGCCACTCTACAAGCGACACAACTTTGCAGATCCGGTGCACTGTTTGGAAGCGTGCCTAAAGAAATGCAGCGTGGATCACGACTGCGACAAGAAATGTAGCCATTGCACAAAGAGGACCAAACACCGCCACCAAATCGTCACAGAGTACGAGTTAAATTGCGAGTCGGGAAATTGCTACGGAAGCGACGACTTGAGGGCCACTAACATTACAACGAACATTGATATCAATAATATTATCCACACCTATCCCAACGGTACAGGGCCAGGTACTGGTCCTGGGACTGGTCCCGGGACTGCCACCGGAACTGCCACTGGAACTGAAACCGAAACTGGTACCGGTCCCAAAACTCATCCCGGAACTGGAACTGGAACCGGAACTGGTATCGATATTGGTGTTGGTATCGGTACCGGCACCGGCACCGGCACCGGCGTCGGCACCGGCGCTGGCACTGGTATCGGTATCAATGAAACCGGCACCGCCGGTATCGCCGTGCCATCGATACCTCTGGTGCCTCAGATTTCGATGGTGCCGCAAATTACGTACGGGATAAATCTCGCGGGTGGATGCGTCTTCAGCACGTGGCTTTGCATCCAACAAGGTGGCATGAGGAGAACGCAGGTAAACACAGTATTGCGAGTCGAGCTCGTGATAGCCTGCCTGCCTGCCTGCCTGCCTGCCTACGTATATTAAAGAACAATGAAATTGTAGCCTTCGAATGTGCAGCCTGACTGCTCTGTATGCGGCAATCCTCTTCTGCATCACCGATGCAACGTAACGTTTTGTTACACCGCGACCAGCGTTGGTACGGCTTGCAAGAGCCCGGCCTGCATCGGCGGTGAGTTCGTTGTCGTATCATTAATTCGCTTCACTTGACGAACACTACTGTTTGTCTCGTCATCGTCATCGTCATCGTCATCGTCATCGTCTCGTCATAGCTCGTGCGCTTTTGCTTCTCCATTTGCTCGGATCCGGTAGTCGCGCGCCTTACGAGACACTGTCATCTCATCTTTCTCACATGATTTTAGGTTCCGCCGTTCCGTAAGATTTTCGAATGCATCGCGGAGCAGGCGGAGAAGAAGGATGGAAAAGAGATTATTCGATCGTTGTATGTTTGCTGCACTATAATAATTTGTACACTGAATACACGCAAAGCAGCACCGTTCTCGATGAACAAGCGTTAGTAATCAGCCATAAAACGTAGCGCTAGATCCAACACGGAGTGATCCCCCCTACATTTAACTTGCTGAGACAATTATATGTACGATGGTCAGTTTCCTACTAGGGACAGTTTGCAAAATAAAGGCAACGTTGCTACAGGAACCTTGTGCTTCGTGCTCGGCCACGAGCATGTGGATTTTACTTGCAATTACAATTCTCCGGCATCGTAAAGAAAGAGAGAGAGAGAGAGAGAGAGAGAGAGAGAGAGAGAGAGAGAGAGAGAGAGAGAGAGAGAGAGAGAGACAGAGACAGTCGTGTACCGTGTCCAGCGACTGTGTAGCGAACGGTTGCCAATTTAACAGCGCAGCGAAACGAAAGAAATTTTGATGACGCGACACCTTCCCTGAAACATCTTCCGATCCAGATCATTGAGAAATAAATTACATTCGAGCATATTCCTAATATGATATACGAGGTATAGCATCGCAGGAGCGGTCGACGGCGGGTAACGTGACACACTATCGGCTTGGGTAATCTCTGAAAGTCAGCCTCGACAAACTCGGCACTAAATTGGCATCTTCGACAATCGTTCGGGCACCCTTGAGCCATTTACGTATATAACAACGACAACAATAACGACGACAACCGGCGCGTTGGCGCGTCAGTCGTGATCGTCGCGTGAATAAGCAATCTCGAATCCCTACGGATGAGCGAGCGCTAAGAAGTCCCGTCGGCAACAGCACCGAGGAACAGGTGCTGGAAATGCGGATGTACGATACTCCGGTGCATCGCGCGCGCCAGAGCCAGAGCGTGACAGATCGCGACGTTCGCGAGGAGGCTGCGGGAAATCGACGGAACTGTTTCTCGCTCTGCTCGCGAATTAAAGCGATTAAAAGCGGAATGTTGAAAACGGGATGAGAAGGAGAAAGAGCTAGGCAGCGATGGGTCCGGTGTATAATAATCGTCAAGTCGCGTCCGCCTCGCGCGGGTCTCGCTCTCGCGAACCTATTACGCCTCTCGCAATACACGCCGGGGCTCTCCGATAAGGTTAGATAGCGAAAGTGCTCGTAGCATCTCGAGGAGCGGGCGCGGCGTGGGAATAACTACTTGTTTCTCCTACTCGGCTCTTTCCTCGACCTCGCAGTTCCGCGACCCAGACGGATCCTTTTCCAGGAGAGTTAAGCGCGCTGCTCTCTTCGCGGTATTTCGCGGTATTTCGCGGTATTTCGCGGATAACGAGGAGATTAGGAACGGCAAACAGACGACGCAGCTTCCCTCGAAGCTGCATCCATCAATTAATGGTGAACTTTGGTGGCGAGAACCTGCCAAGGCGCAACCTGCAGCGCACGCTCGTTCGTTGGTAGCGACGAGCAAACGACGCGACGGCGCGCTGACAGGACAGAGAGATCGCAGCGGTATTTTTATTTTGCTGAAAACTAAACGGACATTAATATGAACAGGAGGAGGTGAGGCATACACGCACGCGAGAAGAAAAGCGACGCATACACATCCGTCGCTTTTCTTCTCGCGTTTTCCAAGGCGGTGATGTTGTAACGTCAACGTAGAAATCATGCTGCATCAAGCGGAGAGATCCCGGAAGCCATAGGTATTCAGTGTGAGAAGACCACTCCACAAAGATTTCTCTCTCTCTCTCTCTCCCTCTCCCTCTCTCTCTCTCTCTCTCTCTCTCTCTCTCTCCCGCACAAAGATCTCGCGTAAACGCGATATTTTAACGGCACAACGTTGCCGTTGCCGATAGTCGACGTGTACGTACATGAGTTGAGCGGACGCTAAACGGACTCGCCCGTAAGCGACGCCTTTCATCGTTATTGTATTGTTGGAGGAGACAACTAGCCGGTACTCGGCGATGCCGTCACCGTGTGCACGCCACGCCGCTATGTGGCCGTGCCACGCTAGTTTCGCCAACGATAAGAATGCTTTTCCCTTTGGCGAAGTCACGAGCCGGACAGCGTAGGCCGGCCTGCCTACCTGCCTGCCTGCCTGCCTCCGAACAATCAAATTTACCGCGAATATAGAGGATCATTCCCGCTATGTCCGCCCACTCTCGCCCTGAACGCCCGCCGATACTCCCCCTCCTCTGCGCTTCCAGCCCCGTCGAACCTTGAGACGCGACATCTCTTTTTGTTCATCAAATATTCTGGTCCGCGATTAAAATCGACGATTAGAATCGATAACCATACACGAGACAGTCATCTACCTCGATGTGTCAGCTGGTCGCGCGCAGTTCTCGGATCTTGACAAATCCTTCATCAGTTTGTTCGGGCGATTTAAGTAAGGTTCTTAAAAATCGTACATGAGCCAGCGAAACAAATTTCTAATCACAGAGAGAAGGCCAGGTATCAGTTTCAAATGTTTCAATTCTTAGAATTAGTAGAATGTGGAAAAGACTTTGTTTTCTTTATTTATATATCGATATCTTTATTGGCTTTATTCTTGCGCTGATTTGGAAACGAGCGACATGAACTCTTTGGAAATTCCAATTTCTTCCATCGTCGAAAATGACAATTAACCTTGACCGAGCGCGCAGGAAAGATGGATTACAGGTGTAGGGTGTATGAAACGTGATATAAGAGCCTTGAAAGCAACCCTGCAAAACCGTCGATATCGCACTGTACGACGAAGAAATAAACTTGGCGCTTCCTTTCCTCCGTCGATCTCCATCTGGCGTGTAAATTCGCGAGCGAATGGACGGACCACCCGTAGACGGCGATTCCCCGCCCCCCCTCCCCTCGCCCGGTGCTGGTGGAACCATTCCGCACCCAGGTGGGACCATTAGAGCGAAAGATCGGTTGGTGCGTATCAAAACTGTGTTAGTGTACTATAGAGAAACGTCAATTTTTTCGTTCTCTGTACGATCGTGTTTCGAACCTCCGTTCTTCATGCGTTTTCTATACACGCACCGCACGCATGTCGCGTCAACGGCGGGGGTTCGCCCCTTCCTTCCTCCCTCACCTCCGTCAAGAACAGGAAATTTTCACGGTCGGGGAACATATTTGTCCGTGTGAGAACCCCAGGATGTCCTGAAGACGCACGCCCCTCGAAGGCACGTGGCGCGCGCGCGCGAATCGACTTCCTCCCGTTGCGATCGCGAAGTACAGGAACACGCGGTGAGATTATTAAATGGAACATAACGAGCAGCAAACCATCACCGAAACCATCGGTGTTTCTTCCGCGAAGGCTCTATCAAGATGTTTCTTGGTCCTCTCTCTTTTCTCCATCTCGTTTTCCATCTCGTGTTCCGATTTCCTATTTGCAAAGATATTTTCGCGCACGAGAGAGGGGGAAAGTTATATTTTCCAAGTAACAAGAATCTTGAATAAAGGACGTAAGCCCAGATCGTATCTGCATGGAAACGGTGCATGGTCCGGTGGTCTCACCGTCGAGATCGAATAATTCGAGAAGTCACTGGCCCGTAAAATGACTACACCGTAGGCATCGTCGAGAGAGAGAGAGAGAGAGAGAGAGAGAGAGAGAGAGAGAGCGAATAGAAGTTCGTTGGGGACGGCCCATTTTCAAGGGTTAACAAAAGTCCGTTACAGTTATTTCTCGAAGCATCTCGTTCAGCATCGAGCATTGGAAGCGCGCTAATCAGGGGATCAGGGGACCGGTAATCGCGATTCGTACGTACGCCGGCATAACGGCCGACATTCCGAAAACCGAGTCAACGGCAAGCCCGAACTCCGTAGTTGGCGAACCTCGCGAGAGCAAAACGAGCAACATTTGGGTATTTCTGGTCAACTCAGGCGAGTCGAGTGTTGATATCTACCGCGTATTCGCGTAGATATATACTCTTGATTTTACATCAGCAAGACGCGCAAGACAATCGTTAAAACGTCTTTTCCATCCTGGCCTGGGATACAACCCCGCCCCTTTCGTCGCGCATCTCACGCCGACGGTTCGTCGAACGATTCGCGCGTCCAACGGTGGGTCGCTCATTTTCCTTAATTGCACGGAGCGACGGAGCACATTCAATTAGCCTCGCGACCGAGTCGACGGGAACAACGAACGCGCATAAAGACCGTATCACACTAGCGACTCATGGCTGCGACTGCGACTGCGACTGCGATTGTGATTTTTTAATTGTCTTTTGCAATCGCGCTTGCGATTGCGGCGATCGCGGCTGCGACTAAGTACTGTTAACATACTGTCACACGTACAATCCCAAAGAAGGGGTTTACATTCTACACTAGGAAAAGAAATTTATTGTATTATCCCCAACAAAACTGAGTTTAGTTGAAGCATTTTTTAATAGCAACCAAATATCTTGTTTTATGTAACAAAATATTTAATTGACTCAACTAAATAGATTTTTCTGCTTTGTTCTCTGGACCAAATGATTTTGTTCTTAGACTTTGTATAAATATAAAAATTAAGCGTTTTAGTTATTTTATCCATAAAAATTACATAACGAAATGAAATATCATTTTACATAAACTAAAATAATACCCAATGCTATACTATTTTGTCTTTCTGTGCACTAAAATTTAGATTTTATATATTAAGAAAAAATTATAGTATTTTTAACAAAATTCATATAGTTTAAGCTGTTTGGTTGCTGTAACATTGTATTACGTTATACGAATAAACCGTAATCAAACAAGATATTTGTTTACAGGACAACAATAGTCCATCTTCTTATTAAATTGGTTTGACATTAAAAAAGAAATATGTAACACACAAAACAACATTAGATATAACCTTATTCTAATGATCACCGACTTCTACATACTATTAAATAAATTATGACGAGCGGGTCACGTGATTATACGGAGTTCTGCGATTGGTTGCGACTGCGGCTGCGACTCGAAAAATGGACAGCCGTCCAAACGATAGTCGCGAGTCGCAGCCGCGAATCGCTGCTTTTTGATTGGTCGAGGAAGAGTCGCAATCGCAATCGCAGCCGCAGCCGCAGTCGCGAGTCGCTAGTGTGATACACGCATAACAGCGGGACGTAATGACCGCCGCTGGATATTACGGCTTGGTAGACACCGGACTTCGCATTGCCTATTGCCGTTTGCCGATTGCTAAATCCTTCGGCGACGACAACAACGTCGGCGTGGATTTTTCTATCGCGCTTGAATTTATTCAAGAGGATAGCCCACGATGCGACCACCGACCTGTTCCCGACCAACCAACCAACCAACCAACCGAGCCTTAAGTAGTGCCCACTATTGTTAATTTCCTATCGGGAGGGAGAATCGCTACACTCCCCGAATCCGATACTTCTAGGTCTTCTAGGTCTTTCCAGGGAAGAGGAAACTGGGATTTCTGCTCTCAGAGCAGAATTTATCGCGCGGCCGATTACACGTGAGAGATCAGTGAGAAAGGCGTGGGCCAGGTCCGACTGTTTCGAATGCACCCACGCATTCCACTTTCGATAGGCTGGTCTTATGAATTTGATAACGCGAGCATCGATCGGCGGACTGTGATCGCACCTCCATAAGAAAGAGGGGCAGGGATTTTTTTCTCTTTCGACTTTTCCGATCGCATCGGAACCGAACGATTACCGAACTCTCGTCTCCTCCCTTGGCTGCTCTCACCATAGCCCGCTCGTTTTCACAGGCTGCCTGCCAGTAGCTATGGCGGATTACAAGATGAGTTTTGTCTATAGTAAGAATCGCATAGAGAGAGAGAGAGAGAGAGAGAGAGAGAGCTCGCACTCGCGCTTTTTGCTGGGCTCAAGGCCTCGACGAGAGATGTGAATGAATCTAGAACCTGTTTCTCCCCGCAGGTTCTTCGCACACTTGCCCGACTTCTTTGTATAGAGTCGAGCGATACGCGATGATATTGTTGAAAATAGCCGTGCCGATGCTATTTCCACCTCGTCCAGATCTGGTTAGGTGTCGTTTTACACCGACGTCGCATGACTTCTTCGTCGATTTCGCGGTGAGAGAGAGAGAGAGAGAGAGAGAGAGAGAGAGAGAGAGAGAGAGAGACAGAGAGAGAGAGAGAGAGAGAGAGATCTTCTTGCGCACGGATGTAAATCTCTTCGTTCTGCGTTCATACCTGCGTTCGTACGCACACATATCGGCAACGAGCATAGAGTTGCTCTGTCGGCTTCATCTCAGCGAAATTCAGTCGCAGGAAGCGCATGGATAGCCTGCGCAGTGACTGGCTGGCTGGCTGGCTGGCTGGCAGGCCGAGAGTAACGACACGGTGTTATCATCGCCGTGAGAGAGAGAGAGAGAGAGAGAGAGAGAGAGACGGCTTCGATATCCTTACTAAAATAAAAATCCAAAGAGGAGAGAAACAGAGTGACGGAGAGACAAAGAGAGTGGGAGAGGCAGAGGGAATGTATTTCCGCGCGCAGGTAGCGCCACGGCGCGACCGCTGCGCTCCTCGATGCCGGCAGTTTCGAGCGAGTCCTGCCGGTGAGCGTCCGCACGAGCATCCTGATCGGGGTTTCCATCCTCGATCGGTGGCGGATATCGTTGCATCGTTGCTTTGGCTCTCCTCTGTGGACGGACCGGTCAGGTGGTGGTGTCTGTCGAGCGTCTCGTTCGACCTCTGCGCATTTCCGCGTTCATCCGCTCGCGCGTGCGCGCGCGCGCGCACACGACTATGGTCAAAAGCAAAATCGGACGGAATTTGCGCGCCGTCGCCGCCGCCGCCGCCGCCGCCGCCGCCGCCACTGTTTTCTGCTATGTCCACGTAGTCGAGGAGTTATAACATTCCTTAAGCCAAGGTAAGATCACGTCGTCACGTACGACTCGGTGTCACGGTTAGGTGTGTGTACTTGTGTTTGAGTGCTGCTCATTCTGATATTACGTACCCTCGCGCACCCTCGCGTTGTTTTACGACACGATCGATCGAAAAAGTACGCTCTCGCGCGTGTTTTCGCGTAAATTTCGCACGGCGAGCCTATACTCGCCGTCGCGCATTCGCGCTGACCTTTTTTTCACATCGATATCCTGACAATTCGGGCAAGTTGCGCTCTTGATGCTTCATGCTTGATCACGCGAATATCAACACGTCGCTTCAAAGGACATTGAGGTGTACAAATGTTATATACAATCGTATTTGTGTAATTCGCGTTAATCTCGTAAATGTCGTGTCACATGAGTCAACTTGGATGACCATGAGAAACGAAAGATCCCCTTCGATCCCCTTTGTTCACAGAGAGATTTCCTGCCGTCCAATAAGCCACAAATTATTTACCTCCCATGGAGATTGGGAAACTTTCGATTGTGAGTGTGAGACTTGCGGCTCAAGTATCAGCCCAAATCGAAGAAACTTGATTCGTTTTATCATTGTATGTATAACTGTAAGACGGTGCGCGCTTCTCTCCTCTCGCCTGAAACGATCGACACACAGAACAAGAGACTTTTGCCGGAATTGACTGCTCTATGCTCTATGCTCTATGCTCTGTGCTCTGTGCGATTGCACTATTTGGAGTGCAGGAAGATTGCGAATTGCGCTAGATGCAAGGCTAGAGGATACGAAGGAGTCGGAGAACCGCGCGCGCGGTTCTTATTTCATGTAGCTGTTGTGTAACGGAACATTCTGAAGGTTGCCACTCGTTGTTGCGATCACCTTAAATTCCACTGTTCGTGTGTATCGTGTAAGAGAGAAAGGGAAAGAGGAGAGAGAGAGAGAGAGAGAGAGAGAGAGATGCGAACTACTGATTGTGAGATATCTCGAGGGATACACTTGGCAAAGAGCAGAAACGCTAAACGCGTTAATTGCTCTTATCCGTGAAGCGTCGTTGATTTTTTAACCGCGAGTTAAGCTCGAAAATAGCTCATGTACACTCAAACTTACTTACGAGACTGTGAGCGTAAAAAACGCGCATGTATCCGTATTCCTCGCGCGATCGAGGAGAAACGAGCAATTTGTTCCCCAGTCGCGTTTACATCGCGCACCGTCGCGCATCGTCGCGATCGTGCACCGAGAAAAGAAATGGTCAATCTCGCTGAAATGATATCGTTCTTTTTCGGCCTTAATCATATCTTCTGTCGTTCCAACAACATGAACGATGTCGACGTGTCGTACAAGATTATCATCTTCGCTATGTGTAACACTGCAGCAGCGCTTTTGCCACGAAATTGATCTTCTTGACTATAATTACTTCACTGTGCAATTATAGTATCGCAAGTACCAGACGCTTCTTTTCGCTCAGCGCGATTGAGACGTTCTAGATCGACAGCCGATATGCTCGATCGTTATATATTTCCCGTGGAATTGAGCAAGTAACGTTGAACCTTTCACCGTGGTGATGATCCGCGATGATCATGCGAACGGCCATGCCCGACGACGATACATCCATCGTGCGCCAGGTGTACGTAAACGTACACGGAATAAATTACGGCATTACGCGCTAACATTGCGCCAAACGCCACGCGCTTAGTGTTTATTGTATGTTGCATTCTTGAACACATCCGCACGATCCGGACGATTAAACGTCCTCAAGTCGATACTGTTACCACCCCATGAAGTATTGCCTTCGGTAAAATCGGTAAAAGTTTGCTGCTTGACACGTGCGAGACGATAATTTGACGATAATTTTGAGAGAAACTCGATATCGTCGAAACGAGATATCTCTTTGTTCAATAATATCTTTCGTTTTCTCCGGTGGCCTTCCCTCCCATCTCTCTAAATAATACAACAGTTGTTTGAGAAGTTTGATTGATAAAACTTGCGTGATGAACCGAGACACGTTTTATTCCTTGGACATGTAAAAATTTCCCGAGCAGCTCGGTAATCGGCGGCTACAGCAGACGTGTCGGATACAATCCGAATTGTTTACTAAACTGATAAAATGCAATCAATCGCGCGTTGCTTCGCGGCGAGTCTTCGACTTGCTTGCGCAAGTCTCTCTCGGTATGCGATCCGATGTGCGATGCGTTTTGAGCGACGGTCAATAGGTCAATTTTAGGTAACGCAAATTAACACACATCGGATACAGCACGGCACTTACATACGTGGCACTTACACACAGAGAGAATTCACCTATTTCGAGATAACGGTATAAGATCGTAAACGATGCGCGAGATACATTACAGTTATGCGGTGTGTGCCTGCTTTATTCCGCGGGAGATTAAACACGCCTCTTTTAACACTTTGACGGACAGAGTCAATATTAGGACGGAGATGCAATATTAGTAAGCGCTAAATACTATACGAGCAGGAGTACTCGTAGCGAGAATGATTGCGTTATTATCTCCACGCAATCTACACACACACACACACACATGTTCCGCGCGCGCGCGCACGGAGAATATCTCAAAACTTGATGTTAATGTAATTTGTACGGTGGTGCTACGGCCATTATTTTACAGAATTTTTGTGCCAACAGAAAATGAGCGTTAGCATACATTTAATACCACATCCAACGTGTCCACTTTCTCGTCCCTCGTGTTAAAACGCAAGGGCGCATGCAGGTGCAGGTACTTTTATGCATCTTCCACGCGCGGCAGTCGTAATTGCGCGCGCGCGCGCGCGCGTCTACACTCGTACCTCGTCATTTTCATACGTTGCACGAGGGGAGAGAGAGAGACGCAACCTGGTCTGGCGCGCGTGCACCGGCTCCTCGCCGGTACGATTCTCTATATAGTTCAAATGTATCATGCTGAAACGCGTAGAGATGCGAACGTGTTCGGCTAGGGTTAAATTGCAAACGCGTGTCTCCGCGCACATTCCAACGATCCTACGATCATTCCGTGGATCATTTGCGGGATTTTATCAGAGAGGAAGAGAAAGAGAGAGAGAGAGAGAAAAGGAGAGATCTCTCTTCTTATCGTTATTGCGTTATTCGTATAGGCGAATGTGTGTCAGAGACCGCTTGGTTCGAGGACACGCAACCTCCGCAGGCTATAGTTTTACTTTCTACGGGATGTCGTACGGGCGAAGAGTGAAAAAATGAAAGAAGGATACGGGAATTGAGGGAGGGGGCGAGAGAGAAGGAGAGGAGAGATTCGTCTCTCGCGACCCGAGATACTTATTACCGTATTGCCGTATACACGGCCGTATACACATACCGATTCCGTGGCGGTCTTTGAGGCTTCTCTCTCTCTCTCTCTCTCTCTCTCTCTCTCTCTCTCGTCTCAGCGTCGTCGCGCTGGTCGTCGGTTCCTCGAGTCGGGCCGGGATATTCGTGTCGATGTCATGACGCTTACGTAATCTCACATCATCTGTACTAATCATAATCTAGAAAAAAGAGAAACAAAACAAAACAAAACTGCGATACGTTGAGAGCTCGCTCGCTCGCTCGCGTGCGCGCGCGCGCGCGGTCTCATTATAACGTACCCACCATTGTAACGTATACGTATAATCGATGGGATGCCATCGACGGTAGCTGTTGTCCCTCGTTCGCAAGGACAATGGACATCTGCTTCCCTGACGCGCATAACGCGCCGCTTCCCAAAAGGCACACGGCAGGGCAGGTTCCCATAGCCGGCCGGAGAGTCAGGTGTGCGTAGGTTCACCGCGCGGAGGTGAAGAAAGAGAGTACAAGGGCTAAATAACCCTGCGCGCCTCGCCCTGCCTCGCTCCGCCTCGCCCTGCGCGGCGCGCACGGTAGTGGTGTACCGTATTTTTCCCTTTCTCGCGCGGGCTTTTGCGCGGTGACTGTAATAACCGAACGTAGGCACGATCAGCGACGAGACTCGCCGTTCGGAGGACACACAGGTCCCCTTTATTTTACAACCTCTTCATATTATCGCTGCGAAAAATTATTTCTCACACACACACACACACACACACACACCCGCCAGAGAGGCAGAGAATTGAACGTTGGCAACTTATTTGGTGGCCGTATTTGGTGGTATTGGCGCGCGCGTTTACGTTGGAAAATGAAGAGGGCCCTGTCTCGTGTCCAAGCCAAGTCCAAATTAGGACTTGGTCCTGGCACCAAGTCGAGTATCAACAGTTTCGGCTGTTGCCCAACGCGAGGCGATGCGTGTAAAATTCGTGCGCGTGAAGTTCGATCCGGCCGGTGAAAGCCGGTAAGTAAGATAAATTGTCGACCGACCCGATCAAATTCCGACTTCGCGCGATCTCGGCGAAATGAAAACGTCTCGCGTGCGTGTTTTTCTCCCGCGATCGGGAGATTAGCAGCTTCTTTCCTTTTCATCTCGGTGAAATCTATCGCGCGTTGCGAACAGGTAATCTCAATCGTTCAACGTTGCGTCTTTATCGATCGGCAAGAAGCTGAAATTGCGCATCGAGGAAGAATCGCCGTGAAAAGTAATGAGGAAAAGAAAAGTAATGAGGTGGGAGGAAGAGGAGGAGGCGCGCGGGTTCGTTGTCCGATTACCTACCTGCGCTTCTTCTCCGTGATGCATTTTGCTTGTTCTTCTTTTTTTTCTTTTTTTGCTTTTTTTTTCCGGAAACAGAACGCACACACACACACACACACACACACATACGCACGCATGGATGCGCATACGCATCGACCGATCTTTTCGTCGTGGACTCGTCGACGTGGCTGACGTCATCGCACGACAAACCTTTCAAGGAAGTCCCGTCTCACGAAGCGCCTCCCTCACCTTGCTCCCTCCCACTTGCTCCTCTCCTTTCCTCTTGGCTCTTCTCACGCGAACGGGATGCAAACGGTAAAAAATCACCGAATGCCGCGCGGTTCGCCGCATTCGGTGATGACAGCCCCGTGTGAGAGAGCCTTCTTTATATTTCGTAAACCTCCCTCATCCGTATCCGCGGTATTTACGACAGGAAAGACCGCGTCTGTCTACTCGTCTGTCATACGCATCCACACATTCTGTAACTCGACTGTATCGCTATCGCCGTCCACGATGCCTGGCCGTATCTTCGCGCGGGCCACATTATCGTTTGACAATTTCACTTGCAGCACCTCACTCACGTGTCACACGATGCGTCTCTTCAAGCGTCACATGTCCGACCCGAGCCCGCAGCTAGTCTCGGCGGTGGCTATTTCCCAAGACGCCGATACTGCGTCGGACAATATCGTCGAAGATAACGGGAAGTCGATGAAAAAATCCAAGCCGAACACGATAGATCACGGATCGGAGGTTGTTTCTCCGGTCAAGGAGGATGCTGACGCGCTGACTGAATCGTCGGACTCCTCCGCTCGTATTCGCAAAGGTAGGAACGCCAACGGCGACGGTTGCATCGGTGATGTTACAACACAATAATAACAACAACAACAACAACAACAACAACAACAACGACGACGACATTGTAATATCATCGCAGTGTCGCCTCGTAACTAGTATCATACTTGACTTTGTCTGTCTGCCTGCCTGCCTGGCCTGCCTGCCATAATGCCTCACTCAAATAGCATTGAGCCTCAAACTACTGTCTAACATGTTTAAAATCGTCAAAAGGCTTCTCAACATGGGGACGAAAGATGGGTCGGCGATGGGACCAGATAAAGAGATCGGACAGCTCCGAATTGCTGCCGGTGTCGCGTCAACGACGACGATGGAGCCCGCATTGGAAGAGTCACGACGAGATCCCGAGCGAGAGAGAAAGCGTAAGTCAATTAGCTATCGTCGTTAATTCAATCTCTCACACACACACACACACACACACACACACACGCAATACTAACGCAATACTAGTCGCGTAGCAAATGCCGCAGTTAATAAGACGTCTATAAGACGGAGAAATGTTTCATTCCCCGAGCAATCGACGATTTCAGGTCGCTAACAGCGAATGCCCGAAGCCAAAGAGAATCCACCGGATGGAGTCGCTGAGAAACTTCTTCAAGAGCGCCACCGGCGATCATTTCCATTTCCATCAGTCGAAGAGTTCCGTCGTGAAAACCGCGACGATACAAGAGGAGGAGGTCGTTCTTCAACCCCTGATGGAAAAAGCTCTGAGCGAAGGTACCGTTACGACGGTCTACTCCAAGAATCACGATAATTACGAATGCGCGCATATCGATCGAGAAGCGGCGTTTCTCCGTGAGAAAAAGACGCAGTTGAGTTCATCAACACGCGACATCGAGGGCCTTCGGGGGAAGAAACGGTTGTTGGATTAACTACCACACGGTCTACGCGGAGATACCAAAGACGCAGCGGGACGACACGTTCGCTCTGAGAGAGACTCTGAGGAGGAGGAAGAGGAGCGTTCACACGGACGCGGACGCTCCGGTGTTCGCGGAGGACGTCCAGAAGACGCGAATATTCAACTTTCAGCTCGCGAGCATCTCACGTGGAGCGAACGGCAAGGAAACGCCGAAGGAAACCCCGCCCCCCCGGCTCGTCCCGTCAACTCGCGCGTCCAGCAGCGCGCTGAACGGCCTGGAGGACTTTCTGAGCAACCTACGACTGGGTTGCGACGAAAGCGGCTACGACTCGGATAGCACACGAGCAGGCGCGGACTCGCCGGACAGTGAGAAATCGGCGATACATGTACCTCCGGCGATACTGTCGGACGATTACCATGGCGTCGATTTGTCGTTGGCGGACCTGAGCACGCTGCAAACAGACGCGAGCGTGCCGCCCATGACGGGCACGTGTGTCCGGTCGAGAATCGAGAAAGTCGACAAACGCGACGACGCGACGACGACGAGCAACAACGGTGTTTCCTTCAACGAGTCAAGCGGAAACCAATCGACCGCCAATCGAACGTCGGAGGTGGACGGTGACGACGACACGGACAGTTGCGACGAGGATACTTTCGCCGATTTGGTGGAGTATCAGCCAGCAGACACTTTGCTGGCGAGACACTACAGCAAGGAGCAGACGAGAACGGCTCCTCGTCTTTGCGATCCGTCGAGTTCGACTCCGAGCGCGGCAGAGACTCGCGGTCCATCCGCTTGCTCGCCTCGCGGCGACACCTCCGACGACGACGACGACGACGACGACGGCGACGACGACGACGGCGACGGCGACGGCGGCGGCGGCGGCGTCGACGTGCCGTGTCGTGACAAGTCAAGGGCGAGCGTCGTTGAAGCTCTCACGAGCGAGAGGAGGCTCGGCGCAACGGTGGAGAATCGCGTCGTCAGCGTGCCTTACGCGGTCAAGTTGCAGGCTCTTTCGCTGAAGGACAAGAGATCCAAGAGCCGCAAGTGCGCCAGTCCGAGTGTACAGCGTCTTCTGGTGCACGCGGAATCTCTGTGCCAGGACAGTCCGCCAGCTAGCAAAATATGTCCTCCGTCCGCAACTCCGTCAAGCGGCTCGCCACGTTGTTACAACCCCAAGAGATTGCACTCCAGCCTGGAGTCGGAGGACAACGCGTCGCCGGAAGTGACGAGGAGCGTCGCGAAGAAACTGTCGACGACCAGCAGCGTCGACAAGCAGCAGTCGGCGACGACAGCATCCTCAGCGACGAAGAATCTGGTGCGACGTGAGCTCCGAACGATGAAGCTCACGGTTAATCGCGCAACGGGCCTCGGCATCTCCGTGGAACGATGCGAAGCGGCCAGACCGTACTACGTGATCGCCAAGATGGATCCGGACGGCGAGGCTGCCAGGTCAAGACAGTTCCGCGTCGGCGACGAGATTGTCCGCGTCTGCGGACGAAGGATACGCGGTATGTCGATGGCGGAGGCGCGCAACGCCGTACGCAGCTGCCTCGGCAACGTGGAGCTGCAGATCGCGCGCGAGCCGAGCGTCGCCTTTGGCGCCGACGAGATCGGCGACACTTGGGGCGACGCGTCCGTGCGATTGCGAGGACAGGACTTTGACGAGGCGTGGATCTCGAAGAACATCCGAGCAACAGCACCCCGCGAGGATCATCCTGCGACGATCGCGTCCGACCGCCGCGACGCTACCGCGACGAGGCGCGAGGACGACTCGTCGGAGACTCGTCCTCGGACGAGTCCTCCCCAAAAAGTCACGGGGATGAAGAAGTTTCAGATCGTGAGGAAGCGTAGCGATACGCTGCCCGTTCGACGTGCATCCAACTTGTCGTTGTCGGTGGACCTGCTGACGGTTGTGCTGCAGAAGGGCGCGCAGAAGAAATTGGGCTTCACGATCGTCGGCGGTGTGGACAGCAACAAAGGGCGCATGGGCATCTTCGTGAAAGACATCATAGCTGACGGACAGGCTGCGGAAGAAGGTATAATAAGGGTGACCGTCTCTCTCTCTCTCTCTCTCTCTCTCTCTCTCTCTCTCTCTCTCTCTCTCTCTCTCTCTCTCTCTCTCTCTCGCTCTCTCTCGCTCTCTCGCTCTCGTGTACGGCGGTCAGTCACAAAACTGAGCCACTAAGCAGCAGTAAGGGGGCACACGCGTTGCTTACGCCGTTTCTTACGCTCGTTCGTTGAATGTTGAAGGTACTCTGAGAGCGGGCGACCAGATTTTAGCCATCAACGGCTCCTCCTTGAGCGGATTGACGCACGCCAAGGCACTGCAGATGTTCAAGAGCGTAAAAGCCGGGAGCATGGCGCTCCGCATCGCCCGAAGGGATCATACGCACAAACGGTTGTCGTTACACTAGCGTCGCATAACACTACTTAATCACTACTAACACATACGACGGTTAGTGTGTCTCGCTTCGCTCTACTAACGATCGTGACAACAGCGAGTGCCGCTGGGTGCTCCTGACTTGCTTTCGCAGCGACCTTTAATTAACCAATGACTATCATCAGTTAATCGAGAGATCGAGACCTTGCGTTTTAACGAGAAGGCGAATCTATGTTGCAGATACGTGACACAGTCGAAGTCTTACGATTGCCTGGACAAATTGACGACATCCACCGACGGGTGAAACCACCATCCGCCATCCGCCATCGGGGTTATTATCCGGGTATATTGTCGGGTCTAATTTCTCCCTCGAGACTCCCTTTACGAAACGCGACTTTTTCACCTGTTGCAGACTCCAGCACATTATGTTCGTTTATATGAGAGAGAGAGAGAGAGAGAGAGAGAGAGAGAGAGAGAGAGAGAGAGAGAGAGAGAGAGGTCCGCATTTTGATCGCCAATGAACTTTATGTTCTACTACTGTTCGTTCGTTCTGTCCCTCTCGCATTCCGGCTCGTGTCTTCCGATTCTGCGCTTTCTATTCTGCAGAGGTACACGCGAGTCACAATTGAAATGCACTTGACCGCGATCCGCGATCGGTCGATCGACCGATTTTTCTATTATTCGCGATCACATTTTTTTCTCGGTAGATAATTTTCATGAGTAAGTGATACTTTACGTTGCCTGATTCGCCTCTGCTGTGACATTGAGAAAGGGACAGTCGAAACGAACGATCGTATTCGTATAATCGAGTCGTATTCGCGTATCAAAGGATATCGAGACATATTCTCTCTCCCTGTTCAAACTCTAACGAGATAAAGGTCCAACCGCTAGTTAGCGATATAGAGACATATTACTACGCAGCCTTACAACCATGTCCTTGTTAGATGAAAGTACGCTAACAACTCGGAATATGGTTCAACCACCATCGTGAGATTTAACATATGTTTTTGCTCGAAAACGTATTCTTGTATAAATCCTGCGCGACCTGCGCGAGGGAAGAAACACGCGAAACTGACAATCGTTAATTTTTCATCCGAGAGCACGTAACGTCGTCGGCCGTATTTAACGTTAATGCATTAATTATTAGTATTAATCTAATCTCTTATTAAGCTCTCTCTCTCTTTCTCTCTCTCTGTTTTTTTTTTTTCTTCCTTTTTAAGAGACTGACATTAGGGACGTCTACCTACAAAAAAATGCTGTGATATCGATTATAGTCTCACCAGCTGATATTATTAGAAAACCGTGTTAATTTAATAATGATGAACGTGATTCCTTTTTCCTTTTTTGTTGAATAAAACTATATACTTTGCGAGCTGCTGCCTCCTTTTAGTTTACCACAGATTAGCGAAATTCGAATTTACGACGATCTTCAGATTTCCTCATCGTCTCACCGCACCGAATCGATGATCGATCGTGCGCGATCAAGAAGACGGAGAAGAGTTGAAGTCTCTCACAAAGAACTCTTTTGAACTCTCTCAGGTTAATCCTTCGGCTATTCTTTCAGCGATAAGAATGCCGTGAAATAAGACATGCCCGTTCGTATCACCTGGATCGCAATGTGAAGAGACACACACACACACATACACACACACACAGAGAGGGGAAACACGTAAGTTGCGAATTTTATACAGTAAGTGTATATAGCAAGTCGATTTCTCTAAATGTACGGGTTCTTGTACTCACCGTAGCGGCGATCGTCATCGACAACGGATACAAATTACCCGCTGTCAATTTGCACGGTACGATGCTTCGGTAAAGAGTAATGATTAACAATGATTTTAATCTCGGTGAGAACCTGTACCACTCTGCGGCGTACCTGCAAGAATTTGTCGACAGATTTGCATCTCACATCGTTTTCTCCCGTCATCACATGACACACACATGCGCGTCTATATGAAATATATTATTTAGGAATATAAAATAATTGTATTACGCTCGATGGAATATGTTTTGACTTTCGTCCATTAATTTTTGACCGGAGTAACATACGATCATCAGTTGCAGCAACGCCCCCATAATTATGAACGTGAACCTAATCATTTCTTCCAGCTGGTCCAACACATAGACGATCTGCAATACATCAGAAACATCATACATCCACGTCGTCTGAAATATAATAACGTTTTGGTGATATATATATATATATATATATATATATATATATACCTATACGCGATAATTCGTCACAACGATACTCGTATTCGCGATGCGATGATACGCACGGAATCGCAAGTAACACGCACGTCATTAGATTTGTGCCTTCGGGTTACGGGTATACACGGGTGGTGCAAACAAGTGCTCAAGACGAGTCACTTGGCACCATCCGAGTAGAAAGAAGACTCGGTCGATTAATTAGATCGCGGGATAATAAAGCACGCCTCGATGCCGACTTACTCGAATGCCGACGAGACTGAAAGTCGCTCCGATCAGCAGGGAAAAACTAATCGCGACGATTCGATGCGTGTCGTTCAGTATATCGACATACCTAGATGAGGACAAGAAAAATTTCGTAAACTTTGCGGAACATGTCATACATATTATACGTATTACACGGAGACGGAGCTTTCTCACAGCTTCAGATCTTACACTCGAGATTGTCTCGAGTTAATTTTCACTATGCGTCGTCATCTTCCTCTTTTGAGGTTTCGATCTTTGTTTCATTCATACCGCTTGTAAAATTACTCCGCGAGAGAGTCACTCACTCCAGAGCAAGTTGATGCTTCTTCAGACACACAATGTATTCCTGATATATCATTCGCTCGTTCAACGACTCAAATTTGGCATCTACGTCGACCACTACGTAAGACAACGATGATACTTTGACTCGATCGTCTATGGCTTTCACGCACGACGAAACATTTTCAATTTGCTGGCTGCAAGTGCAACAATGTCACCAGGACACGAAGGACGCAAAGGATCAGAGGAGGTACAGGCGAGAGGAGGACAGCGTTATTCACACGCAACTTACCCAATCATGTGAAAGAGGCCGCAAGCGTGTGCGGTGCATGCCATATGCATGGTGTCGGCAGCCACCATGATGCTGATACCCACTATGATCATAATGCTGGTGTAAGAGAAGATCGGCGCAAAGTACTCGTCCTTGTCGACGCCGAATTCGGCGTAGATCGCGAGTTGTCGCGGACGCGACTCGTTGCGAGGTAACAAAATGTCGAGCAACGACGGTGTTAGGGTTGGTATTGTTATAAACATCGACATCATACAGTATATAATTACTAGAAATTTATGAGTGTTATAAATTAGCGATGAGCCAGCGCAATGATTTTCAATGATAATTCAACAGGCAGAAAGCGCCCGTGTGTGTCTCGTCCGTTCGTACGATATATTCTAGATCTTTCTTCCTCCTCGCTCATCATGCATACTCACTCGCGTAATATTTGGTAAATTTCTGCGATATGTCCGAGTAGTCTCTCAGGACTCGTGTTTCTAGATCGCTCGTGAGCGTGTTCCAATGGTGCTCCATGATCTCGTACATACGACGAAACTGATTGCGACAACGAGAAACGGGAAAACGGCCGGCGAAAAGACGTAGCGTGTGGCGTGCGTGCGTGCGAGAAAAACGTAGCTCGAGTATGATTAAAGTAGCAGAAACAAGCGACGTGTGTGCGAAATGAGACCAACCTTGTCGCGGTTCCAAAGCTGATTCAGTAACTTGATGAGAAAAGCAAAAGTTATGACCATCTGATAACAGCTCTCGAAGACTATCTTGCCGCTGCTTCTGTGCTCGTATAGCGTCAGTATCTGCGGATAAACTACATCCGTAATCCCGCCTGCCATCCCCGTCGTGTCGGCGTAACTCGCTCGGATTACGAAGCCGAGCGACGAGCATTACCTCGAACGGCAAGTAACTTATTTCGAGCGCGAAACAGAAGATCGGTAAGAAACATTTACCGAGCTTACTCTGAAACGGCCAACAGCCTAAGCACGACAGAAATATTCGATTGGTATTGTATTCCCGAAGTACGTGCACCAGCATGCTTCCTTCTTTCCTGTAATCCGCTCGTCGAGCGGATCCTCGACTGGACGGAAATGACACACGTCGGATGAATGACGTCGCGTCGCGCCGCGCCGCGTTCGCCACGGGCGAACAACGACATTATGCGACCGCGAAATTGCAGGGTGTCAAAGCGATATCGGCAGTCTCGGAAACTAAGCAGCTAGTTATCCTGTCCGTTCATAATGTAACTCGTCGCATATCGTTCTATTCGCAGTGACGTTTGTCTCTAACTTTGGGTATGGTGCATAACGATACATTGCGTGAGAGAGAGGGAGAGAGAGAGAGAGAGAGAGAGAGAGAGAGAGAGAGAGGGAGAGAGACAGAGACAGAGACAGAGACACAGAGAGAGAGAGAGAGAGAGAGAGAGAGAGAGAGAGAGAGAGAGAGACATTCGCGAGTCGGAATAAAGTCGGAAATATGGGGATAATGATGAGAAATATGAAAGAGCGCACGTCCTGTGCCCTGTGTCCTGTGCTCGCTCCCTTTCGTCCTTTCGCCGGGCGTAGCGTTCCCCTGCATTTTCCTGTCAGAAAAGATGTGAACCCCAACGTGAAAGTCATCGGCAAAGTGTTCGCGGTCGAGTTGGACTGTTCTCGTTGTTGTTGGATGACGCATTTCTCGATATTCATGAATAATCCTACACGTTACGTTTCGCGGATAAACGCGCCGCCGCTATCCTTCTTGATGAGACAATCCTCGATAGTCCCTGCATATTTATTTATAAGAGAGAGAGAGAGAGAGAGAGTTGCGTCGTGTGGCCGCTCGTTATTGCTCGATCGTCTCAGCAGCGGACACGAGCCAAGATGTCCCTTCACGGAGATTGGCGCGCGATTGGCTGTGTCTCCGCCGCGTCTTCGAGAATGGCCGCCGCGATCAGCCACGCTGGTAGTGAAAGGTAAGCCTTAAAAGATGAGCCTTCTATCTAACAGTCGTACCGGTACACGAGCCCAACGGTATTCGCACCACCCGGCGCCGGCAGACAAGATATGCCATACCTTCGACCCTCCGCTTTTTCTTTTTGCGCAAGAGTGACCGAGATGTGACGATGATAGATATCGTTGATGTTTTAACGCGGAAGAAAGAATTAAATAATGTTTTGACGGAAGATCCGCCCTCTAGACGGAGAATTGAGTGAGTTCGGCCTTACACTTGCATTTCAGAAATATCTCGCGGCATCGCGGCTCGATCGTCGATTGAGTTGAGTGGTACATTGCTAGTCATAGCTGATGTCTGGAATGGGGTAGGTCTCTCATGTGTATACGTGAACACGCGAGCCCAGCGGAACGACGGGATGGGAAGGATTCCCTCATTTCACAGCTCTAACCGCGGCCGGTAGTGCTCGCGACGACGATCGCGGATCGCGCCTCTGTATAAGAATCCTTGAAAAGCTAAAGCTCGAGCTTAAAGGCCAAAGCGAGGAAGGCATACGCCAAAATCGCGGGAGACGCGATGTGGACGTCGCTGCGTTCGCTGCGGAACGGCAAGGCGGCGCGATACCGGGAAATCAGGTATACACGCACATCAGGCGATCGAGCTTATAATTATAATCACAATCGTATAATTGTGTCGGTTGGACGGAATCGATCAATCTTTGAGTGACAAGAATGCCGTGAAGTAAGACACGCCCGTTCGCACCACCTTAAAAGCAGAGCACAAACGCGCGTTTGAAAAATTTGAGGAAAGAAATCATTTCTCTACTGCGTCTCGCCCCGGCTATTGTTTACTCACCCCGGCATAAGTCGTCATTGACAACGGCAGCATTTTACCTGCGGTTAAACTGCACGGCACAACGCTCCTGTAAAGAGTTACGATCATTAGGGACTTGAGCCTCGGCGAGAAAGTGTACCATTCCGCCGCATATCTGTGGAAATAAGTTTTAGAATTAATGCTCGCGCTGGCAGAGATGCGTTTTCGCGAGCGAATGCGTTTTTTTCTTGCACTTCAAACTTCAAATACATCGCAATACTTTATCGTGCTGAAGGATCGATGGAAAAAAAAAAAAAGACACAGTAGCAGTATCAATCAATATGGGAAAGTAAGATAGATAAATAACGGATTAATGTTGATTATCGTGGTGAAAGGACGATCCAAACGACAAATATGCATTCGTCAACGTTGATCAACAAGCGAAAAATTGCATCGCAAGTGCTGCACAAAGATACGCGCGGGTGCTTTGTAACAAACATACGTAAAGATTAAACTTGCAAAAGTACATCGAATCTTTCTTTGAATCATATTTCTCTGATCAACAACAACGGCGAAACGGCACATGTGTACTGTTCACTCTCGAGTGAAGTGCCAATGAAATCGTCTGCAGTCCGACAGACTTTCGCAAGCTCTTAACAAGTATAATTGAAAATATGAGGCAATCACACGTTACGTTCTGTGAAACACATTCTGACTCTCGTCCATTAATTTCTGACCGGAGTAACACATGACCATCAGTTGCAGCAACGCTCCCATGACTATGCACGTAAATCTAAACATCTCCTTCATCTGATTTAACTCGTAGACGATCTATAATATATGAAAAATCTCTCTCTCTCTCTCTCTCTCTCTCTCTCTCTCTCTCTCTCTGCATCTCTCCGCATTATCCGAGATGGAGACGATTTCGAACAAATTAACGCGATAATAAGCCACGCCAGCAAGAACGCTAGTTAGTTAGATGAAAAGTGCTTTCTCTTTTTTCTCACACTTTTTCCAATCTCTGATGATCTGATCTTGTCAGTTGATATCGAGAGATATCACACATCCCCGCTGACGGCTTCACCCTTTTCTCTCCTATAACTCTTGCTACGCTTATACATACACATACACTAGTCTATAGTATTCAGTCAGTTCATCGATGCTGATTATGCTTACTCGAACTCCAATCAGACTCAGGGTTGCACCGATCAGCAACAGGAAGAATACCGCGACCGTCTGATGCGTCGAATTCAATATGTTGACAAACCTAGGAATGTCACGATGACTGGAACAATAGTCTCGATCGTTTCGATTAATTAATGTGCAAACATATGTCTCGCGATAGACGCGAGTAAGTGATCAAAACACATCATCACAAGTCACTCAGCCACTGTGAGACGACAGAACTTACTCTAACGCGTGCTGGTACTTTCTCAAACAGTCGACATATCTGTCGTATATCGCACGCTCGTTGGACAATCCGAGTTCCGTTGCGTTGACGTTGCGTTGACGGCAGCAGCCGCAGCATTTGCTCTCGTCCGCCGCTTTCAGTATGTTCTCGATTTTCTCGCTGCATACGCAGGATATACGATTCGATCCTTATCACGGTATTTTCCCCCAAACGGCTCGGAATATCGTTACTGCACACCCTACTACTCACCCTACGATGAAGAAGAGACCGCACGCGTGAGTGGTGCAGGTGAAGTGCATCGTGTCCACTCCCACCATGATGCTGACGCCTACGACGATGATCGCGGTGGTGTAGCAAAAGATCGGCGTGAAGTATTCGCTCGTGTCTACGCGAAATTCAACGTCGATCGCTAAGATTCGCGGACGCGATTCGTTGAGCGGTAACACAATGTCCAGGAACACCGGTATCAACGGGATTACCACAAACATCGACATCAGAATGTACATCATAGCTGAAATTTCGTCCGGAAAGGGTCAACGCGCAATTCGCATCGCGATCCGTACTCATCACTCGCGAAATTTACTCACTCGCGTAAAAGATCGTGAATTTTCGCGACACCGTCGAGTACTCCTTTAGAATTCGGATCTCCGAGTCATCCGTAAATACATCCCAATGCGCGTTCATGGCTTCGTATAAATGTTGAAACTGATGTCGTCACAACACAATGTCTGTATCAATGAGAGAATCTCGCCGGGATAGCCAGGATCACAAGGAAAGAAAAAACGAGAGAGAGAGAGAGAGAGAGAGAGAGAGAGGGGGGGAACAAGGATGATACACACTCTGGAATTGTTCAACTAAAGTTCATCTGACGAGAAATTCAGACGAGAAAAGTTCACAAGTGTGTGTGAAGAATTCGAATGAGAATTTTTTTTTGGTAAAATTCATATCTCTTCAACGGAATGTCAAGTTTTTTATATTTCGTTAGATCTACCGTTTACATGGTTACATACGGCGCCGACTCACCTTGTCGCGATTCCAGATCTCATTCCACAGCCTCACGAGGAAAGCGGTCGTGATGACCAATTGGTAGCAACTTTCAAATATCATTTGTGCGTCGTCGCGATGATCGTAAAACATCAGGATCTGAGCACAACGTTAATCGGTGTGAGTCGAGTCGGCGGGTATAGTTGGCGCACTCGCGAACATCAACGCGAACATTACCTCGAACGGATAGTAACTCATTTCGAGCAAGAGACAAAAGATCGGTAACAAGGACCTCGCCAGCTTGCTCTGGAACGGCCAGAGACCCAAGCGCGACAAAAGTATCCTGTTGATATTGTATTCCCGAAGCACATGCGCCAGCATAATGTCCCCGATTCTGCTCGACAACGGTTGCGACAACGAACGGTGAGATGCAAACGCAAATGCTAAAGACACGAGCCCCGATCCGCCCCGATCCTCCGCGCTAGCGTGTCCCGAACTAGGAATATCCAACCCGGATATCCAAGCATAGCAGATAGTCAGAATCACAAAATTACAGTATGTCAGAAATCGTCGCTCGTTGTTATTCCGTAGCGAGACATTTCGTCTCCACCAAATTGATACCACCATTGTTATATTCTTCTTCCCCGTTATCGCGCGCAATTTGCAGGCACTTTTTGTTGCACTTTTTCTCCCGAATATGTACTTACGCCTTGACGTGCAACACGATAAAAACACGTGCCTCGTTACGTACGCGTACGCGCGATATGATACGAAGGGTGAGGGGACAAACATCCTGCGCCTTACCGCTACACGCCGTCACTTTATTGATTACGTTGCATTCTCTTTTCTTTTCTTTCTTTCTTTCTACTACATTCGTGCAGTTTTTCTCAGCTATCGTGAGAGACCGTTTGTCAATCTGAGCGCCAGTGTGCGATCCGCTTTCAGATCAGATGTTCCTGGTGCCAAGACAGGAGTCCGACCGGAGAGTTCACCTCGAGTTGATATCATCGATTGATCACGCGACGTGTAGCGTACGTTTAAATATCGACGCAAATGATGTGACAAAAAACAAAGAGAGAGAGAGAGAGAGAGAGAGAGGGAGAAAGGACGGCGCACTACAAATTCAAAGTCGCCTATTTTTTTAACGACAAGAAAGTCATAAAGTAGGACGCTGCCGTTCGTACTACCTTGAATCAAGACAAACATATCAAATTTGCCGTTGTCCAGCGGCCTGTCTCTTCCCTTTGCACTTACCGCGGCGTAGGTCGTCATCGACAGTGGTATCATCTTGCCCGCCGTTAAACCGCAAGGTACGATGCCACGGTGAACAGTGATGATTAGCAGCGATTTCAGTCTCGGTGAGAATCTGTACCATTCCGCGGCGTATCTAAAAGTACAAGTGATAAGCTGACCGAAATTTCGCAAAATTCTCACGTTAAAGGCTCAAAAGATCCGAAACGAATGAACCTGGTCAGTTACGAGTACAATCTCTATAGCACATTCCGCGCGCACTTTTAATCATTTTCACGCGTAAAATTGTATCGCCAGGATATCGCCTTGATATTTCGGTATCGCAATTTCCAAAAGGAAATACTTCCATTGTAATACTTGGATAAATTTCCTTGGTATTTTTTCTCCTTTTTCCGAGACACCGTCGAAAAGAACTCAAGTTTGAAGAGAGAAATTCGAGTGAAATTCCTCTCGGTATCGGAATAAACGAGACAGAATTCTTCTTACGCTCGATGAACCACTTCCTGGCTCTCGTCCATCAGTTTTTGACCGCAGTAACATACAATCAGGAGCTGTATCAGCATCGTCACGATTATGAAGCTGTATCTCACCGTGTCCTTCGTTTGGTCTAATATGTAAACTATCTGCAAGACGTTAAAATCACAGACGTCACAGGTGTCATTCGGTGTATATATCTTTACAATTAATACAATTAATACTTACTCGAACTCCAACCACACTTATAGTCGCACCGTTCAACAATAACAAAACCAACGAGATCATTTGATACGCCGAATTGAACGTGTTGATGAACCTACGGACAAACGAGTTACGCGTGAGTATAGTCGCGGAACGCATTCGGTCGGTCGGAGCTTTGAGTTTTGTTTTTTCCTTTTTCCTTTTTTTTTTTCTTTTTTCTTTCCTTTTGCCGAAGCTTTTGTCTACTTTGCGCTTCTATTTTGCTGCTTACTCCAGGGCCAGCTGATGCTTTTTCAAGCATTCAATGTATCTCTTGTATAAAGCTCGTTCGTTCGGCACATCAAACTTGGCTAGATGATCGCGTTCGTCGTTTAGCCGCGGTGTCATCTCTTCAAGTTGCCTGCTGGAAAGTCAGGCAGGCACTTGTAACAGTAACTTAACGGACGCTCAGAGACGCGACATTCAATTACCGGCACACGCGTGTACGTACTTGATGATCGTGAGTAGACTGCAAGCGTGAACGATGAAGGCAACGTACATGCTATCGATACTGACCATACTGATCACACCTAATCCGACAACGCCGATATGATAGCAAAAGATCGGTACGTAGTACTTGTCTTGATCCAGTAGCCGTACCTTTATGAGGACCGCGAACACTCGCGAACGTGACTCGTTGAGAGGTTGCACGATATCCAGAATGATTGGTATCAATGGCGCCGATAGAAACAGCATCGCCATAAAGCACAATAACGCTGCGAAATTATTTTTCTTAATATATATACACGTTTTTTTTCAGCCTATTATTTCAGCCTAGGGGCTTCGCCCCTCCCCCGCGCATAAATCCTCCCCGAATAAATCCTAACCTAACCAAACTTGTTGCATCTTTATATGAAAAAATTTCCTTAAAACCCACGCAACGCCAACAAATTGTATGCAGATACAATAAGTTAAATTGGATTAGGTGATAGATCTTAAGACTCTCAACTTGTTCAACAATGTCCAAAAATATATAAAGATGCAATAAGCTAGATTAGGTTAGTCGGATTTGTTTGGGGAGGGGGCGAAGCCCCTCTCCCTATTTATAAAATCCTCTATTTATAAAATTTCATTTGTCTATAGCTCTCTAAAGTGGATCCCATAAACGGGAGTTTTACTAAACAGGAGAATTTTTTAATAAACAATCAGTGACATACGAAGAAAAGAAATCCTTGAAAAATTGCATACTGTAATTACAGTGTGACACACAGTGGATGCATGTATAGGAAATCAAAACATTACACTACACTATATAACACGTATGTATTGTATATATTACACGCTCCTTCAATGTATATCCGATGATGAAGACTTATCTCCTTCTTACTCCTTCAAACTGTTTCAAAAAATTACGTTACATTCGTACAACTTTTTTGTTAATAACTTTTTAATAAACAATGAGCGACGGCTGAAACCTTTTGATCGTGACTCAGGAGGGTCTCCTTGACAATATATCTAACAGACAAGGTCATCGGAGGAGGAGGAGGAGGAGGAGGGAGGAACCCTCTAAAAAGGGTTTTACCGAATTTACTTAGCTCTACTTACTCAGTGAACTTGGCGGTTATACTCACTTGAGTAAAATATTGTAAATTTTCGCGATACGATGGTGTAGTCTTTGAGAACTTGGACTTCCGACTCGCTCGTCAATATATTCCAATGGTCATTTATAGCCTCGTACAAGTGTCGAATCTAACCGTAATGACACAACGACGACATACGAAAAAAGATTACGACTCGTCGATGTCTAAACGAAATTGTAACTCGCGGAGATAATAAAGCGCATTGAGACCGCAAACGAGCATCGTTCTCTCTCTCTCTCTCTCTCTCTCTCTCTCGTGGGCTCACCTTGTCGCGGTTCCAAATCTCATTGACTATCTTGCTGATGAAGACGGTTAATAAGACGCATTGATAGCAGCTCTCGCAAAGCACTTGCGCGTCGCGCCAGTGTTCGTGCAACATCATTATCTAAACACCATTCATAGCATAGTAACATTACATAACGATTGAAAGATCGGATTAAAATACGCAAAAGCTATTGAAAATCGGCGTCTCGGTTACCTCGATCGGGAAGTAACAGATTTCGATCATGAGAGCGCAGAACGGCAACAAGCATCTCGCGACTTTACACTGAAACGGCCAAATACCCAGCCACGACAAGAGCATTCTGTTGATATTATACTGTCGCAGCACATGTGCCAGCATAATCGCTGCCGGTTCGACTGTTGGACAATGGTTATGATGCAAACGACGCTAAAGACACGAGCCATCCCGCCTCGACCCTCCACGCGCGCGCGCGCGCGCGTCTCGAACGATAGCCAGAATTGCAAAATTATAGTATGTCAGAGGAGGGATCCTCTCGCTCGTTGTCCCTACTCCGTAGCGAGACAATTTCGATTCAAAACTGATTCACCCACTGTCGTTCTCCTTTCCCCGTTGTCGCGTGCAATTTGCAAGCATTTGTCGCATACTTTCTTATCCGAATAATATGTACTTACGCCTTGACGTGCGACACGATACGAAAAATACGTGCCTCGTACGCGCGATATGATACGAAGGGTGAGGGGACAAACATCCTGCGCCTTACCGCTACACGCCGTCACTTTATTGATTACGTTGCATTCTCTTTTCTTTTCTTTCTTTCTTTCTACTACATTCGTGCAGTTTTTCTCAGCTATCGTGAGAGACCGTTTGTCAACATGAGCGCCAGTGTGCGATCGGCTTTCAGATCAGATGTTCCTGGTGCCAAGACAGGAGTCCGACCGGAGAGTTCACCTCAGTTGATATCATCGATTGATCACGCGACGTGTAGCGTACCTTTAAATATCGACGCAAATGATGTGACAAAAACAAAGAGAGAGAGAGAGAGAGGGAGAAAGGACGGCGCACTACAAATTCAAAGTCGCCTATTTTTTTAACGACAAGAAAGTCATAAAGTAGGACGCTGCCGTTCGTACTACTTTGAATCAAGACAAACATATTAAATTTGCCGTTGTCCAGCGGCCTGTCTCTTCCCTTTGCACTTGCCGCGGCGTAGGTCGTCATCGACAGTGGTATCATCTTGCCCGCCGTTAAACCGCAAGGTACGATGCCACGGTGAACAGTGATGATTAGCAGCGATTTCAGTCTCGGTGAGAATCTGTACCATTCCGCGGCGTATCAAAAGTACAAGTGATAAGCTGACCGAAATTTCGCAAAATTCTCACTTTAAAAGTTCAAAAGATCCGAAACGAATGAACCTGGTCAGTTGCAATCTCTATAGCACTTTCCGTGCGCACTTTTAGTCACATTTTCACGCGTAAAATTGTATTCTATGATATTGCCTCAGTATTTCGGTATTGCAATTTCCAAAAGGAAATGTAATACTTGATAAATTTTCGTATTTCTTTTTCTTTTTCCAAGACATCATCGTTTTCTCGGAAAGAACTCAAGTTTGAACAATTGGAAAATTTCGATTCGATAACAGAACAAATGAGAGAGAATTCTTCTTCCTGGCTCTCGTCCATCAGTTTTTGTCCTTGGAATAACATACGGAATAATCAGGAGCTGTGCCAGCATCGTCACGATTATAAAGCTGAATCTCACCCTCGTATCCCTCGTTTGGTCTAATATGTGAACTATCTGCAAGACGTTAAAATCACAGACGTCACAGGTGTCATTCGGTGTATATATTTTTACAATTGATACAATTAATACTTACTCGAACTCCAACCACACTTATAGTCGCACCGTTCGACAATAACAACAAAGACCAGCGCGATCATTTGATACGCCGAATTGAACATGTTGATGTGAACCTACGGGCAAACGAGTTACGCGTGAAAATAATCGCGGAACGCATTCGGCCGGCCAGAGCTTTGTTTTTTTGTTTTTTTTCCCCCCCTTTCTTTTTCCCTTTCTGTTCTCTTTGGCATGGTGGCACTTTGCGCTTTGGACTCTGCTTACCTACCAGGGCGAGCTGATGCTTTTTCAAGCATCCAATGCATCTGTTGTATGAAGCTCGTTCGTTCGGCGTATCAAATTTAGCTGGTTAGGATGATCGCGTTCGTTGATCGTCTCGTTGTCGTTTAGCCGCGATGTCATCCCCCCGAGTTGTCTACTGCAAAATCAGGTACTCGCGAGAGTTGACGGCTCAGAGACGCGACATTTAATTACCGACACACACGTGTACGTACTTGATGATTGTGAATAGCAGGCCCGCAGGCGCGAGCGGTGAAGGAAACGTATATATATACTGACCGTCGATACTGACGATGCTGATCGCGCCTAATCCGATGACGCCGATGATGTGCGATAGCAAAGAATCGGAACGTAGAACTAGTAGTCCTGGTCCAGCAGCCGTATCTTTGTAACGACCGCGAACATTCGCGGACGTGATTCATTGAGAGATCGTACGATATCCAGAATGATTGCTATTAATAAATGGCGCCGATGGAAACAGCATCGCCATAAAGCTGCACGATAATTGCGCCGCGAAATTATTTTTCAAGTATATACACGTTTTTTCTTACGTAATATTGCGCGGATTGCATCGTTAGATTGACAAATGTCAATGTTTAATCGATGAGGTCGCAGATGAGGTCGCAAGTTTCGTAATATTCGATGTATTTGACAATTCTGTACTTTTTTTAATCCATGCAGCAATATATGCTGCTCTCGAGACTTGATTTGAAAAACGAATGGGATATGTGCCTGAGAGATCTAAACTTTTAGATATATTTGAAATTATCGAGATGAATACAAGGTCACGAGGATTCATACGATTATCCCTCTTTGCGTATATCTCCGTCGAAATCGACCGTCGGACCGATGCTTTCTTATTCCTACTCGTGTAAGCGGCAGAATTTACTTGGTTACACTTACTCAGCGCACTTGCTGATACTCGTACACTCACTTGAGTACAATATCGTAAATTTTCGTCGCGACGCGACGGTATAGTCTCTGAGAACTCGGACTTCCGACTCGCTCGTGAATATAATCCAATCGGTCGTACAATTATGGCCTCGTACAGTAGTGTCGAATCTGAGCATAACGACACGACGACGACATAAAAGAGAAAAAGAGATTACGATTCGTCGCGTCGCGTCGCATCGAAACGAAATTATCTCACGGACGGAGGTAATAAAGCATTACAAAGCATTGAGACACCGAGCGCCGGTGGATTTTCCGGCGGGCTCACCTTCCAAATCGCGGTTCCAAATCTCGTATTGACTATCTTGCCGACGAAGATGGTCAGCAGGACCATCGCATTGATATAGCAGCTCTCTCTCTCTCTCGCAAAGCGCTTGCGCGTCGCGCCAGTGATCGTACAACATCAAAATACCTGAACACACGATCCATGCCAATATCCGATTAAAAGTTGAAGAATCGAATTGAAATACGAATTGCAAAACTGTTGAAAATCGGCGCGTGTTACCTCGATCGGGGGAGATAACAGATATCGATCGCGAGGGAACGGCGGCAACAAGCATCTCGCGACTTTACACTGAGAAACGGCCAAAGAGACCCAGCCGCGACAAGAGAGCATCCTGTTGATATTGTATTCTCGATGAACGTGCACCAACGCAGCAACCGATCGTAATTGTAATCGTAATCGTAATCGCTGTCCACTTGTGTGACGGACGGATGCGACGAAAATGCAACGCGCGCGCGCGCGCTCGTAACGGAGCGGATCGCTCTCGTGCCGATTGACTGCGATGGATAACTGCACGAGCACGAAATTACGAGATGTATATCTTGACGAAGAATCGTTAGGGTGCTACGACCGATACGACGATACGACAATCTCGACGTAGCGATCTCATTGTGGGAAATAAACCGGCACTGATGTCGACTCGACGCCAAAAGTACAGGCTTCGGAATATTCCGCTTCGAATACTCCGCACACAAAGTTTACGCGGTGGGCACCTGTAGCATTATGAACTTGACTGCTACCGTTCGTACCGACGTGAGTCGCTTGAGTTTGGATCGAAACGCAAACAGGAAACAGGATGGGAACCCCTCGTCTGCTCTCTGCTGTCTTTGCAGCCCCATTTGCAGTCTCTCGGTCGAATTAATTCAGCCCCTTGTCATTTTCAGCGCCAGTTGCTTCTTCGCGTTTTCCGGCCGCGGAGTCTTGGAAACGCTGGAAACAAAATCACGGAGAGCACAGCTACGACCCGGACATTTTTCCATTTTTTATGATGCCTCTTTTATGAAACGTCTCGAAACGACGTTTCTTCCCCGCCCGAGAGGAATTCGCGATCACACGACATTTTCCTGGCGAGTTCCCGCACCGACTCGGGACAGGGAGAGCTCGACGCACGTGCGTCGATTGATCTGCGACCGGTGTGCGAGATTCAAATAAGTTGGTTAAGAGCACGCGCGATTAAATATAAGAAGAAATATTTCGTATGTACGAAGCATTGTGTGTAAAATCTATCGCGCGATTACGGATTTCGCGGGATCCGGATGCGCGGAACGCGAAAATCCAAGGTAAGTCCCATTGCGCGTATATTACAACAACGAGGCGAAGAGTGAACGAGCGAAAAATTCTCCGCGCAGAATACAGAGGAAAAGCGTATTGTGTTCCTATAGAGATCGAAACGAACAACACCCGCTGGAACAGGAACAAGGTGAGTAAGCGTGACATAAACTGTGATGGTGCTGATTGAATGACAAAAGTTGCAAAATACCATCAATCGCGGCCTCGCAAAAGGCCGCGCTTTATTTTGCACAGCTATATACCGTCTTGTTGTGCCACGTAAGAGTTCTGTTTGACAAAGTCATCGCTACCATCGTTATCAGAGGAGACAATATCTGATCTGTATCTGTGTTAGAGAAAGGAACATTTTGCGACAAATCCACGGAAGACTTAGATTATCGAATAAAGAAAATTGTGGAAACGACAGAGAAAGAGAGAGAGAGAGAGAGAGAGAGAGAGAGAGAGGAGGGGAGAGAGGGAGGGAGGGGGAGGGAGGGAGGGGGAGAGAGAGAGAGAGAGAGAGAGAGAGAGAGAGAGAGAGAGAGAGAGAGAGAGAGAGAGAGAAGACTGTGAAAAGTCCCGTGTCTTATTATTTTATGCAGCATTATTAGAAATCCAGCGAGAGCCGGATTTCAAGATAATAATTATTGATTTAATTTTGCAATTGGCAACCGGCAATCAATCTAGCGTGGAGAAATGTTATTTGTAAGAGTTATTATACGATGATGAATCGATCGATCCAACGCGGCGAGAACGTCCATCGTCGATATGACCTTGCCAGAGACTGTTTCAAAATTCCTGAGAGGAGCGTATATTCGTAAAAGTGAAATCCACGTCGACACGGGCAACAGCGAATCTCTTCTGTCGGTGCTGTATATTGGTCAATGGGGCACCGATATATTCGCACAGCAGGTCGCGCGCCATGTTCCTCCGGAACTCATCAACTCAGTGATCGAGTGAAATGTTTCGACGAGATTTGCGTGTCGTGGAATTTTACACTCGTCGATTATCGCGCCTCGACGTAATTCACTTTGCCGTGATCCGCGCGTATGTATTAGCTTCCGGGACTATATCAGTCTAATATCCTCGGATGGAAACTTTACACAAGTTTCCTACGCGTTAAGTAACAATTTCTCAAAATTGCACAAGCGAACAGGATACGAGCGTTAAACGTGTTAAATGTGTGCGTCGGGAGAGGGGGGACGAATAAGCACAAATAAATAAATAAATAAATAAATAAATAAATAAATAAATAAATAAGTAAATAAGTAAATAAATAAATAAATAAACAAATATCCTTGCTACGGATCTTCGTATGTTACGTACATACTTGTCTACGTTGCTTTTTGCACGTCTACGCGCGTCGTGGATCGTGCGATTGTCCAAAATTTTACTTTTTAATAATCCTTAACATATATGTATACACCAGGAGTATATGGCCCGTGTGTGTTCGCACTGTGCTCTATGCCGCGAAATATACACCGAACAACAGCGAATTTTCCTCGAAGAGGATGTGGGAGTGGCATTCACCGTTCGTCCGCGCACCACGCATCTGCGGTATAAAAGCAACGTCCGTCGCCGCGCGCTCTCAGTTTCGTTCCGAAGCGGCCGATCGTGAAACGATACTTTCGACGTGAGTATCACGATCCCCTTAACCCTAATCGGGGGAGAGAGAGAGAGAGAGAGAGAGAGAGAGCTCACGTCGTCATCGTCGTCGTTGTCTTTCGTCCGGACAAAAAGATCTCTAAGATAAATGAGCGAGTCTCGATCGAATTCACAAATTAATCTCTTCACTGCCAAATTACAAGTTTGCTTTTTTCTTCTTCATTCGCTACATATTCTATACGCTACAGAGTGATTCTGAAAACCGCGCATACGCGCGGGAAACGAAAGTCGGAAAATGTAGATATTAACGTGTCGCGTCTTTCTTATGACTTCGCGTTGCCGAATTAATTTCAACATTGTTCGTTCGCGAATGAGACCGCGGGGAAATCAATTACCGCTACAGGTATCTCTGCTCCAGGTAACGTAAATTTTGTCCGCTCGCTCTCCATAGCCTGATCGCGCTACAAGCTGTATGTGTCGTTACAAAATTCTCCGTGCGTCGCATCGTACGCTCGTTGCTCCAATTCCACAATCTCGAGGAGAGATCGAACGATACTCTTGGGATCGTTGCATCGCGTTTCTTGCTCTTTCGACAGCGACGAAACTCTGACACTTTCTTTCTCTAGTTGCGGATTACGCGACTTCGAGCTTCGACAAACCTAAATTTCAATAACAATCTATAAGATAATAATTTCCCGCAAAAATCGGCACCTGTAAAAGGCCGACTTTTTATTTGGAACACGACGCGATTGCCAAACGCGATTGCCCTCAAACATTGCGCGCAAATCCGGACAGTCGGGGGGGGGGGGGGAGGGGGGAGGGGGTCGTTTGTTCCTTATAAATAATAAAATTGACATATCGTGGTGAATCATGCGTAAGTAATAAAAATTCGGGTTGCTCGAGGAACCTCGACTTGCTCCGTGTTACTCGAGTCGCGTCAAGTCACACGACCTCGCGAGTGCCACACCGACCGAAATTTTTCCTTCTTTTTCGCGCGCAGATGCGGCTTCACACGGTAACACTGGGCGCGTTGCTCGTAGCGGGTATTGTCTCGGCGTATCCGCAAAAGGATGGACAGATCTTCAGTAACGAGGCGATACGGCAGGCTCAGAATACCTATCTGATCCCCAAGGACGCAACTATACAGAAGGTTCAAGAAGGCATCGAACTCGCCGCTTATGAATCGATTCCCGGTGACCAGAGGATCAATCTCTTCGAGATTCTGGGCGAACACGTGCCACCCGAAGTGGTAAACAATCTCCAAGGCCAGATCGATCAGATCGGTCGAAACTGAACCGCTCTCTCCATACAATCGTCGTCGTCGTCGTCGTCGTCGTCGTCGTCGTCATCGTCATTGTCGTGTAAAAACAATCATACTCTGAGCGTTTTGCGACGCTCATCGATACAAGTATTTATATATGAATGTACGATCATTTCGTACTTTGCACTTTGCGCTTTCTGTACCTCTCTGAAAGTTTCTCGATGTAGAGCGATTTTTCACTTTTAGTAAATAAACGTATGTAAAAAAGCAGCTCACGCGTGCGTATCACCCAGCAACGATTGCACATACCGTTCGACGCACTGTCCACTCGCGAATAGAAAGTGGCTTATTGACGATATATCGGTGTCGCACATGCGTAGCGTAACTACAAAAGTATCGAGATGCTTTTTTGTTTTTCTTTTTTATTTATATACGTTAAACCGCCGCGTTTAGCAAAAGCCAGACACTTGGTAAGATTATTATCTAGTCCGCGTCCGATGATCATTGTCTATAATTGGGGTGTACTTGTGTGGACACCGTGATAAATTCACTATAATGCTAACCAGAGACAATGATTTTCAAGTGAAATACGTTGAAATACGTTAAACGCAATCGACGACGATGTACTCATATGTTCTCTCACATGTACAGTACAGAATATACGATGGCTGCGTGTTATTATTTTCATCCGAGATTCATCCGTTTTGCTTTGAAATTGTTCATTTCGAAGTAAGTGAGCCGTCCGAAGTAAGACACGCATAATTTACAAATTGTCAAATTTGTCACGTATTCTCGCGCGAGAATGCTCTTAGTTTGAATTATGTATGCCGCTAGTACAGAGAAAGTTGCAGGACCGCTCGTTGAAGAAGCGTACTTTCACTCCTTCTATTCGCGGCGTTGCTAAACCCCGCGACTCTTCCCGGCTCCCGGCTATTTATCGCGAGACACGACAGACACACAGCAGCTCTGTGTGTGTCGGGCAATTTCGATAGATGTGTCGCGATAGGCGCGATGATTACGCGCGAGATATCGTGTCTCTCGATGATTATCCGCATCGTTAATTTTATTGTCTCGTTATACGTAATACATGTGTTCACAATGGGCCGAAAGGGAGATTGCGATTTTTGTGCAACTTTCACTTTCTCTTCGCGTACCATCTCTCGCGCATCGCGCGATAAATGCATCAGCCAAGACGTGACATAACGTTTAACGTACAGCCTGGACCGTTCCGTGCGTTATCCTCGTTATAAAGGTTCGTCGTTCGCAAAAATAGTCATCTCGATCGAACTCGATCGGTTGACGCTTTCCTGTACAATCACTCGCGTATGTATACTCGGGTCATTTTTACTCGGGCTATTTTCCTTCTCTCTTTCTCTTTTTATAATACAACACAGTTATCGTGTGTTTCTCAATAACAGCGAAACATTTCTTTCACGAGAGTAAGTGGGGCGTTTAATAAAAACAATCGCTTTCATGTATCAACACACATTGCATACATTTTGGAATATCAAAACCACAAGAGTAATATTTGTACATTAATGATAAATAACTTAAAAACGGTTCATTTTACGATGATAAGGTACAAATCTGAGAACTACGCAAACAAAATTGGACAATCTCCGGTTAATTCCGCCTATCTTCACTTTTTGAATCAAAACTCTTTTCGTTTCACTCTGTGACGCGCAGGGCGGCGAGAACAATCGCGAACTTTACGTACTTTCGCCTCTCTCTGAGTAATAAAAGATAGTCGAGAAAAGATAGTTGTCGATATATAACAAATATGACATTTTTCAAAATAATCCCAATATACGCAGAGACTTCAAATTTCAACGAGTACCGAGAAACTTTCTATCAGGGCCCACAGCACAATAATTCATATTTAACTTTAGTACATTGTCTTGCATTTGTTTTCTGTTCTATTTTTTTCTTTCTCTGCTCTATTAGCATTTGTATGTCTAATCGTTACCAGGAATACAGTCAGCCCTCATTATCCGAATCTAATAGGTTTCTGAAGATGATTCGGTCAACGAGAGAGAGAGAGAGAGAGAGAGAGAGAGAGAGAGAGAGAGAGAGAGGGAGAGAGAGAGAGAGAGACAGAGACAGAGAGAGAGAGAGAGAGAGAGAGAGAGAGAGAGAGAGAGAGAGAGAGAGAGAGAGAGAGAGAGAGAGAGAGAGAGAGAGACAGAGAGAGAGACAGAGAGTTTCTTTCGTTACCGCTTATCTTAATCCATTGTCTTTATACGCTGTATATGTGTGTCATCGAGAACTTATCATAAAATGGATTTATAACGCAGTCCTTATATTACTCGATAAGAAATGGAATGAGATGCACACCTAATTCCTAGGAAACTGTAACAAAACGCAAAAAAAAAAAGACAAAGAAAAGATAAAAGGAAAGGAAGGAAAGATAACACCTTTTTTGCTGAAGCGTTCTTGCTGAATAAAATTAAAATGCAATACTATAACGCATTCCTCTACGTGTTCTCGGCTTCGTACAAAATTTTATTCTTATGTACACACGAAAGCTCACATAGAAATGGCGGCGAATGTTATTAAAAATGTATATCATTGCTATTGTGAGAAACTTACGGTATACACTACCGAAAAGAAAACTGAACGCGCAAACACGTCAGCAAATATTCCAACTGTAAACTAATCATTTGATTTCGTTACACCACTCCGATCGATCCGCTCCCCGTTTTGGCTCACCCGATGCAAGAAAATGTACTATTCTTACCAACTAGTTAGTTGCTATATCTTAAGTAAGAAAGCTTCACTTAGCACGGTATTGTTGTGGTTTCCTGTGTACTCTTTTCTCAATGTGCAGATCTTTCGTGTTCATTTCCTGCGAAGATCAAACGAACGAATCACACGATTCGATTAACAGCGGCTCGGGAGATTACGAGTCGCTCGATTGTTCGAGCGAGAGTGCGCTTCGTCTTACCTGGATCTCTTCGATCCTCTGTCATTCCTTTCCGAACTCTCCTCACGAGAACGTTTCTTACCGGACGAGGAATGCGACTTGCTCTTGTCGTGCTTGTCGCTCTTTTTTGGACTAAACGAACAAACGTTTAACTGTAGCAACAACAAACATACGAAACTCTGTGTGATAATCACCTGTGTTTGGATGATTTGGAAGGGGATGTCTTCTTGTGGGAGCCCCCACTCCGTGATCGATCCGTCCTTTAATTATCAAAGCAGAACACACAGTCAATACATAGTTTAACGAAGCGGAACGCGTACGTTTACAATCCCTATTATTTTGAAGCTACGATAAATCATATTTACCTGTGTTTGTCCGACGATCGTTTATCCTTACTGTTGGACGAATTCTTGCTCCTAGAGTTTGTCGAGTTCTTATGCTTAGAGTTGTGCCTGAAACGGAACAAAACATAAATGTTGCATTCGAAATCCGTGTTGAATGTCCGATATGTGTCCGATACGCGCGCATCCGCATACCTGTCCTTTGGAGGAGATTGTCTCCGACTTGATTTCTTCTTTTTACTAGAATTATAGTCGTCGCGGAAACGATCCTCGCCTCTTTCTTTGTCCTCCTCGGCCGCTTCTCGCTCCAGATCTGACCAATCCTTTCCCGATTCCTCAGAACTGCCCAATTCTTCCTCTATAAGACAGATGAAACCGAAACGGCATGAATTTGGAGAGTGTATTGAGGATTGCACGATTGAGGATTACATGACGGAAGAAACGAAAGAACGCAATTAATGCAGCGAGCCTCCAACGAGTTTAATGCAATACCTTCGCTGTCGGAATCTTCAGAAGCCTCGGAGTATTCGCTGTCGTCGTCCGATTCCTCTTCGCTGTCGAAATCTGATGGCTACAAAGAAAAAGATGAAAAAAATATTATAATATATAATTATAATACTATATTTATTTGTCGCACTTGGATGTACATCGACAAATTATTTTACAAACCTCATATGCATCATCTTCCTCCTCCTCTTCATCTTCAAGCTCCTCATTTTCAGCATCACTCTCGGGGTCTAAAAATGTCCATCCTCCGCTGTCGAAGAATCCCTCAGGGTCGTCTGTTATGGTCTTCATAATCTTCGTCCAGTTTAGAGATTGTACACCTTCCGAATATCGGATGTCGCACGAGCTGAAAAGAAAAAAAAAAAAAAAAAAAAAAAAAGATGAATTTGACAATCGCGAAAATGTCACGATAAATAAATGAAGCAAATCCGAATTTTCCGTACGAAGCAATAATATGTTACTTACTTCAACCATTCCTTCACATGATCCAACATATTCATAGGAATAGCGTTTACCATCGCTACCTTTTTATGGTAATCTTTGAAGACGAAAATCATATCGAAATTCTTTAGGTGGAATTGTACTCTCTCAAAATGAACCAATTCAACATCTTCCAGCGTAATAACAAACGGTGGCTGAAATCAAATCATATAACATGCAGCATACAACGTATTGGGGAAACTTAAGGGAAATTTGTTTGAAATATGGTGTTTATCGAAATACACGCTATTACCCATTCGGTGAGATTAACCAAACAACCGCTGGTCGGTTGAAGCAAAACGGTACTTCTGTACGGCGCACCGGGAAATCCCAATTCTCGGAACGGTGTATCAAATTCGATATCTTGCTTCGTCATTCCTTCGACCTTTATGTTTAATAACACATTCGTCATTGTTTGGTCATTGTGCGTCAAAGTTAAGTGCAAAGCCGAATTGGCCGCCGTTCATTGAATCAACTTTGCACGTACCTTCTCACAGAAGCTCTTAAAAGCGGTTTTCAGCTTGTGCCTCAACTCTCGTTCCGATTGCTCGGCGGCAAGATCGTCGCGATCGTGCATGTGTTGGTGTTTCCCTAAATCCGTGGTAATTTCTCCGACTTCTGTATAAAACTGCACGTCCACGTGTTTTTTCTTCCCAAACATAATGGCGTGCTGAAAAGATAGAAATAATACAATGCACGACTAACATCCGTAATTGGTTAGTTAGTCTCGGTCTTACAATAACCAGAGTATTTATTCTCCTCCAATTAAAAACGACAATTCAATTATCTCTGCCAGTAATCCTTTGAGTAAGCATGTACCTTTAAGTGAAAATGAAGCAGTATGATCATTTCACCATCGCACGGTTGGAAGAAGGCATTCTTAATGTTGTTATAAAGTATGTCCACTTTGTCCCCGCGGACTGAGGTGTAACGAAATCCGTTGGCGTGTGCTTCTAAACCACCCGTCATTCTTTTCGTGACGATATTCGGTCGAATATACAGGTCCTTCAACTTCGGATTTCCCTTATTCTGCGACAATATCAGAGTATCCTGTTTCACGAGGTCCTCCTTCTCCCTTTCTTCCGCTTCTCGATTCTTGAATTTCTTCTGCACCTCCTTAATCAGTCTGAAGGCTGTGTTCAAGTTCGAGGACGGCGCGGAGATTTCACCGGGCTCTTTGGTATTCGTGCTCCGATATGTCACCTCTTTGACAAACGTCGCGTCGGGTTGGGGATAAGATCCACCCTCGTTCCGACCCATCGTCGCTCCGGGATGGAAGAAGTTGATTCTGAGATACGTATAATCTCCCTCCACGGACTGCGAGATGTTCTTGATCGTTGATATGTGGAAGGGTACAGGAATACCGAAAATAGGTAGAATCACAGTTTCGTACTTCTTATCCACATACAACTTCAACTCCTTCACTTCCGGCTCGCGCGGCATGTGACTCAAGCTTTTGTACGACACTGTCGACTTGCGTATCTTCTCCTGTTCTTTACCGCCGGACTGCTGGGCCAACCGAGCCTTCGCGACTGCGTTCAATTGTTGAGCCAACTCCTTCTGATGCTGCTTTCTCTTCTCCTCCGAGCTGTGTTCGGTTCTCAGTTTAGATTCTATCACGGCCGTTCTCTTGCCGCGTCCTAGGATCTCGGGCTTTGGCTCGTTTTCCTTTCCGCTCCCCTCTTCTTCCTCGTCCTCGTCGTCCTTCACGTATATACCTATGTTTTTCACTTTCTTCTTCGACGGTGTCAAATTAGAGGCCGGCTGTCCCTCGTTTACGATAACCGTGTCGCCTATGAAAAGGGCATACGTCTTTCCCTCCTTATCCGTTGCATCCGGGTTCGAGAGATTTGCGAGACCGACATTCACATTAAATACCATGCCCTTCTTGGCTACTGCATGAGTCTTCGGGCCCAGTAGTAAAGAACTTTCTTTGAATTCGATGCCCATGGCAAATCCAAAATTCTTGGTTAAATGATTCATCATCTCTGGTTTTTCATCCTTTACAAATTTCACACCGGTCTCGTACACCTCGCTAATCTTTGTGCCTGCAATCAACTTTTTCAAGATCTCCTCCTCGAGTTGTAACAGGAAATTGTAATGTTCCTACGTAAAATGTAAAACAAACGTAAAAAACGTGCACGAAGTACGAATAAATTTCACTTTACGGCTTTACGGTCGGTATGGCAAGGGCTTGTCACTATCATGACACTAAGGCCCTTGCTTCCTACGTACCTCGATTGTCTTTGTGGGATTGACCAACAAGGTCCTCACTATATTTGAACAATAGGATTTGTAACGGGCGCCCAGTGAACAAACGATGACACCAAAATGAAGAATATTTTTGTCACTGACAACGCTAAATTTTAGAGAATAATTGCCGCCGCTTTGTATAATTGCAGGATAACACATGTCCACTTGCGTAACATCTACACCAGACACATACTTTTTATTCGTAATCGCTGCATCGACACCTTCCGCCAATTTCGAGTGCTTGACTTTCTGAAATTTACACGCGATACAATTCCTCTCTCTCTCTCTCATCTATTCTCTTCCATTTTATACAAATGAAATACAACTGAATAACTGTATAGCGGATGTAAAATTAAGGAGAGAGAGAGAGAGAGAGAGAGAGAGAGAGAGAGAGAGAGAGAGAGAGAGAGAGAGCGAGAGCGAGAGAGAGAGAGAGAGAGAAGAGAGAGAGAGTACCTTATCTGAATCTATAATTTCCATTATTTGATCCTTCAGATATTTATTGAATACATCTACAGATACCAGACAAGCTTTCTTTATGGTGAGTATCTCAATGTCTTCTTTTGCACACATAACATAGGCAGCCGCAGCGCTTACATCGACCTGAAATCGATCAATAGCTCATAAAACTTGACGTTTCACCAACTTCTGAGACTGAGCATTCCCCTGTGTCATTGATCTAAGCAGAATATGATATTCTGTACTTACTGTATCGAAAGACTCTGTCTTCAAGGCAGCCCTCCATGCATCCATAAAGGCACCCGGATAATTCTCCTTTGAAAATACTCCCAGAGTTCTGCCCTTCTTACTCTCTTTTATTACCTCGATGAGTTTTGTAAAATTTGCTCTGTCTTCGTCACTCTTTAAGAAAATATTCAAACAATTAATTTCTCTCCAACACTACTACTTATAACCTTGCTCGATAAAGTTGCTTCATGCGATGCAATATACTTACTCTGTCCCGTACAAACAATTTTACAGACGGTACTCCTGTGTCTTCTGTTTTTTGGTTCTCCACTTTTCTCAAGAATTCAATTTTCTTTTTGCTAGCCAAAAAGCTGATAGATTCTTCCGCCAGAATCATTATTGTGTCTGTAAGCTCATAACTGAGCAGCCATGTCTGAAACGGAGCAACCCATGTACTACACACAGCGTCATTATGTTTGTTAATTAGATCGGATCAGATGATATACGATGATACAGTCAAGTAATATCAATTTACAAGTCTCACACAGATCTGAAGTACATGCCTGTAATGCTGTAGACTTGCTATAAACAATATCCTCGTCGGTACCGACAGCAGAAACGAGACAATCCATTTTGCTAAAGCTATCGTCAGTGCCGACTTCTCCATCCTATTGCAAACAAAAGAATACAAGATGCGAATATAATATGCGTGCACAAAAGTTTGCAAGTCTGGGAACTGGGATCCAAATAGGAAACATCGCGATATCGAACGCGATACACTCCACTCACCTTCCACGCGCCGTACAGGCGTTTCATACGCCGAAAAAACGTATCTTTGTCGAGGGACACGTTTGCCATGGTTCAACACACGACGTCAGGCGCGTAACTGTGTAAGATGCGTCAGACGTGAGTTTCCAGTTAGTACTGGCGATGTAGACGGTATAATGAAACGAGATAATCTAAACTCGAAATATATTTAACCGAGAAGAAAATGCATTTAACCTTATTACATCTTTGTACTTTGTGCAATTGCTTACAATTTACCAATTTACATACTACTAGCAGAGAGAAGAATGAGAGCGGCCACCGGCCGTATTTTGGGGGGATACGGCTAGGCGCATTTTAAATACGCCATCTGACCAAAATGCGCCTAAACTACGTCCGCTAGGCGCACTTTCGCGGTGATAAAAGTAAAATGCGCCTAGGTTCGTGTCCGAACTACTTTCATGCAATGGATAGTAGATTAGAAAAAGACAGACAACAGACAATCGTTCCGTCTTTGTCTCACTACTGAGCGGCGCGCGGCAGTAAACACGAGGCGAGGTAGCGACGATCTTATCGCTAAGCGAACATCTCTCCGCTTTTCTTTCATCTTTCACGCTCCAGAGACATCAGAAGACGCGGTAGCGTCTCGTGTCAAGGGAACGTGCGAAGCGAGGAATTATTTTTCACGCACGCGAGGTAGCACATGGGAGACTAGACGAGCGTCGACATATTATCTGTTTCTTTCCCGCTCGTCTAGCTTATTGACTGCGTGAGCCGCGAGATTTTTCTCGCTACTTCTATACCTCGCTCTTTCTCTCTCTCTCTCTCTCTCTCTCTCTCTCTCGCTCGTTCTTTCTCTCTCTCGCGCACTTGCTCGCTCTTCCTCTCTTCTCGTGTTCTTACGGCTTGATTAAATATATTAATTACATGACAATATATATATAAATAAATGACACATATATAGTGTATATGTATATAAAGAATATTTAGTATTAATGCACAAATAAAGAAGAGAGAATTATAATGAGAGACGAAAAGTTAACAGAAATCCACTCTTAGCCAATATATACATCTTTTAAAAATGATTTGTTATTAAAGTATATGACAGAATAATTTATTTATGCTAATAAATTTAAATTAAAAATTAAATGAAATGTTATTTGTTTTGTAAAAGATATTCCATTGTTACATTTTTCTTTTCGTAGCAAAAATAAATTTAGTCCAGTAAAGAAAAGAAATTAATTTTATCATCATATTTCAATTACGACTTTATTATTTAATTTTACGAATAGATAACGCGCATATTGTTGCTCAACGGAAACCGCGAGAAAATGGTGATTTCCGTCAAAAAATAAATGCAAACTTTCTAATAATATAATAATTTTTTGACGTAAGTGCCTGTTTTTATAGTATAACCTGTTGAATTTTATTAATTATTAATTCAGCATGTTATAGTATAAAAATATATTTTAATATAAAAATTAATGTAATATTAATTGTTTCCATTTGCAAGAAATATGGATAGAACAGGATAGGTTGCAATGATACATAGGAAGAAAAAAGATAGATGGATAAATAGATAGATAGATAGATGTAGAGATAGATATAGATGGATAAATAGATAGACAGATAGATAGATAGATAAATAGATAGACGGATAGATAGATATAGAGAAATAGATAGATAGATAGTTAGATAGTATAGAAAAAAAGATAAATAGAAATATAATTATCATTATTATTATTATTAATGTTTTCAGTTTCAATAGAACATTCGCTTAAACGTAAGTCTTACTTAGGTCCAGTTTCACGACTTATATTATATTAACCGAAATATATTATACGACTTATATTATATTAACCGGAATATATTATACGATTTATATTATTTTAACCGGAATATAATTCGTTAATATTAGAAGTACCGAGCGGTTATTTCTGATCGTTTCTATTTTTTAAATTAATATCCTGTTTCTTTAAGATTACAGGATTTTTGTTTTGAGGGTTTGTTTAATGTGATGTTTGTAAAGAATGTATATAAATTTCTACATATAAGATTAAAAATATGAAAAATATTGCAATGAAAGCAAGGAGGTTCCACGGTGCTCACGATATCTCAATAACTATTTGACCAATCGACTTGCAACTTGGCAGCATTATAAAATAGACTTCTCTTTACCGTTTTAACTACAATTAACCAAATTCATTAATAATTAATATTTTTTATTAAACTTTACCGAGAGGCCAGAAATAGACGATTTTTGTTCTAAATGCTACCGTTTTATTATTTGTGTTCCGATTGTAGCTGAGACGATAGCTATACTTATAGAAAATAAAAAGCTATTTTAAATAATTGTGTAAAATTAAATCACACACATTTAGAAATTCCTTGGAATCGTCTATTTGCAACCTCTTTGCTTTTACTGCAATATTTTATATATTTTTAACCTTACATACTTGTAGAAAAATGTATATATATTCTTCAAACATCATTAAGCAAACTCTCAAAACCCGTAATCTTTTAATCATGTGATCTTTTTCGCTTCCGCAAAAAAAATTAACAAAATATACGTATTTTTTGTCGGGTTCAATAAGACAACTCTTTAAAAGCCTATCTCAACAAAATTACATAATCTCATCATTGATATGCACAAGGAAATCAACCAATCCGTACAAGCGTGCCTTTTATATTAGACATATTTTACATTTAATTAATCTGTTTCCTTCTCTAGAACAAATGATCATCAAAGGTCAAGATAACGTCAAAATTATTTTAACATAATTTTGACATCATCTTCACTTTTATATAATTATTTGTTCTACTTCAGTTATGCATATGAACAATATGACTATGCAAGTTTGTCTCAATAAGTCTTAAACTCCGGTTAAAATAAATTATGAAATTAAATCTTAGCGTTTTTCAATCATCGGCATCTTTCACGATGTTACGATTATAAATATTATCTATATAACCAATTGTAACCTACACAATGGAACGCTCTTCGATTGAACCGATTGAAATTGCTCATATCAGTTATCAATGATATATGGCCTTTCATTACATTCTCTAAGTTTCAATTGTTAATTGCACAATTCCTTTCACAAGTCAAAGATTAACAAGCTGATTTAAAACATAATGCAAAAAGCTCGAAAATAAATGCGAAGCAGAGAAGAGATTAACAATGATTGATTATTATTTAATATGCAACTTACATCAACATGGAATGTCTAATTGACTTAATGTCTCGAAGCTACTGAATATGAATTTCTGCTCAAATCTCTTCCTTTCTGTAGGAAGTTTTTGGCTGTTTCGGTTACTTTTCTCTACATTTATATTGATGAGTTGAAGCACTTGTTTCTACGAGATGATTAAAATTCGGCTGACTTTACGAGTGTTAACACTCGTAAAGTCCATTGCTCTTCCTAACTTCTTAAAGTTAGGGCGAGTGCGATTAAGGATACGTATAGCCTGCTCTTGTTGAGCAAGCAAATCGTCGAGATAATCCATGATATCGAGAAAAGACGACTGGATTATTCAAATATGATCGATCACGTCGTTACGACTAAGAATCAACGTTAGCGCTTGAGCTGAACAACAGTTGCCAAATTAGAATTATCGCAGTGCTCAGAAGCAAGCGAATATGAAGAGTCCTACTGATGGACTATGTTTAGCAATGCGACAGTCAAACAACAACGATCCCTTAGACTCCGATCCGGCTCGAAGGACCAAAAATGTGGCCGCGTCAGGTGGTTGAACGGCCGTGACGCAGGGATGCCAGAACACCCTTGTCAGAAGGATCAGAGTTAGAGATGCTAGTAGACTCGGATCTCGAGCGGCCTTTTCGGGTCGTAAATCCGAACCGCGAAACCCGAGCAACGCTCGTACGAATTAGATCGACGAGCGCTAATGTGAAACGACCTCCGTCGTTTCAGAAGGCCTGCCCTTTCGGACTCAACGGCCAGCAAGATACCACGGTAGAAAAGAAACTGTGGCCAAGCAAAGGATAATGCTGAGCTCTGTCACGCTAGAGGCGATTGAGTCGTTCCTGCGGCGAAACGCCGATGTCCTGTGGACGCGTGAAACGAGAGCTCAGCGTGCTCAAAGACGCGATCGCGTCGCTGGTCAAATCGCCAAGTTCCTCGACGGACGCTTGGAAACAGAGAGTTCACCTATCCCACACGGAGGCGATCAAAGCCCCGCTCCTGAAGCGTGGCAACGCAGGGAACTCACAGCTGAACACAGAAGATTCCAACCATAAAGCCTCAACCCAGCAGGGTATATTAGCACCGCAGTCAATTCAGTAGAGTGCGTTGGTTTGAATCTCGACTAAGCACTAAAACTGCTCTAGGGAAGCCTAGAGAGAAAACGTCGGTAAAGACGGGCGCTACAAAAGTCTCACAGACCAGACACCACGGATTGCCACAATCGGCGTTAGGGCCATGCGAAGGCGCGCTGCTCGCGATCGCGCTCGGTTATATCACCCGGGCGGCCGATTCTTAAGGCTCGTCTACAATAGCTGTAAGAGTAAGGCTGTAACGTAAGCTGTCAGCGAATGAAAATATTTCATTTCGTGTCTTGCAACCTTACAGCCTCATTCTTACAGCTAATGTAGACGAGCCTTTAGCTGCGAGCAGCGGGATTAGTGAGCGCGTCATGTAGCGGCCGCGAACGGCACTAGTGGCCACGCGCGGAGCGTTGGCGGGAGCGCCACGTGCTCGCCTGCGAGAAACCAACGAGAGCCAGGCTGTCCGCCACGCGGCCGCGACTTGATGACAATAATGATGCTGCTTGTGGCAACGTGATGTTATGTCATTGCCTGCGCATTCCCGAACATCTTCCTATGTATCATTGCAATCTATCCTGTTCTATCCATATTTCTTGCAAATGCAAACAATTAATATTACATTAATTTTTATATTAAAATATATTTTTATACTATAACATGCTGAATTAATAATTAATAAAATTCAACAGGTTATACTATAAAAACAAGCACTTACGTCAAAAAATTATTATATTATTAAAAAGTTCGCATTTATTTTTTGACGGAGATCACCATTTTCTCGCGGTTTCCGTTGAGCAACAATATGTGCGTTATCTATTCGTAAAATTAAATAATAAAGTCGTAATTGAAATATGATGATAAAACTAATTTCTTTTCTTTACTGGACTAAATTTATTTTTACTACGAAAAGAAAATGTAACAATGGAATATCTTTTACAAAACAAATAACATTTCATTTAATTTTTAATTTAAATTTATTAGCATAAATAAATTATTCTGTCATATACTTTAATAACAAATCATTTTTAAAAGATGTATATATTGGCTAAGAGTGGATTTCTGTTAACTTTTCGTCTCTCATTATAATTCTCTCTTCTTTATTTGTGCATTAATACTAAATATTCTTTATATACATATACACTATGTATGTGTCATTTATTTATATATATGTATTGTCATGTAATTAATATATTTAATCAAGCCGTAAGAACACGAGAAGAGAGGAAGAGCGAGCAAGTGCGCGAGAGAGAGAAAGAACGAGCGCGAGAGAGAGAGAGAGAGAAAGAGCGAGGTATAGGAGTAGCGAGAAAAATCTCGCGGCTCACGCAGTCAATAAGCTAGACGAGCGGGAAAGAAACAGATAATATGTCGACGCTCGTCTAGTCTCCCATGTGCTACCTCGCGTGCGTGAAAAATAATTCCTCGCTTCACACGTTCCCTTGACACAAGACGCTACCGCGTCTTCTGATGTCTCTGAAGCGTGAAAGATGAAAGAAAAGCGGAGAGATGTTCGCTTAGCGATAAGATCGCCGCTACCTCGCCTCGTGTTTACTGCCGCGCGCCGCTCAGTAGTGAGACAAAGACGGAACGATTGTCTGTCGTCTGTCTTTTTCTAATCTACTATCCATTGCATGGAAGTAGTTCGGACACGAACCTAGGCGCATTTTACTTTTATCACCGCGAAAGTGCGCCTAGCGGACGTAGTTTAGGCGCATTTTGGTCAGATGGCGTATTTAAAATGCGCCTAGCCGTATCCCCCGAAATACGGCCGGTGGCCGCTCTCATTCTTCTTTCCGCTACTAGCAGCAGAGATTACTGCGCAAATTCGACCGCCAGCGACTGGCAGCGATTGCAAGCGCGAATACGATTGGATTTATACAGGTTTATAATCGAACCTTCTTCTTCAACCACGCAACACCCGCGATGTACAAACCGCGATGCCGCGAATTGCTCACCTCCACGAACTGTGAAATCTAAGATGTACGGTGACTGCAAGTGCACAGGATGCAACCGCTAGAGCAAAAGGTTGTGTGGGGGTCGAGTGGACTCCCGCTCGACTCGGCCTTTCAACCCCGCAGCAAGGGTGGGGGGGGAGAGTGATAGATGTAGAATTACAGGGGCACGGCACCCGCACCCTGGTTGGATGTGTTCCCTCGCGGCGCTCGAGGACAGACCTCGAGGGCCCCCAGTGAACCGACTCGAAAGATAGGAAGAAATGCTTTTCTTTATTGCTTACACTTGGCCCCTCGCGCGGGGCGCGCTCGCTCGCGAACAAGAGACGGTAGACGGAAAAACAATACCGCATACTCGCCGGCGTCACCGCGCAGGCACGCGGAACGCACGTGATGCTCGCTCGACGCGGGAACTCGCAGCGGTCGCGCCGAGGTTCCACGTGTTTGGAAATGAAGAAAAAAAAGAAGAAAAGAGGAATAATACACCAACGACGGCTACCGTGTAGCCACGCGGAACGCACGTGATGTACGCACCGCAACACGACCTCGCAACGGTCGCGCCGAGGTCGACACGCACCACACGCGGCAACGCACGTGGAACCCACGGCCGAGCACGTGAACACGCGGGGCGCAAAGCCGACGACCGGGCCGCGCAAGGGCGACCGCGAGATCGCAAGGGCCGCTTGCCCGAAGGCCCGCTCGAATAACACCGGGCGGACGGCTCTCCGACACGAGAGGCGGCCGCGCGCGCGACCGCGAGGCGTAACACAGACACGGCGCGCGGGAATCGAACTCGCGCTGCGAATAAATGGCGAGTCACGCTACACTGAATCACGATAGCCCGCAAAACGACCGGCGGCGCGTTCCGTCCGACGAGAAGCCCGCGACGGTCCGTCACAGCACGCGTCTCACCTCGGAGAGAAAACTTCGCACACGATTGAAACGCACTCCCGCTCGGAGGGAAGAGACACTCTCGCACTGGAAGCACTCACGTGACACGAGCGACTGTTTCCGCTGCCTCCGAGGCGGCAGCGGGTCCGCACTCCCTGCGGCAGGTGGCGGGAGCCGCTCTTCCGCCATAGTTGTGCCAACCTTGCGCACGACTCGATAGCAGAGCGGGAAAAAGAAACATGTTGCACCACCGACGCGACGAGGGCAGCACCGTTGTTTCAAAATTCACTGCCAGTACTGAAAATATACAGTTTGTCACGCAAACTATTGGTTTGTTCTTCGGTAGCTGCATTGCCGAACGAACTAGTGCGACAAGCTCACCACCCACCTCGCACCTCGTGCACTTTGTACAGATAAATAGTTCCACCACGGAAGGAAATGAATCACCGCGATTGGTCGACTCAGCTTCCCGAGTGTCCCGCTTGTCGCGCTGTTCGCAGTTGCGTTAGTATTTAGTTTGTAACGATACACCGATCGTTACTAATCGGGCCGCGCGAAATGCATGTCGACCACGGGTCATGCACCCTGCGCAGGATGCAAGCGAGCGGACGAATTGGCAAGCGAGCGAAAAGAACCGCGAGCGAGCGAGAGAAACAAAGGAGCGAGCGAGCACGCGGGACACGCGCGTGGAGGCAAGGACCGCCTCGGCGCGCGCGGCATGCAGACGTCACGTGTATTCCGCGCCACGGGTTACGGAGGGGGAACGATCCAGAGTCGTACGGGCGGCCGATATAAGGCGCCGTGCGACTCACGAGAGACACCTTTCCTTCTGACGTCTCGTCGGAGATAGACGAGACGCCGACCAGCCCGAGAGTTCTCCGGTAGTATAGCGAGTATACTCGTGATTTCCCGGGGCGAGAGTCCTCGCCGCACCTGACACGAGCGTACTCGTGATTTACCGGGGCGAGAGTCCTCGCCGCACGAGCAAGACTGACCTTCGGGGCGGAAACTCCGGAGACCGAAAGACTCCGCACGCGCGCCGATTTTGGGGGCGTCACGGGAGCACGGCGCCGGAATCACGACGACGGGCACGACGGCCGCCCGAGCGAAGAGACGCGAACGAGCGAGCGAGCGAGCGAGCGATCCCCGAACAGACGCGACCGCCGTGTCGTCACGGAGGGAAATCGTGCGACTATAGTCAAGCGACCCAGTTTGCGAACCCACTTACCGCTGCCGTCTCGGCCGACCTCGGCGTGTTATAATTTACTAGCTACCTTATTTTAAATAATAAAGTATTATTTACACACACGCACGAACGTCCATTGAGCACGATCTCTTCCCGCCCCGGGGTTCCGACGGGCCGGATCTCGGCGGAGTCCTATCCAACGCCGTACGCGGGAAGGACTTGCACGAACGCACGCCAGGCGTCACAAGTTATTATGGCGCCGATTACGGGTTGTGTAGTGTGCGCGAGAAATCGTCGCCCGTGATTTCGTGTGATTTTGTCTCGTCGTGGCTGAGTCTCGTGCCTTAAATCGTTGCCGGGAGTGCCGAAAGTAAGTTTTGCTCACGTGTTATGGCGGAATGACGTTCATTCCGTCGCACGAAGTGAAGTGAGATGAATAGTCGGAATGCCGAGGAAAGTTCAATGCGTAAGCGCAGCTCGGTTTTCACGTCGCGGAGCTTCGTTTTCGACTCGTCAACCGAGTCTGGGCTGACGAATTATCATCGAGTTAAACATCGAGGTATGGCATAGTTTTCGTTAAATATTTACTGATGAAAATGTGCATTGTTTGTCGGGAAAGTCGCGAGTAAAGTTTCGAGTAAATTTTTTCTGTCATGGCCGACTTCTTGGAATATTTCAAACGGAACGGACGGTTTCGAAACAGAATATTTTGATTGGCTAGTACGCTAGCGATACGTATTCACCGACATATGCACACATCGAAAATCGCGACCGTTGCATTGCAACGCTTAGTACGTGAATTCGAAAAGCCGACCATGCGTGTTTTCCGCGATTTTGAATCACCAAAGGCGAATATCGGCGTGTGTTGTTTCGTCGAGAGTATCGAAAGCAAATTTCGTGCATTTGTCATGGCGAAGTATCGTCAAGTGGTCGAGAGTAAGAATAAATAAACGAAACCGGGTCGTCGGGAGTGCCGAGTGAAATTACGCGCGTTTGTCGCTTAAGATTTGTATTGTGAGCAAGTGTTGTGAAAAAAATGGCCTGTTAATGTGCAAAGATCAATTTAGTGTTTGTGTTGCGAAAAAGATTAAGTGTCCGAGGATACATTTTGCAAGGAAGGATACCAGAAAACATCGAGGGGTAAGTTTATTTACGTATATCACGCTATAACAATTCGGAGTCGCTGGTCTCGCGATATTGTGTTTATCTCGCGATGATGAAAAGAATTATCCAATGAGAAAATTCATGAAGCTGATCATGATTGTGAAACAAAACATAAGAATCTCATCTAAATATTTTGAAACAATATATTTAATGTTTATTGATATTTTCATTCTTAATAGCTCGTCACATTTTACATCTTAACCGTTAATTTTATTAACCCATTCTGAATGAGCAAACGAAATATTACGTTCAACCCGAAAGCATCAGTTTTTCAAAGAGTCCGCTCGCAGGTCTCTATGATTCTTCGAACTCACTGCCCGTGTAAATGCCTCGTCGATTTTTGGAACTCATGCCGCTTGGGGTAAATTTTAGTATTAGTAGAGTCAGCAAGGGGGCCCCGTGGGCTAGGAGGTAATTGAAGAGCGGTGATAATACCGACTGTTTCAGCTACGCTGAAGATAACACAACATTTATGCCATACTATATTCCAATTTTATCATGGCAATACCATGGTATAAATTACCGGCGATATAAAAATATTATCGACGTATAAATATATATCATCACTATAATAAAAAAAAACTGTTGCATTGCTTGAGCTTCTTTGTGAACTTTTAGAATAGCACTTGTCGATAGCGCTTGTTGAGACAAAGAAAATGACGTCTTATCCGACTTTCTACGATCCTAACCGGAAGTGCGTGAAAAATTAACATTTTTTTCAAAAATGTAAACAATTTTTTCATGCACTTCCGGCGATCATAGAAAGTCGTGTGAGGTGTCATTTTCTTCATCTTAACGAGCGCTACCGATTGCAATTCTAAAAGTTTACAAAAAACGTCTGTCTTAGATTTTCATTAGTTTCATGGTCTCACCACGGCCTCCGTATCGGCCTCCATCAGAGTAGTTTAAGAGTCTAAGAGTCGAGCCCTAAATTCTTCTAAATTGAAATCTTCAAATTCTGAAATTCGAAATTTACAAAATTTAGGCGCTGACGATCGCGCCTCGAGGTGCTGTGGTTTCGATTTTGCCTCTTTTTATCAGAACGATTAGAAGTTAATAAAGTCTACGAGAAATTTTTGCACACAGCGCATCTTGATTGATACTCGTATAATTCTGCAAAAAATATGTAATCCTTATATTCAAGATAGGTATATGTATAGGTAACTAAATACTTTGCTTACTTTTTTCGGTAAGTCGTTCCTTTCTTAATCTTACTACCATTATGTTGATCCAGATGTTATTCAATAACGTCGATATTTTAAAGAATACCAAACACTGCAAAGTTTGAGTAAATCGTTTTACTAATGTTTATTAATAAACATTTCATATAGATTATTTGAATTTATTATAATTTAATATGTGTATTGTTGTTCTTGTGTTGTAATCGTCGCAATTACAGTTTATCGTTATTTACACTATTCAGTATAAAATGCGAGTTCGAGATTAAATCATCGTCGTCATCGTCATCGTCGTCACGCCACTATGCTGATTTATTATTATTATTATTATTATTATTATTATAATTTCTCGTTCTTTCTCTTTCCCTCCCTCCCTCCCTCTCTCTCTCTCTCTCTCTCTCTCTCTCTCTCTCTTTCTCGCTCGCTCTCTCTCGCGCTCGCTCGCTCACTCGCTCGCTCGCTCGCGTTCTCTCTCTCTCTCCCTCCCTCCCTCCCTCCCTCCCTCTCTTCATCCCTCGACTTGTTCCTCTTATTTTCCCTCGGACACTATCTGTCATCGATTAATTAAGTATCAATGCTTGTACTCAGGAAAATGCGTGGGGGGCAGTAGGGCAGTATTTTCGTTATCACTAGTGTTGTTGGTAGTTAATTCTTGAGGGGAACCATTATTCATTATGTTACAATCTAGACTAAAGTAATCGTCTAGTGGGCATTTGTTAATGTTAGGCATGTGATTAACATCGATTCCACGAACTTCGCTTAGCGGTTGCTGTTGTTGCTGGGTTTGAGCATATTCGACCTCGGCGTTGCTGTCGAGATTTTTGTCTGTTTGAGGGGGGGGTGGATAATAGCCACGCTGTTTGATTGGCAGTTGTTCCACCGGCAGTTGGTGTTGCTGTTGCTGTTGCTGTTGCTGCTGCTGCTGCTGCTGCGGCTGCGGCTGCGGCTGCTGCTGCGGCTGTTGCTGTTGCTGCTGCTGCTGCTGCTGCTGCGGCTGCTGCTGCTGCGGCTGCTGTTGCGCCTTCTGCTGCGCCTGTTCCTGCACCGGCAGCTGCATCGAAGGCGGCGGGGGTGGCTGCTGCGGCGGCCGGTGCTGCACTCCATCCTCACTAGTCCACCGGGCTACTTGTTGTTGAGCTTGAATAAATGCATCACTAGAAAATAATAAGATTATACGAGCCCATTGGATCTAGTTCACCGCCACTAATGCTGCATTCGAACGCAGACGTGACAACATTCACAGTAAAGGCCAACGGTGAGAACGGTGAGAAAAGAAAAGAAGAGAGACGTCTCGACGGTTGCGACCTAAGGACAAGGATGTTGGCGCGTTCCTGTGATTGCTTCCCTCTAGAGCTCTGAGCTTCGTTTCTCTCTCCCTCTCCCTCTCTCTCTCCCTCTCCCTCCCTCTCTCTCTCTCTCTCTCTCTCTCTCTCTCTCTCTCTCTCTCTCTCTCTCTTCCTCTCTCACGGACGGTGTGCCGAATAACAGAGCAGAGAAAATATTTTCTTCTTTCTTTCGGAATTCTCCAAAATTTCTTTTCGTTTTTTTGCTCGACGACGATCATGTTTAATCGCGACCAGCTTTCGCGTGAATCGGCGTCAAATTTACTTGACACTCTTCAGATTTAATGTGTAACATTAAGGTCTTTACAAGATTTAAGAGAAATGATTGTCAACGACTGTGAAATCTAACTCTTTCTTGGTCTGGTTCTGGAAAGTCTGAACACGTCACGTGCACTCACACTGACCGAAACGTCAATCAAAACATTTAAAGCGCGTGCAAAGCTCAGCAGCTCGTCACTACGATCGCTAATTCAGATTCAACACTTGTCATAACACACTACCTCCGAACGTATTAACATAGAAAAGTCTTCAGATAAGGATAAGTGCGCACATCGATCGTGCGTAAATCGTCTCGATTGAAAGATGAAGTCGAGAGAGATGTCTTACAGCCGCCCAAACGATCGAGAGACTCGTCCGTTGTGGTTTTACACGAGTCTTGCAATATGTAAAAGCACTACGAAAGCAATATGCGCGAAATATTCGACCATGTCGGCCGACCGGACTGGACTCGACAGAGTATCTCAGATCTACCGAATCTCTCTTTCTCTCATTTGACGGATTTTTGGCGGACGGTGAAAGTTAACCGGACGAGGAAAGCGCAAGATTGTCCATAGTTGTTCGTGAAACGCGCAACATTTCTTTCTCGCTCTCTGCTAGGCTGCACTCGTGATGTGAAATATTCGATAAATCTGAGACACGTTAAAACGAGTTCATTCATCAGACTTGTGTGTTGTTGTTGTTGTTGTTGTTGTTGTTGTTGTTTAGGAGCAACATTCACAGCGCAGAAGCAAACGGAAAGAGCATGCAGACCTTCTCGTGTGCATTTTCGCTTTTCTCTCGTCGAAATTTCGCAACATACATTGCAATCGATTACCGCTCCCGATGAAAACGAACATGATAATTAAGCGTTCGTAATATGCGACGCAATTACAAACGCTTCGCAATTGCGGGCATGCAAATTGAAAGTCGTATGCCGAGTCCATTTATACTTTGCGCAGATTTCAAGTTCTGCAGCCAGTGATAACATGCCTCTCGTGATATACGCGCGATCTTTTACCATCGTTAAACAATATATTCTCGCCGCGATATCGTTACTTTGCCTGTCTCGATACTTCTTCGTTAGAAAATTGCGCCTGTCTCTTGTCAATTCTTTTCACGACACGACGCGCAATACAGTGCGATTTTCGCACATCACGTTGCGACGATATTGTTCCGTTTCTCTTTATCTTTTTTTTTTTCCCTTTCTTTCTGGACAAGACGACATGCACCATCCTTATCTGAGGTATACGCGAGCTATCGTGGAATTCGTGATATAGACATGATATAGTTGACGAGTCGTTATCGGTGGATAATCACTACGTGAAGCCGGGTTTTCGTGATGCAAGAATCTGCGATACCTTTCACAATCGGGTGTTTCACCCCTAGTATTTGAGCCTCTGTCAGGGTCGGCAGTTTCATAGATACCCTCCTCCTCGTGCATTTGATGGGAGTGTTGATGGGTGTGTTGATGGTTGCCGTAAGGACTTCGGGATGTCGGCTGACGGTATCTACCGTAGACGAATCTACTAGCGTCCTCGTCGCGGCCGCGGCTACATCTTCTGCTTCTACGTAGGAAATCCAATCAATTCCTGCATAAGTCGAGCTGTCCCCCTCGCCCCCCCTCGCCCCCCCCCCCCCTCTCTCTCTCTCTCTCTCTCTCTCTCTCTCTCTCTCTCTCTCTCTCTCTCTCTCTCTCTCTCTCTCTCTCTCTCTCTCTCTCTCTCTCTCTCTCTCTCTCTCTCTCTCTCTCTCTCTCTACACGACGCACTTTTCAAACTTTATTTGGCGTTATAATTTACCGCTCTCTAGTCGACATCTCAATTAAATAATAATTACCCGTTGACAATCGTGCTCGTTACGATCACTTAGTATAAACAGACTCCGCATTATCCCTCGAGTATACTGTCCGCGTGTAGTATTTTATTAGTAATTCATTACCAAGTCCTACTTTAGGCGAGAGATCATATCCTCTCTTTTCTCTGTTATCTGCTCACGCGCATCATTGTAATCTACGGTTTCGCAGAACATGGCACGAATATAGTGTTTGATATACATAAATAAATGCGTCGAGTCTGACAGCCTTCTGATGCGCAAGATAGGAAGCAGAATAAGATAATAAATTAACCCTCTCATTCTGAATTTCATTCTCGAATATTTCTAGTTACCAATGTCCAAACCAATTGCATCAGTTCACACGCTTGTTCGTCTTTATTTTGCACTGTTTCTCCGTATTTAATTTCGAACGCGTTAACCGAATTTGACGTAAAATTGATTCTATTTTTGTAATTGCTCATATTCGGGCAAGATAATACATCTTAAGGAGAAAAGGGGACAGGAAGAATAACGACTACAATTATTATTGAAAAGCAAGAAAACTTCTGGGTCTAATTTTGTAAAAATAAAGACGTAATATAGTGCGTTGCGAGTTGAGATGCAATTGAAATAAGGACGATATGAAAATATATTTCGTATATTTTCCTCGAACAACTGATTGAGTATGAGAGGATTAAGATAATAAGTTGGCGAAAGAGGAGAAAGTAAGCAATTCACAGTGAGAGTTATGGCAGCGTGTGAAATGTCTGCTATAAATGTCTGCTGACAATAATTGTGATTAACAAAGTATGAAGAAGCTCAAACGTACCGAAGCCGATCGCTCCGATAAGTAATTCGACATTGTCAAATTGAAGAAAAAAAAGGAATGTCTAATTTACAAATCATTGTTGCTAAGAGTCCAGGAATATTTCTCGGTGTTCTCGTGATGGACACATTCTTATAGCTCGAAATCATTGTCTCCGTATTGCCTCGAAATTAAGATTCTTTGTCTGAGTTTGTAGTCGGAAGCTCGCGTGTACTCGTTTCCTTCGCAAATTCTTACCCTTGAGACGACTCGCTACAGACGGAAGAATCGATTCTGTAGTGTCGATCCGGCTCGCCCTCGGATATTCGAATCTCCTCGGATCCACTCGGACTCATCTGGCCAGTCATGTATCTGATGACAGGATTGATCGTTAGAGTCTCGCAAGTTTCGCAAAAAGACAAGAAGAGAAAGAGAAAAAAGAAACTGTATCTCAAGGTACAGATTACTCGAAAGTGCATTTTGTCGAGAGAGACGGAATATCAAAAACTGTCTGTTGCTATCTTGCTTGCACGCCTCAAAACAGCTATCCTCATCTGTCTTTGCGCACAATTCGAAAGAAACTAATCTTTACTCCGTTTACATGTTTATAACAAATTTCAGTTGCAACCTTCGATTGAAATCATCAACGTAATTATACATTCGCGTTTATGGACTGTTATTTGTTTAGATAAATATTTCTTGTTGTGAAAAAAAAAAGAAGAATAAAGAGAGAGAGAGAGAGAGAGAGAGAGAGAGAGAGAGAGAGAGAGAGAGAGAGAGAGAGCAGAGAGCAGAGAGCAGAGAGCAGAGAGCAGAGAGCAGAGAGACGAAAACAACCAAAGACTTACGTTATGACATTATGATTGTTAAATGACAATGACCTACGAGATAATGCCTGTTTCGACTACTTGATATCATTTCCTGTGTGCTCAAGTCAAGTAAAATCTCGAGAGGAGAGGGGAGAATGCCTGGACTTCTGAATCGCACGGACTTTTTTACCTCGCAGTATGATGCTCGAGCTGACGAATGATATCCTCGAGATTACGTATACGGATGGTGCCGCACGGCGGTTGCAGCTCCTCATCTTCCTCTTCGTCCTCCTGGTTGTCGATGCCATTGTCCTGGCCGTCGGTGTCCTTGCGATACATGTCGGGATAGCCGCACTCGGCCAATGATTTGCGCAAGGCGTCTTCGTCCAGATTTCCGCTGCCCGAAGGAGTACCGGAATCACCGCGGCTCGCTGCGTTCTTCAGCACCTCGAGTACGTTGTCGTGGTAGCTGTTCAATTGATTCAGGGTCCTTTGCACGTCGAATCCGCCGCTACTTAGTCCTGGCGAGCAAGTGTCTCGAGTTACCGCTCCATAACGAAGACTCTTGGCACGAGTTTGTGTTTGTGAACTCTCTCATGCGCGATCTGCCTATATCCTCTTTCTCTTTCTCTCTCTCTCTCTCTCTCCCTCTTTGAAAAATATAACTTACTAGCCGTTGTTACTTGATTTGAACATGTATCGCGAAATGTAAAATTGACATCTCGGGTGATTAATCAGCGCATGAGAGAGTCAAGTCCTTCTTCTTAGAGATAGAAGATCCTCTTAAGATAGACCTTTTATATATATATATATATATATATATATATGTATATGTATTAACCCCTTATACATTTGACAATTTATACCATTACGGGGGGTATTTACTATGGCACACACGCTTAGTCACTCGATTCTCTGTGGTAACTCCGTGATAACTCACCGAGTGTAAAGCAGAACTACGAAATAGAGTCGAGGCGTAACTTATAAAGGTTATTAACGTTCGTGAAGGATCGATGCGAGAAGCTCGTACTTCTGAACGGATCGAAAGTTAACCGTGCTCTGTCTGAACGTGTCTGAGCGCACTCAGGACTCCGAACAGTACGACTGACTTTAGGATCCTGTGTTGCAACAGGCGTTAAATTTAACAGGCGGATAACAGTGAATGACAAGAGAGAGTGCATGTTTATATAACTTAGGCGATAACTTGGATAACCACAAGCTCGGCTAACGATCGTTCAGCTCGAGCTCCCGTCACAGCTACTCTTCACGCCGACACATCGTGAGTCATCACGCCCACTTGTTGTTACAACTATCAGGCATTACAATACCGTAACCACCGTGTTTCTTTAAAATTCCCTTCTCAGGCAACTTTGTGTGATTGTTTGGTGGAAGATCAATGAAAGAGACAACCTCCTCTGCTCCCGTACCTCCATCTTCCTCCTCCTGCTGTTTATGCTCCCTGAAAAACGGATCGCGCACATGTCAGCGGTTCACCTCGATCCTCGCGTCTTCGATGTAAAAAAAAAAAAGAAAAAAAAAAGAGAAAAGAAAAAACCGTGCTACTCTTCATTTTCGTGAAAAGAAAGAGGTGCGGCAGCTCAATCGAGTCAAAATCGATTCAAGAGTGTTCGAGCATTTGCGTCGTAAAGTAAGAGAAAAGAGAAGTTTCCAATCCTTAGAGACTCCCATTTACAACATTGTCCGGCGTTATATGATACTTACTTGTAACAAAGAGTATCGTTATATATCAATAATCCCACACGCGTAACTTTTTTGTTTTTCTGTTTTGTTTTTCTTTCTTTTTTTTTTCTTTTTTTCCTTTTTTTTTCCTTTTTGGTTATTAACACGAGGAAACGTTTCGTCGTTTCGTCGTTTCCTTCACTGACGCTCGCGGTATCAAGTGCAGATATATCGAATAAAAGCGTGCGAAAGTTCAAGAGTTCGTACATATTCCTTGGAAGCGATAGGTAAAAGACACATGTCGCCAGCTGTTGCGATTTGTTCAACGCGACTTACTGCCTCAGCGTATACTTTTGTGTGTGCTCTTTTCACAAACTGGGAAAGGGAAGCTTGCATTTTCGGCGGCGACTCGTGAGAAACAAATTGCTTCAGTTTACGATAGATCCGATAGATTGCGGTTCAACAACGGTTTGCTTTGCGCAAACAATACTTGGTCTTGAGCGAGATTCGAACCAAGAGACATTTTTTTTCTCGGTGGATTTTGGTGGCATGACATTAAGGGGACTCGACTCGGAATCGAGTTCTCGGCTGTTACAATTGATCAATATCTCGCGTTGATTGACCAAGCTCGCGTCTAGTTAACGAAAATGACCGTTGACCGATGCTTTCGGCACGAGGTATGAGGACATCGAGCGCGAGGGATCAGCTGTCCGCGAAAATACGCACAGCACGGCACGGCGGTGATTAACGCGGGATTAATAATCAATGACAATTAAGAATTAATGAATAACGGCTGACGTCATGGCAGCGTCGCGTCGCATACAGTGTCCCAGATTCCACTGCCGACTGCCCTGCAGGAGAGAAGGGAGGTGGAACAGCGGATAGTATATAACGATACTGGGGCCGGACACCTCGCACTAGTGCACCCCCATCTCAGCATGCAGTGAATGAAGAAGAAACAAGAAAAACAACAGCATAATAGTGAAACGATAGAGATGTTACGTTGCAGTAGGGACAGCAATAAGCATGCGTAGGGATCGAATCGTTCGTTATCCGATAATAACGGTTCGACCGCAGCGTGTGTGTTGTATGCTTTCAGCTGAATTCAGTCGAGATTGCGAGATTAGTGCAGCAGATAATGGCTTCGTGCGAGTGTTACAAATTACGAGAGAGAGGAATCACGCGCGCGCGCGCGTCGAACCGCGAGAGCGACGCGTGGCTATTCCGCTTCCGCCGGCTATTTCCGTATCGTATCGTATCGGGGCGCAAATGAATGATTATAGGTGATCAATGATCGGTCGAATCGGAACGATCGTTGATGATGCTTCGATGCTTCGATGTGGTCCAAGTAAGGAATAATAACCGTTGCACACGATTACGTACGGACGCGCGGCGTAACTCTGTCGGCATTTGACTGTTGAACGATTTGACGAACTTGGGACTCGGAGAGAGACTTTAACGAGACGATCGACAGGCCGAATACCATGCTCCGCCATGTTGTGTGCGGCCAATTGTCACGAGAAAGCCGGCGGGTCAAATCGACGTTAAAACGGAGAAAAGAAAGACGGGACTCCTTGTTTGGACCAACGTGACAGTGAGGAAAACGGCGAGACACATGAGACTTACTTGACTCTTGGCCCGTCGGTGGCGGCGACGTTATTCGGGGGTCGAAACAGCACGCGCTGGGTCTCGCCGCGGCTAGAAATATACTAATATAGGCATGCCGCGGCTATTCTTATTAACCCTCAATTACCGTGCACACCGTTGTTTAACCTGTTGTACTCATCTCAATTCTGACCGCGACCAGGAAACGCGAACATTTTCTCCGCACACGGTCTCTCTCTCTCTCTCTCTCTCTCTCTCTCTCTCTCTCTCTCTCTCTCTCTCTCTCTCTCCCCTTCCCCCCTCTCCATCCCTCCCTCTCCCCCACTCCCCCTCTCCCTATCTCCCCCCCTCCCTGAATACGCACGGAAAATGTTTTCTTCGCTTCGTTTATCCACTTACGGAATAATTTTTTTCGCCAATTCGTGTCGTAGCGTGTCAATGTGATACGTAACCACGGTAAAGATCTCACGATAAAAGTTTACAGTATTTGCTTTCTTTTTTTAATTTTTCGAGAGCACGTGTGAGAGGGAGTGCACGCGATAGCTTGCTTTTTTCTCATTAACGTTAATACTTAATCTGAATTTAGGATAATTTTTTGGAAAATGATTTTGTTCGAAGAGAGAAATAAATTTCCAGGTCGACATGGTGACGTTCGGAATATACGTCCACGAGAATAAACATAACAACTGTGTAAATCGCGATGAATGCAACTCTAGAATACTCAAACTGAACCACCTGTACTATAGGTTCAGCGTTGTGCCCTTCGTAATAATTGAGGATTAATAAAATTCTGTAACGCTGGCTTCCACTTCTTTACTTTCGGAATAAAAAAAGAATAAAAGATCAAACGGCGCTCGTAATTTTCTGTCGTTCGCGCGCTTCGACGTCATTGCTGATAAACACAAAATATCTTAATTATATGTTTATGTTCTTTCTCATATGCCGAACGCGCGATTTATCTCGATTATTAGAGTCAAAAATTTTCGAAAAGTCCAATTATGATACTGTTAAAATTTCGATCACTCTGTAATACGTGCTAGATCAAAGTTCCTGAGAAAAGGACTCGTGTAAAAAAAAAAGAAAGAAAAACATATCTACATATGCTAATTTTAAATTTCTGCTTAATGATATGTCATTTGGACATATTTTCGTAATCCTTGGAAAAATTTTATCTTGTACTCCTAGAATATCATACAAT